AATTCCCCTCCTCCTACCGTCTTGTCACACAAAGCCTCGCACTCATAACGTGCCTGTACTCATGTAGGCAACGCAGACGTAAAATCCCGTGCGCATCGAGCGACGCCCCATGCGCGTCTGTCGCCTCGTTACGTACGCGAAGAAACGACAGAAAGAAAGAACTGGAGTTTAGGTATGGAAAAAGGTGGGGAATAAATGTATGCGTAAACGACATCAAGAAATGATTCATTGGCATATACGCATGTAAGCGTGAAACACTGTTCACGCCGTGTGACGAGTTTAAAACAGCCGAATCGAATTGTGAATCAGCCATTAGGCATTGGTTGGTACAGTGGACTTGGTATATTAATATTATTATAATTAAATATATATATATATTTTCTCATACCTAATTCAATTGCATTGCAACACATACAGAGAAGTCCAGTTTGGACAGTCGCTAGATTAGCACTTGCAAATTGCCTACGCCAAAAAAAAAAGACTGACTTGGATTAATGGTTTGCTTGCCGGGAACTCCCGAGTCCCGTATAGTTCCATCTTGTTGAATTATTAATTGATTGGCGAAGACAGCGTAAAAAAGCTAAAACGAGTAGATTCTGGTGGTCGGCCATTTTTATCGGACGTAAATTAAAAGACCGGTAAGGATTTTTGCAGTTTTCACGATGTACATAAAGATATTACAGTCAGTGGTTTTAAAACGTCCTGTATGCCGTGGACGGTTCACTATTTTCGAACGTATTACGCACCTAGTGTCGTCTTACTTCGAATGTATTTTTCTACGTGCCAGCTAATGATGACACGGCAAACATATCGCGTATTCGCGCGAGCTGTGCCACACATGTGGGTAAATATTGCGAGTAAACGCACTCCGTATATCAAGCTTATACGCTTAGGTCGGACGAAATGGTTTGTTTCAATATTACATCACGAGACGGTTTGACTTTTGTTTTGAACGAAAAGTGCCAGTGAATGATTTTGGATTTGAGAGGTTATATTTTTTTATCAGTGTGCATAGGTGGCTTTTATTATACCGTGATACGTGCGCACCTCGGTAGTATTCAGTTACGAGGCGAAGTGATCGAGGAACGAAAGGTGGAAGACCTTGTAGGTTAGGTTATAAAAAAAAAATAACAGTCAATCTTTCAGCCGTTTTATTAATAAGCATGATACATAAACGTGGCGTATATACAGGTCGGGCCCATGGGACCCTAGATTACGAACAGCCCTGCGCGAGAACCGGCAAACTGGCTGCGCGAAGTTTTTTGGCGGGTTCGAAAAATAGATAAAAATGCGCAAATAAACGCCGGTCGTGGCTCAGGGACAACCGGTTGCCATCTTGCTTTCTTATATAAGTCCCTCCTTGCTCTTAAAGACGTTCCATCGCCGTGCACTGGCTAACATTTGACTCGAGTCAGTCCTGTGTATATTCAGCTCCCTCACTCTCTGTCTTACTGTCTGCCTGTCTATGCTATTCCTTTTCTCTCTCCGTCTGTCCCTGATTACTTTTCACTCTTTGTACTCGCCTCAATAAGGTCTTATTAACGTTGCACAATACCGTATCGTTATTATTTTCTTGGACATAACCTCAAATGGGTTAGCAACGTACGAATTCTTCCATGAGTATGAACTTTCACTTCGTCCTCGAGGTTACCGTCACACCGGATGCCAACTGCACGTAGAAAATACATCCCTGCCGAGAAGAAAGAGCAGACTTTACCGCGGTTGGTAAGTCTTGCATCCATGGTGCAAGGTTACGACGGACGGACTGTAGGCAAGCGGTAGAGAGGGAGACACGTATACAGACAGAGCGTGCATAGGCGCACGCAAACGAGTGGGAGCGAGAGAGCAACACGGAGTCAGGAGAGGGAGTGAAGCAGATGGAAGAACGAGGGAAAGAGCTAAAGGACAGGGACAAAGAATGAACTTTCTACGCAGTGCACGAGCATAGGTATACAGAGTCATTCAGCTTAAACGTATCAGTAAGAGATATGCCAATTATCATAATACTTCTACGAAATTCCATGTTTAACCGGGTAAGGAGATCGAGAGATCGTGGTAGGTTCGAGGTCGAGATTTTATGAATTTCCTTATACCTGCTGCGAGCGCGAGAGAGACGGTCTTATGCGGGCGTACGTGCCGCCGTGAGAGACACACATAGCGATCGGCAAAATCGTGGGTGGATAACCCTTTGTCGAATTGGCTGTGTCGTGGACGTAATTTTATAATAAATTTCGAGTTTATTAAACTGAATAGCTCTGTATTTAGGCGTGCATATACATCGGCGTAATGAGATGACGCGAACTGTCCAGGTTGTACGGAGAGTGGGGAAGACGTAAATTTATCATGACGATAAAACAGCCAAGAGCAAATTCATCCTTATATTGCGAAATGAAGCTTCTTCATGGGCTGGAGTTTATTATACTGCTGTTTATGAGAAGATGGACGCAGCTGCGTCTCTATATGTACCAAACAACTAGTTTTCTATTAACGAAACGCATACGCTTTCTCACCACCCACGAGTTATCAGCCCGTTTTCTGCGTACGTGTACTGTGTTCGATCGAATCAGGTTTATCATGCGATAGTTTTATTTTACGTTTACAATGTTTAGCCGCGTGTCGACTTACGTCGCTCATACAATCATATTGCAGCTTGCGTCCTTCGCCCCATGGATTCTGTGTTGTTGGCATTGTGTTGATGTTATTTTGTTTTCAATTTAAACAATTTCCCGCCTTTACTTTCATCCGCATCATTAACCGTCGCTTTTTATATTTAATATCCTACAACTGTTTACGCTACCACACATGATTCTCCCGGTGACTGTTCGTTTAACTTGATGCGTTGTGTACATACGCGGCCGCGCGGTTTACGTACGACGTACTAAAGAAGTCCTTGACGAAGCTGCTGTAGCAAGAGGAGTCGCGACGCTCGAGCGTCGCATCTTTTTCTCGCGCCGCCATCGCCGATTGCGAACTCGTTGCCATGGTTACGCGCATGCGCGCTACTGTAACAGTCGTAGCAGACGCGCGTTCTACCGACGCGGCTAGACTTTTCCTTGCGTTTATTTTTAATAAACGTCCGAACGTAGCGTGGGAGCTACTCAATGTGTACTAGAGCTTTATAGCTTAACGATATCTGTATATGTATACATCCGCATGTGCTACATGAGAAGAATGACAACTCTGAAGATTCTTTACAAAAACTGTAAATATTTTCTATATTTTTTTACTCTGTTCATCGACGTAATAGTATCTAGACATATCGGAACTTTCTCAGCGTCGCTTTGATGCATAAATATCGTTTTGGTGTCAGGACGCATAGTACGCTACTGGCATAGCCAGTATATAATTGGCAGTAAAAAATAATGTTGTTAACCCTTATCCATAGATACGTTATGCGGTTATGTCTCGAAGTGAGCAAGAACGAGTAGACTAACAACACAGCGAGCTACGGCGCGGCTTGATACCCTTGATAAAAAAGTAATTTTCTGATAAGATTGCTCGAAGTCGTAGTCAATATGGGATAGGGTTCGAAATCCTGGGACCGGTCACGCCATACTTTATCGGACCTCCGCAGTCGTCTCGATGTTTCCTTGTGTGCATACCGAGTAATGTTATCGATAAGATTTGTGTTTATTAGAAGAGTGCGCACGATGATTTATCATACACGTTTGCCCCACTCGAGGTATATAGTCATGTGTTAGTTGTATTGTAAAAAATTAACAGAAGTAAAGATTCACTAGAGATTCCACGTGATTCGCGCTATTTATTTCACGTTCGTTGAATAAAATGCCGTTAATTTTGAATATCTATACGGAGCCTTTGGATCGGCCAAAGGTATCTACTGTACCGACCGACCGGCCGAGCTCTACTAACTAAATCAGACCACACGGCGAGTGGTTAATTGTTAAAAATAGCCAGATCGACGACGGAAAAAGAAAGTCGACGAAGTGAGTTTTCGAAAGCGAAAGTCCAAGAGGCATGCGGACGACAAAAACATTGAGCAATCTTGTGTCGGATCCCGACAGCTTTGAACGACCGGTACGGATCGCAGGCTCTGGCCACGAAAGTTGGTGCGCCTGACTTTTAAAATTTTGCCGCGAGGCCTCCGATACGAGCTGTGCCTTTGGATGAGCTACTTTGGTTACTGGTAATAATATTGTTATTGGACATTATTGAGCAATTTTTTAAGTAAAATTATCACGGTGGCGAAACGGATATTTATATCTATGCGACCTTGACAAAATTATTTCATATTTGTCTAAAATAAATTATCGACCACATTTTTTAATCTTCGTTAATGGCAGAGGAAAGCTTGAGCCTTGACGACTTTATTAGTCTTTCGATAATAAATTTTATACAGACTGTAAATCAAAGTCCGTTGTTGACCTACAGTATACGGCTGTGTATGAAAAACCTGAATATGATTATTATATTAAGATATATCAGTATTTCTGATAAAATTTCAAATATGTAATATATCACTCTGACCGAAAATATACTTAAACTTTGACCCCGGTTGATGTTACTTAACCCAAAACCTCTAAATGCTCTAAAGGGTATCTAACTTTACATCATTACCTCGATAAGGTCACTTGTCGAACTCAGCTGTACGCGACCTAAGGTTAACAGTAAACAGGTGGTTTGCACCTGACCAGGTGTGTAGTTAGGATTAACAGGTCAAGATGACGTCAGGACGACCCAATTGCAAACCTAATTAGATAATTCTAAGTGTCACCCATAATCACCAGTAAATTTTTGACACGGAAATCTAATGATCCAAGAGGTCGAAGGTGATTTCAAGCAAAAAATGCAAACATATATTTCCCATAATTGACAAACGCATAAATTTTAATCCAAGACACTAACCTATCCTACCGTCTGTCGGTAATTAAAGAAAAGTTTGCCAAGTAAATAGATGATATGAAATTTTCCTGAATGATTACAAATCTCAATCAGACCGGCACTAAATGTCAATTTCATGAAATCACAAGTCCAAGTGCAATGCTAATTAATCACAAAGAAAACTGTGCAACTAATCAGAGTTTTTTTCTTTACCTGTAACATAAAATACTCCAGATAGACCGTATAAAACGCAAGCAATGATTTGTCACATCTATTTGGAGAAAGCATCGATGAAATGGAAAGTTCAAGAGTCTTCGTGACCGTAACGAAAGTAACTCATGGAACGCATTGGCTGAGCGCACGGCGTGAACACTCAGAAGTCTGTAAATTGCTTGTATCGAGTGCAAATAAATGATCTATAAAAATATATGAAAGCAGAAGCATATAAAGTTCAGATAACAACTGACGTTGGTACCGCGAAATCCTCGTCCTTGAACTTGGCAGAGTTCATCAGCCCGCAGGAAAGTAATTCTAGATCTAGAAAGCGAGTATCAGTCGGTACCCTAGAAACGAGTACATTGACGAGTACCACAAGCTGGCTGTATATGTGACGGCACCATAGAAATGAAAAGTCCTACAGGAAGCCGAAGAATAATTGAAAATGAATGCTCGACTGGTTCCACGAAGATACTGCCCAACGAGCGAAAGAACTTTTTCAACGTAACGAACCAAATAAACTGACGGCGAGTCGTCCGATTGGCGAACTGTAGAACGAAACGAGCAGCTTGAACAATGCGACCATTCGAAATGGAAAGTCCTGCAGGATTTCTGCCGTTACAATTGAAAGTGGCTTTATCCGACAACCCAACACCTAGAACCACGTTACTTTCAATGAATCTTGTCGGTTCAGCAGAGTCTAGACTATCTGTTATAGCGACTTAAAAATACTGAGCACCTTTATATCCTTCGGTACTGTCGCTACATGGAGACTGGACTTTAGTCACTAACGGGGTCTGAACATTCTGCACAGAGTTCGTTCTTGCGTATCGACTTCCTGATACGCTCCACTCGTTCATGATAGTTATTCTTATGTGGGCGACAATATTTTTTTTTACATGTTCCAACTCCAATACAGAAGGTTTAAGGCTGATTTACACGAGGACTACGATATACGGATGTTTGACGGGATTTTCAAATACTTCCCGTCACATCGTCTTCCTGACTGTCCTTAACTCGTGGAATTTTACAGAGCCAGTAAGGAGACTCTTGAAAATTTTGTCATTAGTGAATATCGTTTTATCGCTGCGATGAGATAACGTCCCGAAGAGTAAACGTCATTACAGAAGACATTAAGTCCAAGACGTGGTTCGTAGCAAAACAAGAACCGGGCATGACGTCACGTTAGAAAAAGTCCCAGAGCCTGCGTGGGCAAACAGCCACTCCACTGTGCGGATTACCTATGCGATGGGGAATTTCATGGCGTTCAATCTGTACGTGCGTTCTAGACACGATCGCGACTTCCTGCTGGAGGACTGCTTCAACGTTGGATATCCAGTCCTGCAAAATCAAGGAAATTCTGTGATTCGTGGATAAAGGTAATGTAACCTGGACTACGAAATTTCTAACCGGATGAGAATCCTCGTGAAAGTTCAGTCTATCAGAATTCTAATTATGGCATATAGTCGGTCCACGAGTTCAATGCGTTTACTGACAGCTGACAAAGAATTGAATCGTTAAAAAATCACAGGTGGATTCTCTTAAAATTACGAAAATATATGCTAACTATCTACTGTAACTCTCGGTGCAAGACTTCGTTCTTTCGGAAACGTCAAAAAAGCACGTTGCACTCGTGAACCGAGTACATGTATTATGTAGGCTCATGAATGAGCGCATCAGCACTCAGATACTGCGATGTAGAGATGTTGATGAACGTTGTCTGGCTTAAGGTGCTCGCTTAACAAATTCAGTAAAAGAGACGGGACCTCGGCGATGCCTATCGCGGTAATGTCGACTTGCGTAAATATTTTTAGAACGCGGAACAGGGAAACGAAGCCGAAGGTTAGAAGCAATAGGTGGGGACATTGAACGAGGAACACGGCCTCTGTGGGACTCCGGCACCTTTTGGAGAACGGTCACGAATCGTCGACTCTCACAGATCGTATCCTGACTCTTAGTATGCGAATTGCGTCCGCTGAGGTCTCGCCTTATGCACAGAATCACTTCCTACGAATGTAGGAAAACTCACCTTAATATTAATAGCCACGACAACGTAATCCTAATCTTTATCACTGTTATGATCTTCCATCAGCTGATTCTTCAGATTGCATCTGTACTCAATACTAGAGTTATTAATAGCTGCTGTAGTCACCAAAATATACCTCAGTAAAGTTTCCACTACGTGAGTATGTGATAACAGCCATCCGTAGAAAAACCCAAGTTCTCTGGTATTTGGAACTTGGCCAAGAATTAGGAATATTCCCTGCAAGCATCCTGGCATGTGGCTTATTAGACTAAGACCATCTTCATTTATCAGCTCTGAGATATATTGAAATATAATTGATTAATTGGAATTTCTGTAACAATACTTGTTTCTACAACATATTGGGCACAGTCAGCTACTTACCTTTATCGTAATGAACGTGGCCATGTATTATTATCGAATTACCTGGTGTCTTGCAATTCTCTTTCGTAATCGGTCGTTTCCCTGCGCGGAATATTAAGCTGGTATTACGCGGAACTTAGTAGTTTCTTCAACGTGTCCTACACTACCATTACCATTTCTACTATATATTTTTAACCGACTGCATGCGTACAGTCGTCTACTTCAATGTATCGGGTAATATATCACCTAACCTATCTTACCTGTATATCCGCAATCCGCAGATCTATTTATCCAGCTGAATTCTACGCTTCTCCATCGCGAACAAAAAACTTTCTAAGCGACTAGGTTAGGTGACGAACTTTCACGGCTATCTGCTTACGGAATCGCTCCAGAAGTAGACATCGCCTTGTATCCTAGATCGTCGAGACCTTCTTCGGAAGCTCGATTCCATTTTGATCAACTCCAAGGAGAGGGAAGGTCTAGGTGTCGAGGACTTTAAGATTTATAGTTATCCAGCGACTATTAAGTAAGCTATTCGATTTACTAGTCCGTCCAGGAAACTGTAATAGCAATCAGAACGTAATAAGATTTCGAGGTTAGGAATCGCTTAAAAATTTGTATGGCAACGTTCTTTTTTCTCCTTTTCACTGACCTTAACTTTGAGGCAGTCTTCAATGAGAGAGTAAGGTCAAAGTCAATCGAGCGAGAAAGTCTTGACTACTTACGTGAAAAATTGTCAAAGCCAATGACTATGAAGGTGCGCCTTTATGTTCAGACCATTTTGAAAGCCACTCTCGTCGACGATAACGCACCCGCAGCGTCGTTAAATGGCTGCTTTGTATATTCTCGATTTTCACTCCATTTAAGGTGAGAGCTCCCTTTCGTTCGGTGTGAGAGCCTCATAATAAAACTGTGTAACACACTGCACCACGCAGATTCTTAATATTCAACGCGACTCGCAATGTTACAAAATTCGTTACAGAGCACTGCTGACAGGATAACATAACCTTTACGTAATCCTGCAAAAGTTGTTGTCGCAGCAGTGAGGACTAGGCCGGATTTCCTACAGCTTTGGTATACACGATCACGTTCATGACTTATTACCTTTTAGATATTTTATATCTTCTGAGCACGGGATGAGATCGGTTGATCGTTTTATTGAGATATTTCATAAGAATGACGAGAAGGGACGTAGTGACCTCGCTTTCACGCGATTCTACCAGAATTAGAAGCAGATAACGAGCGAGTGTAGTGACTGTTGAATTAGACATCGTGGGATCTGCCATCTACTGCAACGGATGGCAATTAGATTTGTTTTTCAGCAACTACGACCGAGTTAGGTAACGTTGCAGGACAGTGGAATTAATGAGAAGGTAAAGAAGATTTTTCATGTGGCATTCCTATTCATCTCAAAAGTATTTTCTATCTGTATAATTCGATTAGACTTTTACTTGCTATAGAGTAGTTTAATGTGAACTCTCTAGATTACCGATATGAAAGCGAAGCTGAAAATACTTGTTAATCTGCGTTTGCAGTCGACTGATCTAATGGCTTTACCGTCGAGTGTTATTTAATGCCGTATCGTTGTAGCAGTGGCGACGCCAGACACGAGCTACTGGGAAAAGTTACAACAGAGGAAGAAAAAATGATAATACATCGCGTGAAATGTGATACGACCATAATGACGCCGACCTGCTGGAACTTTCTGGTCATCTTTCAGACTCTGAACTCTTTCTGGAGTATAACATGTTGCTTCTTTAAATAAAGGAGGATTGAGGATTCTCCGTAGAAAATTATGAAAGATGCGCCGACCACAAATAGACACGTTCTCTCTTGAGTAAAAGGAAGAAAATACGATTCGAATTGTTCTCTTTCATAAGCCTTGGCGAGAAGGCGTAAAATTCGAATTCTTTGGAACGGTCCTTATTTCTAAATGTACAATTTTTCAACAGTCACCAAAGCCCTTTGTCATCTAGAAGATTTTTAATATACACCCTGTATTTTGAAAATACCATAAAACGATCTACAGTAGGCTTGTCGCATTTTTCAGTCATGAAAGTGGTAAACGTTTATGACCATTGCAAGTTAATGCTCACTTATGAACGGAGCCTAAGCTGGTATCTTCATCTGCATGAAACTACGGTTATTGCACAATATTAGAAAATATTGCACGAGTTGCGTTTTAAGGCTTGGTATAAATTCTTTATGTCTTCTTCATGTATAATATTTTCTAAGAAAATTAAAATTAATAGAAATTTGTTACTTACGGTGAGTATCCATTGATTACTTTAGTGGTTACAGAAGCTTCAGCCATTTTTGAATGAAATTAAGCGGATTCACGAATTACTATGAAGTGACTATGTCGAATTGTTTACATGCGAAACTATGCGGAGTGGCCTTCTGCTTTTAACAAGTAATTTCGAGCACGAGTCACGGCCCATACTACGTTTGAAATATGTGCTCCTTTGTTCCCAATATTTCTATGAATGCCATTCGCACTCTATAATCTCTCTCAATGTCCAAGACAATCTTGCGGTCACAGGCCAAAGTCATAAAATCATGGCGAAATTCATAGTGGGTGTAAAAGAGTACGTTACGTGGGTGCTATACGTGATAAAAGTCATATTATATAGTAGAACAAAGAGATTCGTAAACTGTGAAGCACCAGGTGGCGCCATCTATGTGACAAACTCGTAAAGGTGGTGCGCACTAGCAGACGATAAACAAAATTGAATTCTCAGCTCTCAGTCACCGGATAATTATTTCACTTTGCAATATAAAACCAAAGAATTATCTTAAACGATTCCTAAAACAACAACATCCTTTCAACCTTGATTGAATTGCAGAATGAAGTTAGCAATTAAGATTTCAATTGTTCACGAACAATTATTATGCCTGCTTTAAAAATCGTGATCGTTAGCATATCCGTGATACAGTTTCTAAAAGTAAACAATCGCCTGACATATTTTACATTGTAAATACGAGTTAATACATGCATTAACAGTGGCGCCCTTTTGCAGCCGTCTATTATCACTCGATCTTCACTCAATACTGTGCATCTCAAAAACATTCGTCACGTTACACTTATACTCGTTTCAAAAACATCAATTTCTTTATCGCTCATACGCAGGTTCCTTGCTTCTTTATTTATGTCGAATGGCTCAGTTGAGAAGCGACTTCGCAAAGATCAGTAACGGCAATGATGGCGCTCCTTACTAAAATTGCAAGATGCAAGGTATGCCACGAAAAAAATGTAGAAATGGAGTACGTTAGAGCGTTCCGTGCGGTAGATTACTCAGGTCGATGAACCATGTATGTTAAGAGTTCAAGATAAATTGAGTGGTAACAAGTGGGCGAGTGACACAAGAGAAGTACGGAACGTAGATTTTAAATGTGCCATATTAAGGTAACCACCATCTAGTGGAGAATCGAGGAATTACAATAGTCGTGCTTGGCACATTATCTGACTGAAAATTGAAATTTATGATACCCGCATAGGTATCGATTTGTCACAGAACTAGAGCTACGTATACATTGATAACCTAATACATATTGTTGTTGTGGAATATTGCACTGGTATCTAGTAGAAGTAATATCCACGAGCAATCTGGAAAACAAAACATCAACAGAGAAAGTCACTAACGAACACACAGCTAGGAAATAAAATTTCAAATTGATTTTAAGAAAAATCGGTATTATTTTCACTTGTTTCGACGCCATATTGGAATTATGCCATATGTATAAGTTCTAATAATAGAGGGGTTTATATAACCGTTGTAACGTCTTGTCTGATAAGACATGTTGATATGACGATCTTATCGTAGCAACGGCTTGTCGTTTGTGGACGTAAATAATTTGAAATAATAAAAGTTCGTTATCTTGTTTTTCATCCGAAAACATAGCCTGGGGTGCACTTTATTTGTTCGATAAGATTTCTACTGTTTTTCTAACGCTCTTACGTTGTCACGGATCTATCATTTCTTAATGATTAAAATAATACATCATTCCTTTCTATTTTTAGGTGAAACTCGCCACGAGATCCTACAGCGCGCCGGCTGTTAAAATGTATATAGATGGACAATTCGTGGGTAAAGATCCTTTGACAAAAATGACGCTTTTTAAATTTATTATATTTATTAACAATCTATATTATTTACACAGATTCCAAAACTACGGAATTTACTGACGTTCATGATCCAGCGACCAATGAAGTTATTTCACGAACGCCAAAATCAACCAGGGAGGAAATGGAACGCGCTGTAGATAGTGCTAAGGCAGCTTATGAGAAATGGCGGCATACCAGTGTTCTCACTAGACAACATTTAATGTTAAAGTATCAGGCGTTAATTCGTGAGCATTCGGTTCGTATACGGTTGATTATATAATAATTTATATATGCCTATGATACATTGATTTTTATTTACAGAAAGAAATTGCCGAAAATATTGTCCGTGAGAATGGAAAGACCATGGCGGATGCCGAGGGAGACGTCCTCAGGGGTTTACGTGGGTATAAATTATTCTGAACAAATATATCGATATTCAAGCTAATGCTGCAACAGATAAGAGAATACAGTTTGGCAATTCTTACTTTCAGAGGTTGTCGATGCGTGCACATCGATACCAACTTTACAAATGGGAGAAACCACAGCAAATGTCGCAACTGATATGGATATAATTTCATACAAGGTTCCATTAGGAATAACAGCATCGATTTGTCCTTTTAATTTTCCAGCAATGATTCCTCTTTGGTCATTTCCTATATCCGTAGCCTGTGGTAACGCCACCGTTTTGAAACCGTCTGAAAGGGTACCAGGAGCTTCCCTCATCTTGGCTGATCTCTTCGCGAAGGCTGGTGCTCCACCGGGACTTCTAAATGTTATTCACGGCCAGCACGAATCTGTTGATTTTATATGCGAGCATCCTGATATCAAGGCAGTATCATTCGTAGGCTCGGATCAGGCTGTAGGTTTAGGATCTGTTTATATAATCTTGATATTGTAAGCATGAAACAAGGAGAGTTTATGAAGTTTTATGAATTCTCAGGGTAAATATATCTACAAGCAAAGCAGTGCTCACGGGAAGCGTGTACAGTGCAACATGGGTGCAAAGAATCATTGTGTCGTGATGCCAGACGCAAATAAAAACAAGACCATATCTCAAATTGCTGGGGCAGCCTTTGGCGCGGCGGGTCAAAGGTGCATGGCATTGTCGGTCGCCATTTTTGTTGGGAAATCCAAAGAATGGATCAAGGACATAGCTGAAGCTGCCAAAAGGTTGAAAGTCAATGCTGGTCATGTACCTGGAACTGATCTTGGTCCAGTTATCTCACCCCAGTCTAAGAAGAGGATTCATGAACTTGTGGAGTCTGGTGTTAAGGATGGTGCCGATCTGGTATTAGATGGTAGAGACATCGTCGTACCTGGGTACGAAAATGGAAACTTCGTAGGACCTACAGTCTTATCTTCTGTCAAGGTAAAAAAATATCACTTTCCAGCTCATTAAGCCTTTTTTTTCTAATACAAACTTTCTATTATAATTCGTATTCGTTACAGACACACATGAGGTGCTATACTGAAGAAATTTTTGGACCGGTTCTTGTGTGCCTTGACGTAAACACTTTGGAGGAAGCCATTGAACTCATCAATAAAAACCAATATGGCAATGGAACTGCGATATTCACTACTAACGGTGCCACAGCACGAGCTTTTACCAATAGAATAGAGGCAGGTCAGGTCGGAATCAACGTACCTATTCCGGTGCCATTGCCAATGTTCAGTTTCACTGGAAATAAAGGATCGTTTTTGGGCGATAATCATTTTTATGGAAAATACGTAAGTTCTTTGTTTTAATTTTATAAGCTTTGTAATTTATCCCTTGTTTTATTTACTTATATATTTTTCTTACAGGGTGTCAATTTCCATACTCAGACCAAGACTATAACTCAACTATGGCGATCTGGAGACGTTACTGATATAAGTTCCTCGACGGCCATGCCTACCATGCAGTAATAAATAATCCTGGTGCGATTTTACGCAATATACCGAAATATGACTCGACGCTAAGTTTATTGAACCAAAGTTATATTAACGATAGACTCTTGCGAAATTCTATTCTCTGCAACATCCCATTACAGTCTTCCATTTTTTTAGGATTTAGTACACAGACTAGTCTATTTTTGTTAGAGCGTATCACATATTTTTATATTGAAAATAAATCCGGTTTCGTTAATTATTCATGTGTAATTATCTCCCTTGCACTTATTTCCGTTCGAAATTGTATTATCTACCGGAAATAAACAAAGCGCATGCGCAGCTCGATTTCATCCCTACGTGCTGAAAAAAGGCGCCTGCGCGTCTTCCAAGCGCAGATACATATTTCCTCACAGGCGAGGTTCTCCCTGTCCCGGATAATCACGTACGCTCTGACAACTCGCTTGAAAAAACGCGGATAAAAAATAATATAGCGTCACAATCTTATCACCAATACATATCGTAAGTACACCTAATAAATAAATACCTACCTCATACATAAGACGAACTGTAGAAGATTCAGTATCGTGCTCCAATCATTACAAATACAGACGATTGAAGATTATTTGTTTTTACCCTTTTGGATTAATCGAACAGACAAAAAATTACTACCAAAGAAATCCCTTATATCTACATTACATTCTCTTCTCAATTTTGCTTATACAAGCAATCTTGCCGGTAAGCAGAGTTTGCAAATAATTTTGTGTAACAAAAATGTCAATATCGATTGCTTTCCGGTATCCTATCTTGAGTCTCTTGTGGATTTTGAAGGGTGCGTGTATACACAACCACCCTCATTGCAATCACGTAAAATCAATTAACAGAAGCCATGGCAGAACGAGAAAAGTTAATTGAGTCCTTCTTTAATTTCAGTAATAATTTCCAAGATGTACAAAACAGTACGCAAGGGCGATACCAGCCTTCAATACACAATTCTCCCCCAAACGGACCAGTTCAATGCCAGTGGGTTTCCGCCAGCTGGAAATAAGCCACGACCAAAAATCATCAAATACACTATGGGGACACTGATGATACTAATAATATTGTCCTGCGTCGCGACGCCCTTTCTAATGAATCAAAACGACCACAATCTATTTGCTGGTACGATCCTGGCAATGGGCCGAGTGGATCAGGATGTCTTTACGAACGCAAAAGGCAAAGGTCAAGAGCGTAGCACAGATGCGGAAAAGAGTAGGACCATCGGTACCCTGAAAAATACACCAGATGATTTTGACAGAAGGAAAGATAACGAAGATACAACCTCGACAGGCAATTTTATAGAGAAGGAAAACATTACAGAGGCGACAGTCAAAGGTAATTAATGAATTAATAAAATATATCTGATCATTAAATTTCGTATTAATTAATCATTCACAGGCCTAACCTCATCATCGTCGTCTCTGAGAACTACAGCAGCTTCGTTATCTAGTACTCAAAAAATTTTATCAGCTCTAAGCACTGCTATGCCTACAGACACAATCCTGTCATCGAGTACACCAGTGGATTTAATTTCATCCTTATCATCGACCAAAGTACCTTCGAATCCTTCTAGAAAGTTACCCAGGGTCACTTTAAAGTTACGAGAAAATGAAACCATACCCCAAATGTACATGAAGGCCGGTATAGCCTCTTACAAGAAGGGTAACATCACGACAAGCGTTCTGGCCCACGGTTTGAGTCTCGAGGGTCTCATCTTCAAGACTCCCGAAGGAACGATAAAACCGTGGCAGCAAAAGTGGCCGTTCGCCGAAGGGTCTTCGTACTTCCAGTGGAAGGTCAGTAACACGAAGTCGAATTGAGATCAGGACACGTGCACAAATATTGATCGCGTTGCAGCAGAGCTATGCAAAGCAGAAGCTCGATCGTGAAACCAGACCGTAGTATCAACGTCACTGAAGCGTCTTATAGTAGCCGTTATATAAGGTGTCAAGAAAGTACCTTTAATAAAATAATTTTTCAGGGTATCAACCAGGTATCCGTCAAGGTCTACGTAGTACTTGCATACCTGGCAGTTTTGGCAATAGCGAGCTTCGTCCTGATGTTCTACGTGCACAGAAGAGCGTCCAGGGTCCATCGAAAAAATCTTGAAGAACCGGAAGTGGACGGTCAGGAAGAGGACAAATCCACGTTACTAGGAGCTGAGACTAAGGATGCCGAAGAGAAGGAGTAATCCGGTTACTCATTTCGATTTTCAAAAAAAAATCATCCTATACTTAGACTACTAATCGCCTATTTGTACAACACATCAGTTAGGGTTAGGTCTTCCACGCGAAATTTTGACAGTGGCGATCTTGACTTCATTCGAATCCTTCAAATTTTAATGAAAAATTTGAAATGACTCTTTGAACTTGAGCCCTTGGTCACGTGGCACCCCTTTCGATTGTACTGTTCGTACGGTACTGCGCATGGCTCTCACTGCTTTGAACCAATGGAACTGTAGAGGCGAATACGAGGGAACGTAATTAATGAAGAATCGGAGATAACGGGTGGGAGAAAAATTTAACAGTTTTATCTGTGTGCTCACTATTTTTTACTCGTTGCTAGGAAACTATAAGGACAGCGCTAATGGCGCTTTCTATATAATGTGTCACGACTGTTTATCATGATGGTTGGTTATTTCTAGAATTTCTTTTGGTCTTATTCTTTCACTCGAATTCTGTCATTGGCACATTCGTTATGTAATGGTAAATTTAGTATGACGCGTATACGTATCTTCGCTTGTGATAAAACAATGACAGGTCGAATATTCAAAACAAAGTTTCATTACGGAAATTTTTTCTTGTCATCGTTGAAAGGAAGAGCGTCCCGATGCCTTGCGTGGTGCTTTCGTAAGGTTATGTTTGATTTACATGATAAATCTGACGATTATGGAATTTGAGGTTATCATTTTTATTTTTTATTACACGATGATCATCAGCGTGATCTTGCTCGGATACCGTTTATTGGTAAATTAAGGCAATTTATGAAGGTAACAGTCACGTATATTATTACTAATCGTGTGAACTTGAGGTACCAAGTATTTTGGGGCTTACGGGGCCTTTTCAAAGAGGCGACACTGACGTTTGCACGTGATATTGATAAGACGTTTATAAACATTATGAAGTGTTTAAGAAAATTTTGTGTAATGGCGACGGGAAGAAATAAGGTTTATGTTGTTGTTGAGAATTTCCTTGTCATCTTTTTTGTTGTCTTTTTGTCATCTGGAAAGAGGGGGGATTTAAGGGGGAGTGTATGAGTATGGGAGAAAGGAGGGACAGAAAAGTAGGAGAATTAAAATATTAATTTATGGCGTTTGTTTGGATTCTGTTTGAGTTAATTTTTTTTATCCCATAGAAACGTGGGATATTTCATAATTAGCTTCGATTGATATGGGAGTTAATGATTATTGAACAATTTTAAATACTGGTGGCGCGTGGTTAAGATTTATAAACGCAAGGAACTTATAGCCATTGTAAAAATCCAACTTCAATGATGTTTAGAGATTTTTTGGATTGTATTAAAAAAAATGAAGGACTCGCGTAATGATTATTTTTTAATTAGATTATAACGTACAGGTCAAAGCAAATGATCAGCAGGTATTACTATTATACTGTCATACAGAATTTTCAGGATTTAATATTTACCTACCTGAGATCCTGTAGTCAGGAACTCATGGGACACATTAGATGGGAATTTCCGTACAAAGATAATGTTCGATGCACTGTTGAGAAAACCAAAGAATAAAAACAAGACACTTAAACGCGGTAGCTGAAAGAGATATGACGGTTATCGTTTCTATTTTGAAGATTGTATTTTTTTAACTTTATTAATTTTCGACTTCCACGTATAATTATATCGTAATAAATTATTGTATATACCCTAATATGGGATCGTACAATGGGAAATAGACATCTCCTGATTTCATGTCGTACTTAATAATTGGAAAAAAAAATGGGAATTTCTTTCCCATTATGCGATTCACGTTGCATTAGCTAGCTTAGGTAGGCCAAATAATTCTATGTATATAATTAATACTGTATGTCATGACAATTACGATACAGTTATCGATTATGGTGTTTATTATTGAAAATTGAATTGTTAATTGAAGTTGGGAAAGAATAGCTCACGCCTAATTAGGGCCTATAAGTGTATAAAAATTAATAAAATATTAAAAGATACCTAAGGTCTCGTCTTATTCGATTCAATGCGCATGCGCCAAGTGGTAATACCAAAAAAAACAGAGACCGGTTTTGTCTGTTTTTCATCGGTAAATATTTACCACCATACGATCCATTTCTTAAACCAGTGTATTCGAAATTTTATTTGATAAAAATTCTCACATTCCCTAATTAATCAAACGAGTGGAGTTCTCGTTTTATCGACGTACGGTTAAAAATTCTTGAAGTTATATTTATAAAATTACAGTCATTCTTTGTTTCTGTTAAATTAGCTAATATTACAATTTTTCCTTATGTTCCAAGAAATCATTTCATTTTACTCAAAAGATATTCTACGTACTAGCTTTGTCACTGCTTTATCAACCGGCTTTTATAATGAGTGATACCACAATACTATTCTCAATAAGTATTTCAATATTTCTCGAAAAGATGGCGGCAGTATCTATCATGGCGCATGCATGGTGAACGTACACACTCGCACTCCTCTATTTCCGTAGAGGTCGAACGCGTGTGCCAGGATATTTACCAAACAAGATTTTAGTACGGTTTGGGCTTTTGCCGGACGACGTAGTCCACCTTCTTTCCGTCGATTATCACTGTGAGTATCTTATATTTCGTAATTTTTTAAATTAAAACAATAGTGCAATTCATATTAACGAACAAAAGCCGCATGACAATTGCTGTCAATATACATAATCTCTTGCGTGCGTCTTGTGCACCATGAAGAGCTGCGTAATATCGTATCTAGTAACAATTAAATTTTGTATATTTTCAAAACCCAACAAAAACGTTACTAACGACTTTAAGTGACAAACTTTACCGAAACTACATTTTACCTCGGAATAATATTATTCACAAATGTCTCAATCGTCTTGTTGACGTTCTCCCTGGTTCTTTTATAATTTTTTCACATATTCGTGCACGCCAAAATTGCTAACAGAATACACATCACTGATAAAACAGATCTAGTGCATAGTTTTATTAGCTATATGTATAACCTTGATTGAAATCACAGAAGACTAACGCATTGTCTTTACTTTTCATTGAACCCATTCACGAGGTTCGCATATACGCCAATTCATCCACCTTGTGTATACATGCACTGAGTCAAGAAGTTCCCAATGGCATCAAACAAACCAATAAACGTGCTAGTCATTATACATTATAATCAACGTCAATAATTTCGAATTTAATAATATATATCAGACCATGATATTACGGAAGAATCTTTTACATATTACGAATAAAACTAAAGGAAGTACGTTGAGCTAAGATTGATTAAAAGATTCACGCTATATTTTTAACGTTATTTTTAATGGCCGCGAAATCGTATCTTGGCAATCCACCCCAGATCAGCTGTTTCGGACAGCTTTCTATCCTTCGTCCCGATCGATACGCCAAAGCACATCAAGCTACGTGATTACATGCGTATGGATTTATGTACATATATCGTAACACAACATGCGTAGGGAAGCCAAACGTTTTGAAAGGAAGCCAAAAATTGGTTGATTTCTTAAAAAGTATACTGTGATGAAGATACGTTCTGGATTGGAATTTCGACAGGAGGTTACCGAGAGTTGATAAGCATGGTCAATTAATTAATTATATGATTAAATTATAAATACTCAATTAATATTAAAGGTGGGAAACACTTGGATAATAATTTATGTATTTTTTAAACATACAAACTTTATACCTTCTATACTCGAAATTGATTACAAGTCTATATGGCAGTAATGACTAATACGTGGGTAAACAATGACTTGACTATGATATCGTTGATTGCAGCAAGAGCACCAACTGTCAAAATTGGTAAGTAAATTTCGTACAGGTGTCATCGTAAATCGAAAATATTTGATCAAACACATATGCAGATATAAGTTTTAGTCCAATGTATAATCAAGTTACGATAAACTGTCACATTTTTTCTTCGACTTTCAAATCCGAGTCGCAGAAACGAATCTTGTCAGATATTTGTTTACGTATAACACGACGTTATTGCGGAACGTGACTTTACACGTAGGGTAATTAATGATATGGCGCAATCTGCCAAAACTTGATGATACATTAAAAAACAGCTCATGGCAATTAGGAATTATTCAAACAGCCATCATATCGTACTTTCATATCCCTCAATCGAATATCATGCAGCCGGTATGAATTCTCTTTGTACATACAGTATACAGATCATGTATAAACGTGGGTTCGGCATGTTTATTTCGGGGTCATCGGTTCAAATGATTACCCGGTCAATACGTAATCGCGTGACATAATCATGCAGTGCTTTTAGATAAGTTTACAAATTTTGTTATAAAAATTACCGTCGTTAAATATCAATATTAGGATACGATTTACTACCCAGAATCCTTTACGATCAAAATGGCTGACTTCATTGTTGATCGGTGAATGGTTGAATTTTTGTTTCTTGGTCTCGTCTCGTTATTAACCTTAGAATATAATATAACGTAAGTCAAAATAATGTAATTGATTTGACGTAATCGATATACCGTCAAGATTAGGTTATGTAGGATTACCTCAGTCGATATTACATTGTGAAACTCGATATCAATCATTCCCTATCCGAAGTCAAGTTCAGACTTTGAAACGGTATAGGGAAAAATGAGTTAGGAACCGGCAGGATACTTTGAGATTGAATAAAAAAATTTCAAAACTAAAAATTTCTTAAGCACCTCACTTGTTGATTTCTCGAACACAGGATTCTGATCTTATAATCGCATTGACTTCCCGATTTCCCTTGGATTCGAAATACATTCGTACAGCATATAACCGGTTCGTTTTATGGTATTTTACGAAAGCTAACCTAACTTCATGTTTTGCTATCGCGCTCTAATACACATTTTATTTTTATAAATACCCTAAATCCTCATGTTTTCTCTTATCAGTGCAGTTGATACGATAGAAAAACATCTATCCAAATCTTTTTCTCCACTTATCTAAATGCCGTCTAGTACGCGCACTACGTCGATCGAATATACAGTACAATAATTCGCTGAATATCTGAAGCAATTGTCAAAATCACTATTCAGTTGTCTCAATTGATAGTTATTGGCCTTGAGGAGGTCTCGTTTCTATTAATCCCATAGCCAGTACCTATCCTAGCGTGATTCTGGTTCCTAACGATAATAACAACAGACTGCAACTACATTCCCAAAGTACTACCCATATTTTCCAGTAACAACGTCCGATGTACAAGCAGCTGCATGGTTGCGCAATATTTGAAAGTGAAACAGGGCTAAGTGCGGTCGTTGGTACACTTTTATTTCACCCGACCGTCAGCGCCATGGGAACCCGCCTATGCGCCTCTTTTTTTCCACCCTGAGGCGTGTTCACTGGGACGACAAAAATACGGCAGACGGTCGCTCGGCGTTCGCTACCAATCGCACGTTTCCGACAATGAAGCATACAAAAGTCTCTCCGCAAACGACGCCAATCTAAAACAACCACAAGTATCTAATCTTTAGTATCTAAATAGTTATCCAAAACATTGTTCCTAACTCGCGCTCAAAATCAGACGCAATATTTTATCTGACAATAACAAGCAACTCGTAGCGTCGTTAATTCGATTCCGTCAGTTGTCATTTAACGAGCATCCGTTATAGCGTTATCTTCGATTCGATCAATTGTTTTTCCTGATCACTCCATGTTTTCTGCATTCTTATCAATATATTTCTCCATGAATCAGACGACCTAAGCAACACGTAATTGACAGGACCCCTTATATCAACGACTGATGCATCACTCCCGTAGACTTTTCCAGAACAATCGTACTATCTGTCAGTATTCCATTTCTAGGCATGAATATTCATTCTCGTGCCTCAGATTAGGACACTTAGTTTCACATGGCAGTAAGTAGCATAACATTGTGAAACTTGGACGTCTGCCTAAGTCCAAACAGTGACCTTACAACATTGCACTCGCTTTGGTAGACCGTCTGCCCAAGTAACGTTCAATGAATTCAAATACTCGTCCAATATTATGTACAACTTTAGAAAATTGTTATCTTCATCCAGTACTCATATATATATTTCTCTTCGTGTTTTTATAACTAGTTCAAAATGGCTTTCGCATTTCAAAACATTCAAGACTGACGCTCGTTATCGTCCTATCGTTAAACCTTCCATGATTCTTTTTGGTATCGCGAGAAATATGTGACGTAAAATTCCGTCTGTTATGACTGGCTGCAGTCTTGTGACTGTTCGTGCGAGATACCGCAGTCCTGGATCTTTGAACGACCAGAGTTCGCGATGACGTGGGTCAGGTACTCGGGGTATCCTAAAAGTTGGACAATTGTCAAGATATTTATAATGTTCCGCATGGGTCGTGTACGTTTCTTAGAGACGTTTGCAAAGATTGTGACTGGCTTTTAGATATGCGACGCGGACGAATTTAAATAATACTTATTTTTTTACTGTGCAAGTAAATAATAAAGTAGCGACAATAAACCGCTGAGCGAAACGCATCGCGCGTCTTAATGAGCCGCGACATTTAATGGAGATATGGAATTGCAAATTGGACGTCGTCTCCGGGGTACAGAGTCTAAAGTTGCATAAGGAAAGTCGACGGAATACGGTGGCCTATTGTGGAAGTCAGTTTACATTACGAGCGACTGAAAGTGTTTGTTACGTACAGTTGGGAATGATGTATTCTAGCATTGGAAATATATATATATATATATATATATATACATATATATATCATATGGAAAGCCGGAGTGCATTTTGTTGATTTTATTGCTTACCAGTTGCCGTTTCTTTTTTGCTTATAGAAATTCGGCGTCGTCAGGGTCCAGCGCGTCGAGATCAAATTTTTAGTAGACTACCAGAAGAGGAAACATCCTGAGCTCGACCGTACTCGAGGAGTTTCAAGGGATAAGTGACCAGGAAAGGAAATCGATAATTATTGAAAGGAGGAATTAAGTTAATTTAAAAAAATGTATACTACGCACAGAGCTTGCAGCGCTCTGTCCAAGCAGAGATTGACACTTCAGACCTGGAACATTACAAAGAGAAGTTGTGCGAGCGATGTCGAGTACAGACCGATTAGGAGTGTCCTGGTTGCTAATAGAGGTATTGACTGATAACAAATTTAAGTAGATATTGATTTAGACTTATACCGATTCAACCAAAAATGAGCAATCGGTTGGCCTTTGGCACTGAGTTAACTGCGCATTCCTTAGAAGAGCTTTCTGATAAGAGCTGCAGTGGCTGAACCTTGTGAAAGCCACTGATAAATTCAATTGGTAGCAGTGAGGTTGTAAAATATATAAAGTCAAGATTGGTTGATAGATATGACAAGTTGGATATTTTGTTTACAGGTGAAATCGCCATTCGCGTTTTTCGAGCATGTAACGAGCTTGGAATTCGATCCGTGGCTATTTACTCGGAACAGGATAAAATGCAGATGCACAGACAAAAGGCTGATGAAGGCTATGTTGTGGGACGTGGACTGCCACCTGTTCAAGCTTATCTGAACATTCCTGAAATCATCAGAATAGCCAAGGAGAATGACGTGGATGCCATTCATCCTGGTTATGGATTTCTTTCTGAGAGATCAGATTTCGCCCAGGCCGTTATAGATGCTGGGATCAGATTTATTGGTCCAAGTCCTAAGGTTGTACAGCAGATGGGTGATAAGGTGGCGGCTAGACAGGCAGCAATTGGAGCTGAGGTGCCTATAGTACCTGGTACCGACGGACCTGTTACTTCTTCGGACGAAGCTATGGAGTTCTGTATGAAACATGGACTTCCGGTTATCTTCAAAGCTGCCTATGGTGGCGGTGGAAGAGGTACTACTCCTTAAATTGAATCTGCGAATTGGCAAATGATCTTTATTTACTTTAATCAGGTATGAGAGTCGTTAGACAGATGGAAGAGGTACGTGAGATGTTTGATCGTGCTTCGTCTGAAGCTGCTGCTGCTTTCGGAAATGGGGCTATGTTCATTGAGAAATTTATTGAGAGACCAAGGCATATTGAAGTGCAGTTACTTGGTGACCAAGCTGGAAATGTAGTGCATCTTTATGAACGTGACTGCTCGGTTCAACGTCGTCATCAGAAGGTAATCAGGATCAGTAAGATTTAATTTAAATATTTAATGATCATACCAATCAATTTACCTAATCCAGGTTGTCGAAATTGCACCAGCGCCAAGACTGGATCCTAAAGTTCGAGACAAGATGACGCAGCATGCTGTCAAATTAGCAAAATATGTTAATTATTCTAATGCTGGGACCGTAGAGTTCCTAGCTGACGAGACTGGCAATTTCTATTTTATAGAAGTCAATGCAAGACTCCAGGTAGAGCACACAGTTACAGAAGAGATCACTGGGTAAGGATTACATAAAGTAAATCAGATAATTAATCAGTATGTCGGTATTCAAAATATTATTTTAATTATAGAATTGATTTGGTCCAATCACAAATTCGTGTTGCTGAGGGCATGACCCTGCCGGAACTTGGAATGACGCAAGACAAGATCAAGCCTCAAGGATTCGCTATTCAGTGTCGTGTGACAACCGAAGATCCTGCTAAGAATTTCCAACCGGATACTGGAAGGATAGAAGTCTTCCGATCAGGAGAGGGTATGGGTATCCGATTGGACAGTGCATCTGCTTTCGCAGGCGCCATTATCTCACCTTACTACGATTCTCTTCTTGTTAAGGTAATGTCAAGTACATGATAAATCTTCTTGGGATACTTACGACTGTTTTCGCTTCTCCTTTCAGGTCATAGCGCATGCTGCTGATCTTCAATCGTCGTGTGCCAAAATGAATCGTGCTTTGCGCGAATTTCGTGTGCGCGGCGTTAAGACAAATATACCATTTCTACTGAACGTACTTGAGAATCAAAAATTCCTTAATGGCATTGTCGATACTTATTTCATTGACGAAAATCCACAGTTATTCCAATTTCAACAGAGCCAAAATCGTGCCCAGAAACTTCTTAATTATTTGGGTTCAGTTTTGGTGAACGGTCCTAGCACGCCGTTGGCTACGTCACTTAAACCAGCTGAAATAAAACCACATATACCTCAGATTGCGATAGGTATGTTTTATCTTCTTAGTAATTAAGATAACGGTATTATTTAGCAATACTAAAATTCATTATTAATATTTACCCTGATATCATGGTACGTCATACGCACAAGCTGGCTCAGTTGCACTCGTAGTAGAATAAGAGGCAGATCAACGAAATGCTTTTACACATGGATCATCAGATTGAAGGATTTGATAAGCTTTACATAATTTATCTGGAGGATTTTTACTTATTTTCAAGTGATTGCCAATCTCTTTTAAATTTCATTAATTTTATGTCGTTTAATTATATAATGTATATACAGAAGCCGTTGGTGAAGCATATCCTTCAAATGTCTCTTATTCATTTAAAATTCTTATTTTTTACGTATATTTGAATGAATACACAGGCATGGCGTTCTGTTTATGTCAGTAGATCGAGAAAAAAGGACAGTTGCACATAATACATTGTATTCTAATAATTTATAATCGTTCATTATTAAGTGTAACTGATTTTTAAGCTTTCGCAAACCGGAAATGGTACACTTTTTTCAGTCATGATCTGATACATACCGTTGTTTCCAGAAGTAACTTAGAAATTGATTTTTCCCCTTCATTTGTATTGCATCCACCAACATTGACGGCATGCTTTTATTATTTTTCTTTGACGATTCTTTTAGACTTTGCTAAGCTTGCAGCAGCCGAAGATGCCAATGACGTAGACGCTGCAAGTAAGTCTAAAATCATATTTTTATGTATAAGTTATAATTATTAGGCTGCATAATGCACCTGGAACATCAAGCTAAAACTCCATTATGGATGGTCAGTTTCTTAAAAATTCATTGCCTAACTGGTAAATCGCACCGGGTTCTAGGTGTTCTGGAACCACCAAAGGGTCTACGTCATATCCTGAAGGAACAGGGTCCTGAAGCTTTTGCTAAAGCTGTGCGTGCACATAAAGGACTCCTACTCATGGATACGACGTTCCGTGATGCTCATCAATCTCTCCTGGCGACACGCGTCAGGTCCCACGACCTACTTCAGATTTCGCCATACGTTACTCACAAATTCAACAATCTCTATTCCATGGAAAATTGGGGTGGAGCTACCTTCGACGTCGCCCTGAGATTCCTTCACGAGTGTCCTTGGGAACGACTAGAGGATATGCGCAAGGCAATTCCTAATATTCCCTTCCAGATGCTTCTGCGTGGTGCTAACGCAGTGGGATACACTAATTATCCTGACAACGTCGTGTATAAATTCTGTGAGCTAGCTGTACAGTCAGGAATGGACGTTTTCAGGGTATTTGACTCTCTGAATTACCTTCCCAATCTAATCCTTGGTAAGAATCCTCTGAGGAATTTATTATATTGTGCTGGAACAATGTACAGATTAGGTGCTAAACGATTATATTAATTTTTTAGGAATGGAAGCTGCTGGTAAGGCTGGTGGTGTAGTGGAAGCAGCAATTTCCTATACTGGAGATGTCAGCGACCCAAATCGTACCAAGTATAATCTTAAATATTACACCGATTTGGCTGATGAACTTGTAAAGGCTGGTACTCATGTCCTGTGTATTAAGGACATGGCTGGTCTCTTAAAACCAGAGGCGGCTGGATTACTAATCGATGCTATAAGACAGAAACAGCCTGACGTTCCTATTCATATTCATACGCATGACACTGCTGGAGCTGGTGTCGCATCTATGTTAGCTTGTGCCAAAAGCGGTGCTGATGTCGTGGATGTTGCTGTGGATAGTATGTCTGGAATGACCAGTCAGCCATCCATGGGAGCAATTGTTGCTTCTCTTCAAGGTGCCATTAATCGTTATTTCAATATACAATTTACGTTAATATCTTTTATATCAAATATGTATTAATATTTATTTACAATTTTAGGAACGCAGTACGACACGAAATTAGATCTAGCTGACATCTCTGAATATTCTGCCTACTGGGAACAAACTAGAACACTGTACGGTCCATTTGAATGTACAACGACAATGAGATCCGGAAATGCAGACGTGTACCTGAATGAAATACCTGGTGGCCAGTATACCAATCTACAATTCCAAGCATATTCCTTAGGTCTAGGCGAGTTCTTTGAAGATGTTAAGAAAGCGTACCGGGAGGCTAATCTTCTTCTTGGTGATATAATCAAGGTCACACCAAGCTCAAAGGTCGTGGGTGACTTTGCACAATTTATGGTTCAGAATAAACTCACGGCCGACGACGTACTGAAAAAAGCTGAGGAATTGTCCTTCCCTAAATCCGTCGTCGAGTTCCTTCAAGGTGCCATTGGTGAACCTTATGGAGGTTTCCCTGAGCCATTGAGATCTAAAGTTCTGAAGGATATGCCACGTGTAAAGGGAAGGCCAGGTGCTAGTCTGAAACCTCTCGACTTCAAAGCCCTCAAAGAACAGCTCAAGGAATCTCATCCTGGTGTCACGGATAAGGACGTCATGTCAGCAGCGTTATATCCTGAGGTGACGAACGACTTTCTAAACTTCAAGGAAACGTATGGTCCTGTCGACAAACTCGAAACCAGGATATTCCTGACTGGACCTAAGGTGGGTGAAGAGTTCGAGGTGACTATTGAGAAAGGAAAGACTTTGGGCATCAAGACACTTGCCATGGCTGAAGATTTGACCCCGAATGGCGAACGAGAAGTCTTCTTCGAGATGAATGGTCAGCTCAGGTCCGTCTTCATCAAGGACAAGGAAGCTGTCAAGGTAGCGACCAAAATATAATTTTTGTACTTTAGACAGAAAACTGCTACATTTACTTAATTATTTCGTTTCTGTGATCTTCAGGAATTACACATTCATCCCAAAGCCGCCAAAGGTGATAAAAATCAAGTAGGAGCACCTATGCCGGGTACAGTCATTGACATCAGAGTGAAGGTCGGCGATACTGTGGAAAAGGGAGCAGCCCTGGTAGTTTTATCAGCTATGAAAATGGAAATGGTTGTTCAGGCACCTAAAGCAGGAAAGATCAAAACCCTTGACATTACTCAGGGAATGAAATTAGAGGGTGATGACCTTCTCTTGACTATCGAGTAAAACTTGTAAAAAGATAACAAGATATTTTGTATAAGTCGAGCTAGTCTCGTGGATGAACTAAGCTACTTCAATCAAACGTGTTTGCTTACCATGAAGTATAAAAAAAGTGATGAAACTTCAACGGTAATTGAAATAGTCACCTTGTCATCAGGATATTTTTATTTTTATTGATGTTACAAACTGGATAATGATACTCTTACAGGGTAAATATTTTATTTGTGTACATTAAAGTAGCTTGGGACAATGCTGAAGGTGCTACTACTCAAAGTTCAATTCGTTATAGCATACTGCCAATGATAGATTATCGTCGAACAATGTAAAATCATTGTATCATGAATTGATATAATCTCGATACGGATCGTATGTACATCTTGACATCTAGCGTAACCATAACGATACGGGATTACTTATATCAATTAATTTTTCAAGTGCCCTAGGATCGATCGATTGCCATGTTAATTGAGTTTGCTAATTGTGAGAGTCTTAAGAATGATCTAGGCTCGTTAAGTCAGATGATCGATCGATCCTAAATTAAAAACTTGTTATTATCGAAACACTCGTGTCATCTGCAATTATTGTAAACAAAAATTCGGATAAAAGCACAGCTGCCTCGAGTGCTTTGATTCGTTGACACAAATGCATGACGTACACAAATAATTCGCAATTATCATCAGTTAAACAGCGTTTATTTTAGCGGGATGAGCCAAACGAGAGGGCTTAATTTTCGTCTCTTCATCTTTTAGGAATTTTTATTTTGTAGATATATTTTAATTTGAACCGCGTTCTTTCTGCGGGCAAATTCTTTTCGAGAGAATTTTTCCTTCCGATGAATAATCATTCTTGATGTTAATTATCGTTTGATAGCTTTATGTAATGTATATGTATATTGCATTGATCGTTAATTAATTTTAAGCATTGGGTTCATTTTATAATTGTATATAGCTGAATCGGCTTACCCTATTGTATGTGAAAATTGTTATTTACATTTATTTAAGGAATTTACATCGCCTGGTCAAACTCAAGGAACATAAACCATAGCCAGTTGATATCGCGGTTTTTGCGATATTAATATATTATATTATCACTGTACATTCATACGATGTCTATTAGATATATTTATATAGAAGCCAGTCTTCGAATAAAATCTCATTTACTTATAAAAATTCAAGAAGTCACACATTATAACTATTACGCACATACCTATCTATTTAATTAAGGTCAGAGATGAGAAGATTGCTGATGAGCCGATTTTCATGTTCCAAGTTTTATTTCGGTGTCGACGCGTCACCTGCATTACTGACGCACATTCATTTTTCCAATAATTTTCTTTCAGTATGTTCGGGGTCGCAGCGTGACCTGATTGAAGAAAACAGAAATAATACCCAGCCTTTATTTCTATCTTCCTTTCTGTCTTCATGCTACACTCTGTTCCCTCTCACTTTCCATTGTAATTGTCTTACTTGGCCTGTTCCTTTGGTTGGATCGAGCATATTCAGTCAAGAAGTAGAAAAGTAAGGAATAAAGGCAGAAAAATGGAGAAGTGGTAAGGAAAAAGATAAGTAAAAAAGTAGAGAATAAAAGATAAAGAAATAAGGAAAGTTGGAAATGGTTAGGAGGGGTGCTTCCAAGAGACCAGAATAGGAGACCGGCTCGAGTAAAAATGAGCGTTCCGAGTTCGGACGCTGCCTTTGGCGCTCCCCCCACTTCCCGGCTTCAAAATTCGTCGAGTACTGCGCGCACACAATTTTCGTCAACTTCCAGTAATACTTTGAAATATTCTTGGTCAGGATTTCAAATTTCTAAGTGTTAGTATCGAACTATATTGATTAAAATAATTATTTTAATATTCCAAACACTCAATTTATTAATATTTCAATTTGAGCGTTATTTTCGACATTTTACAATTTCAATTGAATTTTTATCTACTCCGATATTTTGCAAGATTTTCATTTAGCCTCAATTTTATATTTTTAATAAAGTTCAAAAGTACGTCAAGATTCAATAATATTTAGTAAAATTTGGAAAGCTTTATTCAATGTTTAGAATATTTAATATTTCAGTGCAAGTGATTTTTTCCGACTTCTTCTCCCGGGTTATCCAGCTATTCGTCAATCGCAAAGGTTTATTTGGCATTGGCAATGAAAATTACATAAAAATCAGGATTCTCAAAGAGTAAAAATACCGTGATCAATGTTCAACTGCCTACGTCATGGTATGATAATTTCGGGATCATTATAATACAATGTTCATATTCACTGAATGATAATCATTAAAAATGGGGTCACACATGCTTAAAGAGCTATCAATTAGACGGAAACTTAATCGAGGCCTTATGACCTCGTCAAAAGGAAATCAGCGATAGGTATATCATTAAAGGATGAATAATAACTGCTGAAAGTAAAGTCTGAAAAGATAAACAGGAATCATACGCAGTCGAAGATAAGAATTCAATACATATAAAAAATTACTACTTCTTCAAGAATCACTTTCGGATGATTCTCTAACGATAAGAGTTTCACTTTCTATGAAAATTTTTCCTTTTCTTTATCACAGTTTTATTCTCCTTTGACGCAAATATCAAAGGTACTAATTATTTGATTAAATTTAATGCGCATATGAATGAAATACATGCATCGTCATTTAAACATTGAAGCCGGTTATCTTGGGGAATTTACGGTTCACTAGAAATTTGAAATTCCATCTAGGTACTTTCGTTCTTATTAAATTTTTTCTGAATGTAGTAAATTATCAGCTGACGGATGCGGCTCGGTCGCATGTGTCAAAACGTGGCAGTGTGCGGCCGTCTGACTGCCCCTGTTAGCTAACCTAGGTTGGAATAAAAGTTAGAGGTGCCATATCTGTATCGGAAATGGAATACAGAGGCTTTAAATATGGTACATTATTGACAGTGCTTGTGGTGCTTGTTGGCATTTATTATAGAAATTCGGAGAATCCTTTACAGAAGAGATTGGCTGCCGTTTTAGAGGGTTTGCAGAAGGTTGAGAGTAGTAATCATGAAAATTCGATTAAGCCAAAGGTCGCTGTCGGCTATGGAATTTGTACCGATGTTTTTATCGATGCAAAACATTTGTTGCGATACTCGAGTAAAGTGGGAAAACCAGAACACTTTGATGAAATCAGGACTGACACTGAATTATTGAAAAGTTTTGCATATTACTTTCGACATGGAGCTGCTGCAGAGTAAGCATGGAGAGAATGCTGATATAGATTTTGTAATTGACATTGAATTTATGTTGTAGACGATATATGCCAAATGGAGCTTTATTTGATAAGCTGGTGGCAAAGGCGCGTTCCTTTACATCATCTTATTCGACAATTGGTGGCAATGCAGCTGTTATGGCATTCCGATTTGCTAAGGAGGGCTGCAATGTTGTCCTAGCAGCCAAAATGACACCAGATCTGAAGCAAATGATTCCTGAAAGTATTAAAGTAATTGGTGGTGAAGTTAAAAGAGACGATATACATTTAATCTTGGAATATAAACGTGGAGAGGTTTGGGGGCCTTACACTAGTGCTAGAGCAAATAGGTAATTGGTAGATGTTTTGTCGAGGAGGAAGCAAGAAGGATATAGATTAATAATTATACTAAAGTGAATGTTCTTTTTAATTTTAGATATATAATTCATAATGATGCAAATAACCCTACAATCAGCTCACTGGAGGAATTTGATAAAATTCTACCAGAATATAAGCCTGATTTACTTGTTGTCAGTGGATTGCAAATGATGGACAACTATCCATTCCCTGAAGGTACCTAATAATGTACATTGAAATATTTTGAATGCTGACAACAAATATCTTTACAGGAGTTCGCAGGCTTCGTTTATTAAAAGTAAAAGATCAAATGATTAGTCAGCCAAAGACTACTAAAATTCATTTCGAAATGGCCTCATTCGCAGAAGAAAATTTATTGTTGGAGCTTACTGAGCTAGTGATACCATTTGCTGATAGTTTAGGAATGAACGAACAAGAAGTAGCCAATTTATATAATGCCATGTATTATGGAAACATTTCTCTAGTCGCAGACTCTAATCCACGAGTAGCCACAGTGCTTGACCAAATGAGAACAATATTCAAACTAATAAGACGAAATGGAAAATCTATAGAAAATTCACGCGAATTGACTAGGATTCACGTTCACACTTTAGCATATCAAGCAATTCTAAATGTAAAGAGTTCATCCTGGAAAAATACAATGTCAGCAGCTGCCAAAGCATCGTTGACAGCCAATAGACACGTCTGTGGATCGAACGATGTAAGTACCAAACACATTACAGTTCAAATTACTGACAAAAAAATTCTATCAAAATTCTCCTTACAGGTCGACTTGCAAAAAGCAACGTTAATAATGGACGACAGTTTTTCAACGTCATTAAAATCCGGTAAAAGAATTCCATTGAATCTAGAAAACCCAGTTTCCTGTTGGGACGAAATATTAAAAGTTGACGAGAATAATGTAGCTGTTGAAGTATGCGTAGCACCAGTTTTAGTATGCACGCAAGCCAGTCAAACTGCTGGTGGAGGAGACAATATATCAAGTGCAGGACTCGTTCCTCAGATTTGAAAAAAAATGTTACCCATGGAACTTCATTCCATCTAGATTACAATTATCATTCCAGCTTTTTATCAAGAAATAAACTAAGCGTATAATATTTTAAATGTCAAACAATAGAGCATTGAATTCAAAACTTTAATTAAGTTTAGCATAAAATCACGGCGTTGTGCATCTCTTTTTTTCTTACTGCTCTATAGACAATTCCATTAGTAGTGAGACATATATGCCGGCCATGTATAACGAGAAATTGTGATCTATCTCTAAATATATCCTCTTACATTCCTGATAGATAGTCTTTTTGCAAGATTGTTGTACTTTGAAATTTCATGAGAAACGTATGAAGCATACGTTAATATAAAGACGATCAAATAATTGATACTAAATAATCGACTAATTAGGATTTACGTTATATCCGTGTACTTTTACATTTATCCTAAATGGCCTTGACTTTCTGAGCATGCATTTATTTGTTATAGGTATAGACGGTATGTAATAATATCATTGTTGAGTGCATTCAAAGATTTGAATAAACTCTTAAGTACTTTTACATGTTCAACACGATATTTGTATGGAATTATTGTATGATCTCTAAAACAAGATATCCAAATGCTTAATATTATATTATATATGATACGACAGAAGAAAGGCTACACGGGATATTCAATAAGAAATGTTCGTGCGTGAAGTCTTTGAAGTGTCTATGTATAATATTTTATTTATCATTTTTATGTCTGTGTCCTATCCTTAACGGATATTACAACTTAACAATAAAAACTGAAGCAGTAAAGTTCATTATAATTAATATTTATTCGCTCACGGAATATCCAATCGAGTGGACCTCATTATTAATCAACGACATCGAGCATTAGGAAAATTAAGTCGATACAAATGTGCTAATTCTAGGTAACAAGAACTAAGTTAAATTGCTGTACTAAAGTAGTGAGTTAAAAAAGAGGAAAGAAAAAGAATTACGGATAAATGGTAGTGTTATAAACATAGTACTCCCGTGTAAAGTAACACGTAAAATGCGGGCTGACTTTTCGAGTGGATTTCCAAGACTTAAATGCTGATTACGTGAATCTCATAATGGAAGTAAATTTGTGATAAATGTAAACACAAAAAATTGACGAAGCACGTATGTCAACATTTATTTCGCCCGGCGATAATTCATTGACCTATTTAAAATGAGAAAAAACGTACCACCCAATTCAAAGCTTACAGGTTATCGATCCTGAATTTTAAATAAACTCTTTTTCTACAGTACCTCTAAAGTGTTCACACAATAAAAATTGATCCTGTACTGAACAATGTTCTGACAAAATAATGAATTTATTATACGTGACGTAACTCTTATCCCAAGTACGAGGAAAGACGATGTCATTAATGAAATTTCCACGAGTCATCAAAATTCCTTGATTCCCGTAAAACTTACAGGAAATGATGTTCTTAAGTGAAAGATCATACAATGCAATTTTTTAAAAGGAGCGCGAGCCAGACATTGGAATATTATAGACCTGTAAGGGCCCATCACGCGATATGAAAAGCACATCGCATTGAATAATTACAGTGTCTTTACAAAATAGTGTCACCCTCGTCAATACCCAGCATCCTCAAATCATCTGGTCCAGGTTGGGCATCCGGTTCCGCATCGTTCTGCGTTATCTCAGGCGGTGGCTGATCCATATACTCTGGTCCATATCCTACGCAGCCTAACATACTATACATTGAAGCATACATTATACCGCTATCAGGTTGTAGTGATTGTTTCACTTCAGCCTCTTCTTTAGGGAAAATGATATTCAGTGCTTCCTGTAGGTCGTCAGGAAGTGGTATGCTAGGATCAGGCCGCTTCTCCACGGGTTCAGGTATCTCGGATATATCCGGTACTGTTGACTCGACTGAAGGCAATGGAGGTGGCGGATTCGTCATTGCCGGTACAAAGGCTGCAGCTACTGGATGAACTGGCGGTGGCTGAGTTGGATCAAAGCCAGTGAGTCCTTGCGCAGGAAGTCCTGCTGGTTGATGAGTAGGAAAACGTGGTGGAGTCTGTACGAATGTTGGCGGAGGATTTGTGATGAACGGAGGTGGTCGAGTTGGAGTAAATTGTGGCTTGGGCGTAGTCGCTGGTGGAGGTTGCTGCTGAGTTTGTAGAAAAGGTGGTGGACGATTAAGTGGCGGTAGAGGATGTGTTGGTACAGGTAGTTTGGCTACTGTTGGAGACTGTTGTTTCTGTTGTTCTATTATTGGCTCCTCTATGATCACATCCTCTAAATGATCATCTATCTCCATATCCACAACCTGTGGCACAGGTTGCGGTGGCTTTGTTTCATTTAGTATTGGAGGCGGCGGAGCCACTAGGATTTTCATTGGTTGAGCTTTTATAACGAGACCCTGGCCTCCGTTGTTTAAATTCACTGGTGTTGCTAGTTTGGTGATGTGCACTACGCCAGGTGGATTAATTATTTCATTAGGCACTTTCGGGGTGTCCTCGAATTTACTTTGTTGATATGGCAACGGCGCAATATCCTTTTCCGGTAGCTTAGGATCATCGGACTTCTTCTTAAACAGCGGCAATCTGCCAATGAACGGTAGCTTTCCTTTGGATACTTGAGGCGGAGGCTTCTTCGATTGGGTTCCAGATTTCTTTAATTTCGAGGCCGATTCGTTTGCCTTTTTCTCAAATTTTGATTCGTCATTAGATGAATTATTTTCGTCCCTCCTATCCTTAGGATACCTTTCGTAATTCCTTTTTGGACTGTCCCTCCAATTCCTCTCACGACGTGGCGATTCGTTGGGATCCCGTTTTCTACGATCATCGTAATATTCCCTATCCCTATCACGGTCACGGTCACGGTCGCGGTCACGATCACGCCCACGTCGTCTGTCGTATCTTTCGTACCGTTCATATTTATCCTCGCGACGGTCGTACTTACGCTCGCGTTCCTCCTTGTATCTCTCCCTCGTATCCCTCTCCTCTTCCTTGTCAGCTGCTTTGTTCTCAGGAGGTTTTACGCTCATATTTACCTGTTGCTTGGTCCAAAATCCCATATGGGGCTTAGGCATTTCTTCAGGCTTCGGTAATTCAATGGGTTTACTAGCCGGTGGAGGCTGTGGTTTCTCTTCCTCCTTCTTTATCCAGAACGGCTTGGGAGGTTCCTTGGGTCCCCAAGCTTCCAGACCTTCTGGTTTCTTCGAAAAGGAATTATGGCACGGTTCCTCTTCTTCTTCCTCCTCTTCCTCCGGTACTGGTTTCTCTTGACTCTGCCGACGTGTTCCCATTGACTTCATTTCCTCCTCTTGTTTGGCCTTTAGCTTGTCCCTGATCGAGTTCAACAGTTGTCTATCATCCTGTTCCCGTTGCACCTCTGGCGGTGTCTGCTTTATCTGCTGAGCGACCTGGGCCCAATGACCTTTCAACTTTATTCCGTGATAATCTATCTCCTCGTTCAGTATCGCTTGAGTAGATGCTTTCATCTTGTTCCTCATAGCCACGCGAATGCTTCTTGACATATCCTGATCAGAATCCGTATCGGAATTGTCAGAGTCGCTGCTGGTGTCGCTGGCACTGCTTCTGTTCCTGCGCTTTTTATTCTTCTTCGACTTCTTCTTATTCTTCTTCGACTTCTTCGACTTTGGCGGAGGTTCATCGTCCTTTTGCTTTTGCAGCTCCATCTGCATCTGCTTGTTCTTCTCCTCGGAAAAGGCTTTCTCCCTGTCAGCCATCCAGTCCGTTTCCCAGTGAGGATTTTGTTCCACAAATCGCTACGACACAAAGCAGACGTGAGAACGAAAAATAACAGAGATCTCTGCGACGTCAAAGTTTTAGGCTTACAGAAAAATTCTCAGAATGCCGTTTTGACTTCAGGTGTAGGCTGGCACAGTGAAGATCACCGATCCACGAGTCGCACAGCTTGCAGTACCAGGCCGTAGCAGCGCTGAAGAATTGCAAACCTATAACCCAAAACGTCCACGATCAAGATTACCCAGGCTTTGAAGAATTTAAGCAAATGTAAGTTCATAAAGAATGACCTTATGCTCTGCCGCGACACACTCAAGTCACTGAAAACATAAAGATATTTCGTTAAGGGTCGTTTGATTCGATAATGGCTGACGCTTATAGTCATTCTCATAGTACCTCCCGCGAAGAGTCCTGAAAAGGGACGTAATACTGGGAGATGGGTAAATAATGAGCGATCTTTATTCGTCGTACAGTATTTACAATTATTCACATTAATAACATTGCACTTATCCTTCTATACGTGACACAAGTCTATAATTATTTTTCATAAGTATACAATATTTGCCTAATAGTCACGTTATTTTCTTCACTTCACTTTTCTCGGCGTATCCGCTCTTCACAAAACAATTTTGATCTCATCAATTTACACGAGATGAGATAACGACCACCAGACAATCATGGCATATTGTACGAACGGTACGTTCGTAGAACCAATCTGCACTCTGATCATAGTACTTTGTATTTGAATCCGGTTGCGTGGATGATGTCAATCAATTGTTTTAAAAATCGAACTCTAATTGGCTCGACCGTTGTATCAATTCTTCTGTGATAATCTTCGTAAATCTTCTAACATAATAATTTCGTGGCTACAAAGTAAGCTATATAAAAATATACACTACTGTCGAGTGTTGGTATACTTATTGTATGGTCAAGATGTCGCTGGCATTGCGTTGCTCGCAAAACGGAGCAACGTGGTGGTCGCCTTTATAATTGGAATCTTCTTGTTGCCGTCGACCTAAATGTAGCTGTACGATAGCGGTGATACGAAATTACGTAGATGGATACAATGGTAACACTTGGTCATACAATAAAAGATTGTTTCAAAGATTGCTTTGTTTTGATCGCATCAAGTTGGGAGGCCTGAAATATTATTCGGACTCCGTGCCCATCCCGTCCCGTCGCGAATCCGATGTGTCTGTACGCGCAGAACGGCTTGTAAAAAATTGCTGGAAAATTTGCCGGCAACAGCGCAACGTTTGCAAATCGGCATCGTGGCATTCGCGATATTTCTCATTGTTTCCCGACTGACTTCGTTTGGTGAGACTTTTTTTCGCGATTGTATCCGACGTGCCACTTTCTTGTTCAATTACGTAGCTGCCTCGATTTTATAAGAATGAGAAATAATAACAATCGAAGGTTGCAGCAGGCAAAATTTCCCGCAACCGGATTAGCCGTGGGTCTCTCTCTCTTCAATACATACCGGACACCACAGTGTCTGTGCACAAGCTACGGAATTGTACTCTATTAGTAAAGACCCATTGAAAAATGACCGTACCTTTAATGGGTGTTCTTTTCATTGGCAGTCCTGGGTAATAGGGCACTTCCTTTTCAGCACCCTCGCCATTCCGCTCGTGCCAAGGCATATCAACGATCTTGCGATCCTGTTACGGGGAATACGGGATCAGTAAGAATAATCTTAAATATTTCGGTTTTAGAGTACACGTAGCACAAAGATATATGAGATATTACGTTGTCCAAGATCTCATTGTATATGGTAATGTAAAGTATTTTAAAATAATTTTATCAACAAAAGATTATGAGGTTATTAATTATATGAAATACGTCATATATTTTTCGTAACTCACCGAGCAAGCCTCTTTGTGCTCGTTGCTGTGGAGATGATTCAAGTATTCCTTAGCCGTTTTAGGAAAGATGTCGCAGACCTTACACCAGTGCATTTCCGGATCATAGTGTACGAAATTGTACATGGGTTTTGCGTCCTCCGGAGACTTTTTCTCCCGTTCTCTATCGGCCTTTGAGTCTTTGTCGGAATCGGAACCCGATGATCTGTCGGGAGATTCAGACTTTCCTGTTGGAAAATCTTCCTTAGGACTTCTCGAACGCTTGGTGGTTGTTTCTAATTTAAATTTGCTCTTGAGCTCATCGACCGTCGCTTTGTCTCCTATAATGCCAGTTAGCATATCGATCACGTTGTGTATTGACTTCATTTTATTTTGTATCTCGATCTGAAACAGAGAATTATAGGATTTATCTTTTTTGGAAATACTATTAACGTATCTCTATGGGACATTCTATATCTACTAGGTCGATGATCAATTTTTGTTGTTATAAATATGATATTATTACCTGCAGTTTTTGATTCTCCTTGACAATACGTGTATTTTCCCGTCCACCTTCTTTCTCAATCTCGTTACACTGCTGCCGTAGTATTTCCAACTCCCGCTGGAGCGTCGTCGACTTCCTGATGTACTCTTCGCGCTGCTTAGCCAGAGTCGCTTTCTGCTGCTTGACTTCCGCTGCGATTGCTGTTAGGCGTTCAAGTTTAAGGGATTTTCAGGATTACGTATAGGAAGAATAATACGCACAGTTAGAATCATAAGTCAGAGATTATAAGAAAAAACGAACAGCTGTAAATGTAGCATCCATGGTGAAAATAATATAAATAAAACGAAACTAGAAAACGTAAGATATTGAAAATGGGAAGAACTTGAATGTGTTAATAAAAAACTGCATTGAGAACAAATTTATGTTAGATCATTACATAACATACCTTCTTTCTTGGCATCTTCTGGCCTCGTTATTGATGCTGTCAATCCTTGAGTACTAGATTCCACTGGTCTAGATGTTTCCTGTTGCGATGTCAAGGTTGGAGGTGGTGGAGGTTGTTGGCTGTTATAGGGTACTTGATTCCCTTGCCAATTCGGTGGTGGATAATCCTATGAAAGTAATAACATCCCTAATTTTCAAGTCCCCGGTGGGAGTTCTTGTAAACCCTTACCTTTGCAAGTCCATATTCAAATCAGGATATTGGATAATATATGAAGAATCTTCAAGTTGATATGTCTGGTCAATTTTATCAATTTCCATTGTCGACGCCAATAAAATAAATAACGCGAATGTCATACTTACTGCGAATTTCGCGATATTGTAGTGAAAAGTAACGAGAAAGAAGCTGTATCAGCTAAGCAACAACCACCGAACGCAAATCGTATTCGGCGGAATGTTATACGCAATGTAATTGGTTGCTTATCGTAGTCATATTATAACTGCATGTAGTGAAAAAGGTCAACTACCGAGCGAAAAAGGACGATCTTGTACGAATTATCATTTCATTCTTAATGTATACGTGCACTGAACTTTCTGCGATGAACATTATACCTATCTATATTTGCCGCAAACGTATATTATATATCACGACAGTGTAATTGTAGACGTCCCTTTTCATTCGATGCAACCTACTAGAATAAATAAGAAAGCTATTTCACTTACACTCCGATAACCAGTAGGTTGCTGATAGCTGTAATCATATCCCTGAGTATAATTATAGCTGTAGTTGTTGTAGCCCTGGTTATATGCTGCAATTGGAGGTGGAGGTTGACTTGTATTGGGTGGTGGTGGAGCCTGAATAATATATCAAGAATCAAATAACCAGCTGTACTGAGAAATATCATGATAAGCTCTTCAAAAGAATATACGACGGATCAATACCTGATACTGATTATGAACAGCAGGTACGTAACCAGTAGGTGCAGGAGCATTAGCTGCTGAACTTTGAGACTGAGATGCTGATGCTTGGTCCTTCCATTGTTGACTGCTTCTCGATTCTTTTCTTCTCCTGTCTCTCGAGCTTGATCTAGATCTTCTATCTCTGGACCGTGATCTTCGATATCTCGATCTTCTAGGGGATGGTGATCTGTCGTATTTACGAGATCTTCTTCTATGTGACGAGTCCTCAGAATCTGCACTAGGACTTCTGGGACCCTTACGTCTTGATTCACCCTCCATAGCTCCTGTTTCTCATCAACAATTTACTGCACGGATTATAACCTACAAATAAATCGTAACAACAGCGAATGATGAAATCTAAAATTCATGAAATATCCTAAACAACTAATTATGACAATGAACTTTGTATAAAATGTTTGATCAATGATGGATAATTTTTTTCGTTCAATGGTCTTGACTATTTTAATGATTCTTCAAGTACCAACAAGCAGCATGAACGTTCGCAAATAAGGCGAATCTAAAACCTTAAAAAAGGCTTTGGTATCCTTTGATGAGCATAAAATCCTCGTAAAAATCTCATAAATGATTGGAGCAGAAACGGTAATTGCGGCCATTGCTACAATCGGCACTCGGACTCCAGCAAAGAAAACATGACGAAGCCACGTTTTAGTGAAACTTCTTAGAAATAGATTTTTTGATTTACCTCTAATACTGTCTTGTGCTGCTTTTCACCGTGTTATTCCGGCAGCCCAAATATTGGCACACCGATCCTTGATGTTTCTTGCTAATGTTCGCTTCTTTGATAACAGCATAACATGACTTCTCGATGTAATCGAGGAAGCCGAAATGAATGTGATAGAAACGCGTACTACAAGCTTGAATAATAATGACTGTAGACAGGAAACTCGATTTTCATTCGTAACCAGCTTGGACATCACAAGCAGTGCCATCTACAAAAGGCCCTTACACTGTTTACTACGAGAACTGTGTTAATTCAAAAGAATTTACGAATTTTCTATATTCTCTCTAGGGAACGGAAAGTATACAAATGACAGATAGCATAAATTTCAAGTGGGTGCTCCGGGTAGGAATTTGAAAAGACGGTATCTTTCATCCATCTTCCACCTTTTTACTTCCTATCTCTTCTACCGTCCCGCTTTCTGACCTCGACACTTCCTTCTTGCCCCTTTCTGCTGAGGTCTGATTATCTTTTGAAAAGTCAATGACTCAATACAGTTGATCTAGTACATCTAGAAAAGAGTGTCATCCATAAAGTATTTAAACAAAGAGGAACATTATTGGCTTTCGCAACTTTTATTATTTGCACGTGACGTCATTTTCAATAAATTATTTCTAAATACACAGGCGTTACAATAATTTACACTAATATAATAAACCTGTATGCGCTCCCGTATAGAAACTAACCCTATCGATAGCTGCTTATACGTATCATGTATCTAGAATAATAACTTCAAGAAGATACATCAATGATATAGCTCATCAAAACTCGATAAGACTGTGATATCTTGAGAGATAGTAGTATATACAAAAAATTACAAAAGGAAAGTACAATTAAGAAATACGTTTAAATTATACGAATGACTCGCGAGTAGCGAGTCACAATGATAAGGATGGACATGATAAGGAATAATATGAGAAATTATTACGAAAAATATCAATAGCATGGCGGTGCGCGCTTAAGGCGTATGAAAATGCACAAATAAAAAGTGTGAGCCATCCTAGAAAGAAGAATGCACACGCAGCAAATGTATAAATTAAGACTAGAAGAGAGTATTGGGCATCTTATATAATCCAACGGCGAATACAAGTTTCCTCTTTTCTCCTTCACCCTCGTGTAAAGTGTGTCAGCATGTGGTTTCGTGTAGAGTCGAGCGTGCTATACTCGAGTGTGTGGTTCAGAAGCATGATCGATCGTTATTCTAACTTTGTAATATGCTGCACAACGATGACTGAAAGCGCATTGGCAAGAATAGGAGAGAGCGATTTTACGTCCTTCGTATAATATCCCGCTGCTGTTTCGTGTTTAAATAACGCTTGGACAAAGGCAGAATACAGGAGATCCTCACTAGGTGGGGCAGAGTACTAAAACAGATAAGATAATATGATAATCTTGAAAAAATTCAAGATATACGATACTCATGCTACATTTATCAGCAACATATAATACCTTTGAGTATGTAATCAGTCAACAACGTGGGCACAGTGGGGCTATCGTCGTTGATAGCTTTCAATACTAAAATAAAAATACAAATTTCCAATTACGTCATTTCCGCCAAAAAAAAAATCATTTTTATAACAAAGCCGCACTTACTCTTTATAAGAACCTGTAGAGCCTGATTGTCCGGGGTACCGCTGTCCATGTGATAAGGTATAACAGTTGTTAGGTACTACAAAAAAAAAAATGATTAACTTTTCATATACAATCCACTGTTCTTTTATCCACATAAAATCAATACCAACCTTCGAATCTTGTATAGACCTATGCTGTGGCAATGGACTAGTACCATTTTGCATCTGGCTCCTCTTCTTCGTGACATGATGTTGTCTTCGTCGATTCTGCACTGCCAGTAGCAGCGAGATAAATTGATTTTTCAGTTCCTTCTCAAATTCCAGCTCGTCCCTCAATGCAAGCTCAGCAATGAGAGTCTCGCTCAATGCGCCAACCAAGGATTCCATCTCTCCAAGTAATTCGGTTAGCTGTCCAGAACTGAGCTGCCGCAATTCTGCTCGGAAAACGATAAAACGACTTTGCGTAAGCATATATTCTAAGAAGCGACTTTAAATAATCATAGAAAATTCCTCGCGTTATGGTAAACCAGAATTCGCGTTTGCGTCAGCGCATCGGGATAAACATAGAGGAGTGTCTGGATAAAGTACATAGTGGCTAGATGAGTATACCACACACGGTACATACTGTCTTCGTAAAGGGGTGAACCAAGGACTTCCTTACTCCTCTCCAGTCTCTCGTCAGTGTCGAGCATTGAACCCTCAGAGTCTGGGGACCTTTCCATGGACGGACTCTCCTAGAAGGGATAGACAATAATGTCACGGGTAACATGACACGTGAGGCTACCGATGCATGTCTTTGATATATATTACATTGTCACTTTATCAGATATAATACCTGCATGATATCGTCGATTTCGCGAAGAACTTCCTCTGCTGTCTTCAAAGGTTCTTCAGGGCTGTGGGTGTCGGTGCTACTGGACAGAATCAAGGCATGCATATCCAGATCAGTAGCTACTGCCTCGTCCTCGCTACTGAGATCTTCCAGTTCTGGTCTGGACGTAGGGAAAAATATTGTTCAGTCAACTTCCGGTATGGTGTACCACTGTAGGTATGTACCTTTCAAGAAAACCTTGTCCTTCGTTCAGATTCAGTGCTGGCATGTGACATTTTCTCGCATAGGACTTGGTCCAGTCAATTGGGAGGATGTTACCAAAGTTTCCAGTTATCGTCCACCACATCCTGCAAAATTTATCAGTATTAAGACTATCAGCATACCACTTTTTTTTTACCATAACAATAAAAATGAAGATCCCAACACGAATTTCAGTAAAAACGTCGTACACCCGTCATTCAATTCAATTATGCAGATAATTGCCAATGAGTCATATCCTCTCGCGAGATATGAACGTAGCATACGTATAGTCTACGACTGCGGTTTTTTTTTTCCTGAAGACACAACATGGCTCTGTCAATGTCCTTTAGCATGGTGACGCGAGTATTTCTTTTTGACAGGATATAATACCAAAGTCTTTACCACGAGGACAGAGGACGTCGAGCAGTAAAAGTAAAAGAAAAAATATATATTTTTCCTCCTACGCCAATGAAACGCAGTAGGGGGGGCCCTTTCATTTTGGTACACCTATCAAATACATCTACGTATACGACTGATGGCGTCAGTTGATTACGAATCTAATTTATAAAATGTGGACAAGTAGATGACCCTGGGATTTGCGAAGCATCATTATGGATAACAATAGAACAGTCAAATGTCGTTATGAATATTAACAAGAGTAATTATTCTTAATAGCTCCGAATGAGTCTGTTCCGTCAGTCCCCGAGATGATGGGTCCCATAAATTTGCGGCTCTTCCTTTTTTTTTTTCCCTCTTAAGAAACCAAGGTAGATGGAAAACTTGTATTTTTTCTGGGAATAAGGGTCCAGAAATTCCAAAGCTATACCGACCATTGTCACTAGTAGCGACGTATTGGAACCGTATTAGAGTCAAAGAAATCTATGATGACTCACGTTTCCATTATAGGAATACGATATCGCAGTTATCGACTAGATCATCAAGATGACTATATAAGTAGGTATACTGTTAATTATACTATATTTCCCTATCGTGTATAACGGCATATTGTCACAGTACTCTAAGGTTTCACGCCTCCGCCAAAATGAACGCAGTTCATGATAATCAGTGACTATTCAATTCTCGGTATGAGTTTCCGCCAGAGAGTATTTCTGTGTGATGTGTAAACTGGCCACGTAGGTGTTTCCTGAGTCAGTAAGGGCGACAGATACGGCGACGGCTTAATCTCATGAAAACAAACTCGTCGCGGCGATAATAGACATAAAGAGGCCTTGATGTCAAAGATCAGAAACGGACCGAAGTGGCCAATAAAGCCCCAGGCAAAGTGTACAAGAGACTTTATGACATGGAACATAACGCGTGGCCATATTGAAGACCAGCTCACAGAGATGAGAAACACGAGGTTGATGATTGTTAAAATAATGAATATAAATGTCAAAAGTGAAAGACGATAAAAGTATCTTGTAAACTCATCATCCTTAGAATTACTGTACGAGGATTAAACGAGGTCAATTCGAAGCTGGAGTTTTGAGCGTACACAAAGTACGTAGAAGATGACTTCATCGTACGAATTTCACATGTGTCGCATAGGGAGAAGCAGCAGGTCCGTATCGACCCAGGGCACCCACAGATGATTGTGACTCCGCCCTAAGGATTGAGAGACGTTAAAAATAAAAGGTGAAAGAAATAAAATTCTCACGATTAACATTGGCAATTCAATTACCGTGTATCAGGAACAATGGTGGGATGTGTAACGTGGGACTGAAGGACCCTGTCCCGTTGACTATGGGGAAGCGAAATTCCGCAATGGCGTAAAATCGGTTCTCGCCTCGAGGGTTTCTAAACGTGTTGAGAATCTCAAATAGAATAACACGTCGACTTTCCAGGCATACCAGAACGGAAGAGGAGATTCTTAATCTGGCACAGAGTCGACGGAAACGCAACTCTTGCTTCTTTTACAATGCTGATGTAGCTACTGTGGCACACGTACGATATATATACCAGGCGTTAGTATAAAATGCACAGTAAGCGCCACGTAGATGCCTACGCCATTGGATTCGAATAAATCGTTCAAATTGCGTAACGCCTTGTGAGTTTCTATGTACGTCCCGGGGCTGTCGGACGGGATCGTTCGCACGGATTTATTTATTCGTTCGATGTTATCTGAAATAGCAAGACGTTAGTTTTAAGGAAGGTCGGAGAGATGGACCGATATACCATCTCTGAAAGAAGCTGCGACCAATCGTCATCATCATCTTCGACAGAAAAATCGCATCCAAGATACCAATGACAGATTTTGAAAGGCCCCATGACTAATTTGCCACCATCTGAAATTGAATAAAAAAAAAATCTACATTGAGTCCTACGGAAAAATAACTAAATGCACCCCCTTCATGCTGAACAACAAGGGATGCTGGTAACTGCGCAAACGCGCGCTTATTGACGCGCTCGTCAGAGGGTGGCTCGCTCGATACGAAGAGAGGAGCAAAACAAAGATTCGTGGCTCTGATCAAAATTTCATGACTTTCCTACATGCAGTCCATGTACGATAAGAGTCTGCCAATTGAAAGTAGAAAAATTAATCGAGTCAATTATCAACTAATAATTATTTCATAATTATTTTTTTATCATTTTTCACTTTTTATCGTTTTCCCCCGTTCGACAGACGCATGATAATCATGACACTACAGTACCGCGTCATAAAGGATGCACCATTGGGACCCACGTAGGACAAAGAATAGACGTTCCTTACAGGCGTCAGTCATTGCAAGAGCCATTAAAGCCTTATTCACGAGCAGACAGCTGCGTCTCTGGCAAAGAGATGGTGGATGGAATCTCGAAGGTTGTCGGGGCAGTCTTCTTTGAAGGTGCGAAGGCAAAAGGGAACGAGAAACCAGGACGGCCCTTGGGCCGTGAAGGAATCACGTTGTAATAAAGAATGGTTAAGGCTTAGCCGGTACTAAAGTCCCTTGTGGTATTTGGATGAGAATAATTCCGTCCGGTCGGTACCATCGTCCTTGCTGCGATCTGTGCTAGATATGGGCAGAAACAGCCATCAGATCCAAACGGGATTACGAATGTACCACCGTATACCAGATGCGGTACTGAAGCACGCATACGTATACAGCGATGGCTGATATACAAGGTGGCAGGAAATAACGATGAAAAATTGTCCACAACATACCGTGTATGACTATTAGCATCAGAGCCTTTAGTCATAGCAAGTCCCACGAGTTGGCCAATTGGGGTTAATACGAGCGTCCTTATCAGTCGTTGAAGCTAAAAACAAGTCTCGCCGAGGTCGTAATACGTATCTACTGCATACGACCATGGGTACGTAGGACTGTCAAGATATAATTTCTCGCTTGGTTGAGTTTTCACCTGCAGACTCAGGATCCTTGTTACACCGTGCGATATGCCAGGACACCTGTCTGGTCCTCGTGTCCTTTCATATGGGTTGAAACACCCTGGCGGTACCCGCGGAGGTTGTGCACCTTTTTCACACTGGGGCGAAATAAACAGGGACGTATACAGTCGTCAGGGGGCCTCGTGAATAAAGCAATAAGGTATTACCTGAGACAGTGAAAATCGTTGTAATGGGTCTGAATAATTGTATACCGGAGGAGATAAGAAGGGAGCTGATTTGACTTTGGCAAATGTTACGCAATTTTTCACGCACTTCCTACGGCGTGGAGAGTACGTTTATTTGTCAAGAGAAAGCTACACGGCGCCTCTGTTGATCTTGTGTATATGTAGGATACGTATATATAGGTATACAGAGAAAAATAACACTGATGGCAATTTAACGATGACAGATGTTGTGTCTGACTTTCATGGCAGCGACATACTGGTTTCCCTATTGGAAAATCAGCTTCGTGCAGAAATCTTGTAGTAGAAAATGTCGCGGGTGGATGTTATTCTGTACGTGAATACGTACAGGGCGTTTCAGTGATCGTTAGGTGTTATACACAATGGACGTGTGGGATGATACTCACTGACACTCGTTCATTATTTCCTCTTGCGTACGGACCTGCACTGGGGCCAAGGACTCGACATCGGTGCCGTAATCGCGAAAGCAGGAGGTTATCTTCTCGTCGAAGGTGTTGACGAGGTCCTCCAGGCTTCCACTAAAAGGACTGAAAGTCCCTTCTTGAAGTATGTCAGTCCCATTTTCGTGATTGTTCGAGGGCTCGTTGGCGTTGCAATTCTCCCCGAAATTAGCCTCTAGATTTGCATCCAGCAATTGTTCTGGGAGTGACAAGAGGATTCTATTATGATTCGTACAAGCGATAGCGATCTGTTTTTATGTATATTTTGAGTGTAGTAAATATTTAACGATCTCAATTGGCAAGTGATTATGACATACTACCAGCTATGTCTATGAGAGTATTATCGTTTATGAGACCCGCGTGTATCATCCTTATACATTTGCAATTAACATAACGTAATTGACGCTATAAACACTGTCTAGGTCATTTATCATGGCAGAATGAGTATTCGGAATCTTACGGGAAAAATTACAAAATTTGTATGCTTTTTCAATTTCGATATGATTTGGTGTTTGCATTTGGTAATTTTTCGCTTCACTTTTTATCTATTGTATTTTGATATTATTGTCATACGGCAAATGACTCTTTTCTCATAGCACGAGGCAGGCTGTTTTCCGTTGCCAATTTTGGTTGGTAATGATCAAACTGCGCCACTGTCACACGATACACGCACGCCTCAGGTATACTCAGCTTGAGGATACTTTGGAGCTTAGATGCTAAGGAGATGAATTTCTAGAGTACGCGATTAACGATTGGACGATACCAGTTGAATTCAGTGTAAATAGAATGCGCGATCTGCGCGACAATTTTATTAAGAATGAGAAACGAGTTTGTGATGGAACAGTTAAGTGAAACACGCGTTACGTTCCCTCTGTAAGTATTAAAGCACTATGGAATTTCGCACCTGTCAGCAGATTCAGGTTCTTGAAACTAGCCGTGTCTTCCTCCTCAAAGCGTGCCAACGGAGCTTCGAACTTTAATTCGGCGATTTTACCCGCCATGTCCCTCATTATTAAACGCGAATAGGCCCAGTGCGAATAATTCTTTGTTAAGAGCAAAGACTATTTAATACGATTGTTCGTGGATCTGTTCTCTTTAAATCTTTTTCTTTATTTGTTCACTATTATTCACTTTATTCTCACAGCAGCACTATGTAACGCGATCCTCCCAATACGGCATACGGAGAGCGACTGACGCAGAAGGGGAAATTTGCGGGTTGGTGGGGGTTCAGATGATTGGTCGTCGCCATGGTAACTGCTGGACGAACTGCGAGAGAAGCAAGATTTGATGCAAGGATGCTATAAAGATTCTTAAGACCTGCATTTTTTGTTCTAATTCTATTCATAATATGTATATTTCTGCACGAAATTTTCAGTAACCTCAATATCTTATCTAGACGTTCTTGAAATTTTAAAGCGGAAAATTTATACCTTGCGCTCTATACTTGAGACGCTAGTAGCAGAAGCGTTTTAAATCTTCTCCGTTTATGATGCTAGACTAGCGTGAATGACTTGGAACATATTTCTATGATGTTTTATGGAAATTAGTACTCCCACGGTGGTCGACACCTTTTTCGTCGGTCACTCAAGATACCGTTTCCCGATGCGATACGACACTGAGTGACTGTTGTACGATAGATAACGTCGTGCAGTATAGAATAACTCCAGTGTTAATTGATAGAGAGCGCACCTTGTCCTGGTTTCCAATTGACTTTAACCATTAGTCGGTAAAGTAATTTAAAGAATGTTAAAAATTGTATAACAAATTGTGAATTCTTTAATCACAGTATAAAACATCTGATATACTAGTTTATTTGGAAAAAGATTATTAAAATATCAGTTGACTTTAATGAATGTTTTATCTATAAAATAATAGCGCCTGAAATACCGCAATATAAATACGCATTAGTATATCCGGTTACTGACCACATTCACTAATGGTTCCCACGCCGCGTAACAATCGTTAGGAAATAGCTTGTTACTTTCATTAAACAAAGACCGAATCAGGCTATAAATATAAAGTGTTTTATTATACTCTAGATACTGTAAGTGAGGTAGCAATCCAGTCTATCAGCAAACGTCTATTTTAACATAACGACAATTTAATCTTATCGATAAGACATTAAAATTAGATATAGATAGAATAAATAGATACAATTCAGGCTAATCAGATACAAATTGTAATTTCATTATTTATAACGTACTACTAACAGATGCAATTCTTAGTACGATTTTTCAAAATTGTAACATACTTGTTACATCAACTAAAATGAATATGCATATAGATGATATGCATAGATCAATACTTTATGATCCTCTGTTCAATTGTGCAGTTAGTATCGTCAAGGACAATTGGAAGGAAGGCTTCCATTACGAAAGTCATACCTTTGAGACATTAGCAAAAACTATGTAATTTCCCACCTGAATATCGCAACGGTGAAAGATATTGATCTTAATGACTCAATCGATGCAACAAAAGGATGTCAAAGTAACGAGTCAAGGTGTCACGACGCAGAAACAAAGGCGTCAATTTAAGGTCACTTTTTGACATTTCTGCAAGAATTTACGTGCCCTTTTATAAGTCGCGGGAGGATAATAAAAAAAAACAATAAGACACACCTACTCCATTCTACATAATCATTGTCCATGAAAATGGCACCCTTAACTCTCTGTCTTTCAAGTATGCAAATGTTAACTGCGCCAGAAAACGTATAAAAAAATTTGGTCCCCAAACAAGAATACTCGTGCACATTCAAACCTCAAATTGTCTGACAGTTGTTAAATATAAGGTCGAACAAAAAAAGTTTCTCGCAGCATTAAATTCGTTTATCGTGAATCCGATACGGTTACGTCATGGACGTGTTACCACGACCAACCCTAACATGTATTTAATACGCTGCAATTTCTATAAAACGGTAAAAAATGACAAGAGTAAGTGGGTAGCGTGAACGATATATGAAAGAATTAAAAAAAAAGACATTCGAAAAAGAATATGAGATTGTTGTTCACCTTGGTATCGACTCCTCTTACAAATCAATAGAATCCGTTACCGCACGTTTCATTGTTAAAGGAGATATCGATTAATTCGCGGAAAGAAGTCCTTTCTTTGGGAGGGTCGTTCAATCCTATTCCCATGTAAACGTGTCAACAATGACAACCAACATAAATCCTATAGAACAGAAGACATATAGGGTTCTTCAAGCTCCATCTACATCAAATTCTACATGAGTTCCTGTGAGTTGTGGATTAAAAAAAAAATTCAATTGAATGACCAATCAAATTTTTAATGAAGAATCCGATCAATAACTGGGCCAATCTCTAATAGATCTGCTCGTTGGATCACAGGTTTCAGACACTGCAGGCAGTCACAGCTCTTAGTAGGATTCAACTGTCCAACTGTCAGGATAAGATAAAATATTTTTATAAAAATTTTTGTAAAACCAAATTTTATTTTATCATTAAAAAAATTGACCATACCATTTTATTATTTCCTTTTCAGGAACTCTGATCGTCTTGTCGCTACTACTTGTGGCGTACGTAGAAGGAATTGCTTTTCTTTGAGCTGTACTGATTTAATCCTGATTTAATCGTACAGTACTAATTGATAGTGTCCCTCGGAAAAATCCAAACTCTCCTGAGATCACGGATAAGAATCATGAATCCGATGAATGCTTATTAGGCTGGTGAGTGATAGGAGTGTCCCGGGATGCAGGATGTTATACTGTAATGGATATAATTTATTGAGATCCTGTAATACAGTACGAGTACAATAGCTGGTATAACCTCTGTGTACTTTCTATACGTTTCCTATACCTTGTGAAATAATCTCGGTACAGCATCCGTATATATATATATAAAACCAATGAGAATTCTATCTTTAAATCGGTTACGATAAACCATATAAGCAACAAATACAGACTTGAATATAAATAAGTAATTATTGATCATCTAGAATATTATGATAATCGGACCGTCATTCGTAATACAATGTATGCGGTGGTTGTGCAAGTAAACAGCAATTTACAATAATCGAGATAATTTTGTATGATTATCATTGCTCAAGTAGAATCTTATATTTTAATATTTTCTCTGATAACTTTTATAATGAACATTTAATAGGCAAATGTAATATATTAAGTTTATACCTCGTGTACTGATTAATATTCATTCAGATTTTTATTTTTTTTTCATGTTATACATATGTAATTCGCACTGAGAAATTAAATGGCTGCTGTACTCAGTCTTTCTTTTTTTCGTAAGTCGATAGTCGATACTGATTGTTATCAGTGACAGAAAAGAGCAAATTTAAATATTTTTCCTTCTTCCTTACGTAATTAAACATTAAAGTTTAACCTATCGATACTTTCTCGAAAATCAACAATAATATACTCACTGAACAGCATGTTGTGTATTATGACACGTCCTCCTGTCTGTATCATCATGTCCAGATCATCCTTTATGATGGAAATCAATGTCAATCTAAACGCCACCCAGAAACTCTTAGATCAAGAAATCAATTTCGACGGCACAAGGCTGAATCGGCTGAAGCCTTGTGCCACTAAAAAAAAAAGAAATTAATAAATTAATTAAATCGAATTGAATACTGATTACGTATTAACCGTCTGTTAATGCGCCTGACCTCCTCCGCCTATTTCAAGTTTGATATTTCAGTGTCATAACAAATGATTTATACGTACCATTTAAGACAGTTTAAATATCTTACACAATCAGTGCAAGAGCAATCTAGAATTAATTAAATACTAATTATAGGTTTGTTATCATAAATATCAGTGGTCATCATAAAAAAATATATTGAGTTACCTATGTAATCAATAAGCTACGTAACATACGTCATATAACAGAATAACCTTTCGAATTTCTACCACCTGCACATTCGTATTCAACAAATGATCCCTCGCAACCATACGCGCACAGCTGTCAAGTTTCGTGCATAACCTAAACCTAACCTATATCAATAGTCTTACGAGCCTGAAATGTTCGATTAATCTGATCTATAATATTAACATCGTGCGGATTCACAAAACCATCATTACGGACAACAAGTAATATACTTAATAAAAAGAAATACAAACCGCAGCATAGAGCGTTGAAAGAATTCGCAATGTATCCAGTCGGCAAATAGTAGTATATCATAGTACAACTAGGGGGGACGTCCTAATCACATTCAATAGAAAAATTGTCTCTACTCTAACTATACAGTAACACTCTACATCTCACTTCCTAATCACTTTCAATGAAAGAACCAACGTCCGTTTTTTTACACACGTAGGTATTGAGGCCTAAAGCTGTATTATGGATGTTGATGACCCTTCCGGCATCATAACGTCAGTCTCAGTGCCGCGTCAGCTACACCATCAGGAAGACGCTATTAGCTGTGTAGATACTGTAGCAGACAAACAAAAACCAAAGAGGATAAAGAAGCTGTGAGAAAAAGCACAGTGCCAGACCGAAGGTACGTGGTGAAGAAAAAGTCAAGCTAACCTCTAATTCGGTCAGACTAAAGACGCGATGCACGCCTATGACATATTCAATAATTTCTTACGTATAACAGGATTGAATTTATCTACCGTTATCAAAGGTTCATTCTGCACTGTTTTTCTCCTTGTGAATTCACAAACACTCGTACGATAGTTACGCGAGTTGTCAAAAGTCATTTAGTTCTGCGACATAAATAGTTTGTCTAGGTTGCATTTTATGCACGGAGCACAGAGGCAGCGTATTTTGTGTCGTATGTATATATATATGTATATATATAGTTACTGGCTACTATTCTTAGTCTAATACTAATCGCTTCGCGAATTCAAGCCACTTGGGTTGAACACAATCTATTGGGTACGTTGAAATTTAAAAAAAAATATAATTGTCGCATTTTTTGTATGACAAAAATGTTATGGTTGACTTGGTGTAAAGTGTTGAAGAGAAATAAAGAAACGAACATCAAAGAAAAGTGCCGATAGATAGGCAACTTGTAATAATCACAAGTGGGTGCCGTTGGTACTCAGATATTTCCATACTAGGCGACATTGCAAACAGATTGGTTCTCACCAGAGACCAATTACGAATAGACCAAGGGCCTCTGGACTTTACAAACTTATTATTGACAATGCACTCCACTCTGTAATGTATCTAAGGTTAGAATAATGCACCGGCGACATTTCCGTGTATAAATTATTCCGTATATAATTATGTATTATAATACAATCCTCTTTGGAAAACAGTGACTTAACGTTATATATATCAATAGTGACCGATGCTTTATCATTATTGGCTAAGCACATACGAACCCCTGATAACTTATCACCAATCATGCAGTGGTCGGATGGAAAGAAAGTATATATGATAAACACAATTCATAACGTACATCATAATAAGCATACAGCTCTGCTCGGATTATATTAGAATAAAAATTATATTACAATAATTCATATTTTTAATTGACAAATTTTTTTCTCAATACAAAAAAGTGGACGTGTGCTATACACATCGATTGGATTATTGATTTCAAATTTGGCTCCAATAACATTATTATGCCAGTAAGTTTTTTCTGAGTTTTCACATTGTTTTTTTTTTCTAACCAAGCAGTAAGACATTATGCAACTATAAAATAGTGCATGCCGCTACTGGGTCTTTTGAAGGTTAAGAGTACACAACCTTTTCTCCGACTTATTTATTATATATATTATTGATATTTTACTACAGCATAATTTCTGATAATGTTTATCAATTTTTTTTCCTTGTCGATTATACATTGTTAGACATATGTTAAAAATACAGATTTTGCATCAGTTATGTAAAAAGACGGAATTCCACTTTTACTTTTTTCTTTTCTTTATTTGTCTTAACAAGGCAACAGGTTCCACTGCGGCTATAGCAGTCGATGAATTGTTCAATTAATAAGGATAATTGTATCTATGCGAACTTACCACTCTATTCGTCATATATTAAGCGAATATGTAATAGCCAGTGTAATAGCTGTCGTAACGGTTAATTCGTAACGGACAATTAATCACAGCGAATCTACATGCATGATTGACTTACAATTAATTTAATACTATATATCAAGCAACGAACGGTTCAAAAGAATTTTTATAGAAAATAAAGAATAAAGGTGGACGAATGAAAGCGAATACAATTTACATTAAAATATCTTGCTCGTAATAAAAACTAAGATATATCCAAAATTACATTATTTTTTCTTTGAACAATCGTATTAGGGCGTGTTTTCAAAAATCCTTGTATATGTGTAACAATAGCGCAGTTACCTTTCACAAGGTTTATTACACGACACGAAATAACACGTGTTTTGCTTTACCCGTCGGTTCTTGAAAATCACCTTGAATCTGAAATGCCATCAGACAGTCCAGAGGCGGAATTAAAAATTGATAGAAGACAACTGTCATGGTCAGTGCGCACAGTGACAGACAAAGATCCTTTAACGATATTCTGGATAAATGGTTAACTACCGGTCACGATGTATCTGAAATAGTAAAAAATCATTAAAAAAATTTTTTAATTTAAAAAATTAACACGAGCCATCGAGTGGAATAGTTTTATCATATTAACCCATGTCGGCTTATGATTTATTTTCCAAAAATTTTCTTATGATATGCAAATACATGGTAAAAATACAAGTGGTTTAATTTTATAAGATATTTGATATATAATTACAAACGATTTATCAGCGAATTATAAATATTTATTATCATTTTGACCTAATCGACCTACCACGTGCGTGTCTAGATATTTTAAGCCAAGTGATTAATAATGTAATTTTATTATCTGTTATCATTTGTAGCAAATTTAATAGGATAAAATTCCGAAATGCGCATACCTCCGAAAAGTATGGGTCTTTTTATTTTTACGTATTTTGACGTACTGTTGACGAATATAATAGTGGAAATACCCGCCAAATTAATTTTTAAAAAATGGCAATTTTTCAAGAAAATAATACTTTTTAAAAATACTTTTCCAATAAATATTGATTTTAGAGTAAAAAGTCTTAAATAAAAATTGTAGCTTGTAAAAAGTTACATCTTTTATGTCCTATGCATTTTTATTATAAAACCATTAATTTTCGAGAAAAATGAGATCTGACTTATTGACTGATCATAAATCAGGGTAACTTAAAAAATTTCATACAGTTAATAATTCACTAACATATCAAGTATGCACGTAGTTAAAATTATTTATAAATAATCATTGTACAGTCTATATAAATTACTGACTAATAACTCGCGGAAGTTATAGAATTGGCATCTTATCGTATACTACCGGATCCGGTTTGAAAGGATTTCGCGGCGGGACAAAACGTTAATGTTTACAGTGTCCATTATTCATAAATCATTTCGCTTATCAGTCCTTACAATCGAAGGTTGAATATATATAGATACCATATAGATCGTGCATGCTACACGCTCGATACTTACATCATTCTCAAGATGTGCGTTATCTGCATAAATTAACATAATTTATGAAAATCGATGGGCTCGACCGTAATAAAATGGATTGCAATTAAAAAAAAGGAATAAAAAAAATAAAGGCGTCAATACGTCTGACAACAGACCAGAATTGTTAATTAACCGTTGCGTCGCTATACTCGTCTTAATCAACTTAAGCATATTACTTAGCTCCAGCCTGACTTACACGTGACACGACTGACTAGTTAATCATTGGTCTTGTCGCATTGATCAAGCGGCTCACCACTTCAACGAGACGGTTACACCACTTGAGTCGTGCAAGTAATCAATGGATTCGTCTACAGGATTATTAATAAAATAATATTTGATATTGATTTGTTATCTGTAAAAGATAAAATTATATTATCAATCTTTGTATGATTTAATACACGTGTTAAATGGGACTAACAAAATTTGTCATACTACCTGCTTGGTCTAGGCTGTAATAGACCAGGCGTGGAGACACTCCCTTCTTTCTTTTCAAATGTTCCTGAATATGTGCGTAGGTTACTATATATATACATATAGTTTGCTCTCTTCATGTGTTACCAGTAAAACAATTCGCCGGCTGTTTTATCCAGATCGTGTTCCGGGTTCAAATGCGGGTCTGAGTCACTTAGACTTCAATGACGCGAATCACGAGCTCACACCAGATGAAGGGGGATTCTTATCGAAAGAAGTAGGTGGAATAGAATGTATGACAGTTAAAAAGTAGAGTGTTGGACTGGAGGAAGAAAAATTGTTAATTAATCAATTGTATTACTGTTGAATAATTATTTTAAATAATTAATATTAGCCTCGTTCCAGAGGCGTCGTCAAATTCACTGTAGGACTTGTATAAGATATACAAAAAAGAAATTTCTTTACCGACCTGCTCTCTTCTTTACCAATCGAGAATGCCGCTGAATTAATATACCTCTTATTAAATTGCGTAGGTGTCTTGCCGGAAGTATCTTGTGTTTGGATAAACTAGAATACGTTAGCCATTTAGAAAAGTGTCCACGTACTCGTTAGACACCTCTGGAGACCTCACCTTGACGTGGTAATTAGATGGCCTCAACTATCGCTACTGAGATCATTACATGATAATATAGTAACATTTCCAGTATAAAAAATGTGCATTATCAGTGAGGTTAGGTCGTTATTAATATTTTAATTCACATAGAGTGACACTTGCTTCGATACCGTTGCCTATGGTCGATTCCATCGCTATATCGTAAACGTCATAATTAATGACAGGAAATACCCAGAATTTTAAGTCGTACTATATCTTTACAAATTTCAAAAGCGGAACTTTGTTATTTTGATGATAGAACGCAAGTATAATTTTTTTTTTTTAATATTACTATCTAAACCAGTTTTCTTGTTACCAATCGTCAATAAGAAATTGGGCTACGCGTCAGGAATAATTTTAGCCACTTTTTTTTCCATATTACGTCATAAACATCCTTGGTACAATCGAGAGAATGTAATTGACTAATTATTTAGATCGTAAGTCATATTAGTATAAAGGAGGGCTGGCGAACGCACCTAAATTAGATTTCTGTTAACTCCTCGGGAATGAATCAATTCACAACACGATAATCAGTATAAGCACGTCGTAGGGTGCGCAAATGGTGTCATCCTGTTCAAATACAATCATTACATTTTGCGCGCCATTGCATGTTGAATTGACAGAGAAACAATGTACCGGGTGTTCTTCATTCTTCTCTACTTTAACTGCATACCAATCCCGACATAAGCAATTTTGTATACGACACAGTTGGCAGTTCTTTATAGTCTTGAATGAAGGTTCTGTTACTACGCCTTAGGAAATAGTAATCGTCGTGTTTATAAAGTACTTTACGTTCTCCGTGGTGATTTTTAACGAGTGTCAAAGACCGATTCATAGTAATTATACTAAAGTGGGCTTCAATGGCTACTGGAACAAGCGGGACAAGATCATGCTCAAAGGACTGATTTAATGCTGCGTGTCATTGATTTACCAAAATGGTTTATCACTTTTCAACTATGATACAATAAGAAATCCAATTTGATAGTTAAGCAAGACAATTGTCTGCCAGAGTGGTCGATTAAACTGAATTTTACTTCAGAGACAGTACGTAGGGTTTCTCCGGTTTCTCTAATGCAAATAAAAGATTACTCGTCGTCTGGTCGTAACATTAGATTTTGAGGTTAAACGATAAGAAAGAACACTCAACGACGAATCAGCTGTTAGATTAAATATATTTACCTACTTACTTGATAGCGCATTGTCGATTCTAAAAGATTTTCTGTTTTTCATCTGTCATTCGTAATCCGAAGTCCCGGCCTGAGTGTATTTGATTTACGTGTAGTGTAGTCGAATTACCACGGTCAAATCAATTCTATTGTAACTATGTGACAGAGTTCATATAACGCAGAGTTCATTCTATCGCATTGTAATTGATGGAAAAGAAACTCACTGAAAGGAAAGAAACGTCTATTGACTTCAACTGGGTAGTTGATTTAACCAAACTTTTTTCTCACTGTAATATGCATTCTTATTGTAGCTTATGAAAACACATTCCACGTTATTAATACTGTGTACATCGATACAGAGTCTCCTGAAAATGATGCCGAATAGGGTGAACTTTTCGCCAGTATATTGCGCTACTTATATGCTGAATCTTTACGGCGCGTAAGAAAACTGTACCCTTCCAATACTTTTATTTTCTGCCACCAGATGTCACGGTCACTGGTATCAGATCTAAATAGTGGGCCAAGGAGACGTTTGTACTGGATTATTCAGTTCGAATGCATCACCCTGAATTTAGCGCGACTGTTGAATTCTTATGGTAAAGCTATATTTGGATTTGGGGTGAATAACCGTATATAGAAATTAAAAGTAATTTCGTACGATAAAGTTCGAAATTGTAAATATTCATTAGAGCCCTTATAATTTGAATTAACGTAGTTGTTTTATTATGTTTCCGTCATTGATTCCCGGATGTGATATTTTCATAAGACTACTTGCACGCAAAAAATTAACCTATAAAATGCAGCGCGTATTCTGCGAATCCGCAAAAAAAGTAAAGATTATCGTCACGCGATAATAAGAGGAGGAACATTGATGAGTTTACGAGGTAAAATAATAATTAATAATCAGCTTTGTCCAATTATTACGAGCACAGCACTCCCTTCGATTTTTCCAATAACTTAATGTATGCAGACACAACCTTAAATATTTTCAAAGCGAATCATTATTTCCTAGTGGTTCACGGCCCTTCTAGGTTACCAAACCAGATTCCTATCATCACAGAATCATTTCCAGCTTTCATCATCGCCGGTGAAACTCTCCTAAACGGAAACCCAAAGTGACTTTGACGTACAATACTCGGTTGACAGGGTCTACTTGTTCTCCGGTCGGATATTCCAGACTTTTATCACATCGCTGATCTTGATCAGCAATTATAATAATCCGAAACTGTATCCGACTGTCCCTGAACCTGTAAGAACGGCTTTTGCTGGTAGGAGCCTATATAAGACCGACAGCGTCCTATCATAAGGCGCAGTGTTGGGTTACCACGAATCCCGGCAACAACAGCCATTCAAAAACCCAACTAAGTATATCGCCGAAGAGATCGTATTTCTCAGTGTTTACAAATTATCACAAACTACTCGATAAATTGGAACAAAGTCAATCCTTATCGCGTCTTTATCGCGGTAATACGCTTCTCCACAAGCGCAACAGTAGGTGTAGTGTCCCGAGAGCTTTGTGGGATATCCTGTGTCGAAGAAGAAAATATTTTTTTCTACCTGAAGAAACACCATGGAAGCAATGCTTGCAACAAAGATGGAAGCCACGAGAATCGCGGAGTCGGACAAGCCAAAGATCGGCTTTGTCAAATACGCTCCTATGAAAACAAGATATTCGGTAAGACTGCGCTTTGAATTACAAGAAAGTAAAATTAGGTTAATAAAACTAACTTGACTAGCCGTCATCCAAAGACACTGAAATCATTATATTTATTTAATTGTCTATATAAAAAATTATCAAAAATTTTACCACCGCCGAATTAACTTTAACTTATTGCCCTAATCGTGGTTAGGAGTCTATAAAAAAAAAAAAAAAAAAAAAAAAAAAACATTATATTTATTTAATTGTCTATATAAAAAATTATCAAAAATTTTACCACCGCCGAATTAACTTTAACTTATTGCCCTAATCGTGGTTAGGAGTCTAAAAAAAAAAAAAAAAAAAAAAAAAACGAAATTATTGAACATAACGAAGATATTGAAATTTCGTAGAACAGCTGGATTCTCTCGTCATTAGTCACAACAACTTTGTTGCACGGCAATGATTTGTGATTCAAGCATATAGATCAGAATGTATCAACAATGCGATAAACATTGTGAACGCTTCACAGAGCACGAGATAGCGGCGTAGGCTACGCCGTAGATTTATGTCGGAATCCGCATAGCAGTGACAATGGACGATAAAATATTAAGAGCCTTGCCTTATGAAGATCCAGGCCATTCAATTCCCTTAACAGCGTTAATTCATTTAAACCAATAAAAACAATTCCATCACGGACGCCGCAAGAATGCACACTCGAGCTATCAAATTAGATTAAATTTACATTTGGCCTGATGCACCGTGGCGCATTGCAATGGCAAAAGCGCATACGAGAAACTAAGAATAAAACAAAATTTTAATAAATAAACAATTTCTCCACTAGTTTCTATATCCGTTACGAGTCAGTCATATGAATTGCACATACATATCTATACATATGTAAGGATACAAGCAAATAACGAATATAAAGAAATTGGTCATTATGATAATCTATATAATTGAGAAAAAGACTCTTCACGTGCAGTATTGTCTTCGCCAAGGAATCACGGGGACTCTTGCGCAATGAATTACGTATTCGCAACGCATAATTGCACGTTAAAATACACACGTGCTATTTTAGTGACGCGTATTTTAGTGCAAGTTGCGTACGATGAGTCGCGACGATCCGTTTTGAAAAAAAATTTTGAAAATTTTTATAATTCAAGTATCTTTTCCTTCAGCTTGGTGACACGACGAACGAGGCCGACGCCAATATGGATTATCATATCCAGATGATAACCAAGGAGGACATACCAAGGGTTCTCAAGTTCCTTAGGAGATTCTTCTTCCGTGACGAACCATTGAACCACAGCATCCAGCTCATCCCTGAAGGAGAAGACAGCACGTGTGTAGAGCTCGAGGAGTACTGTATGATTTCCGTAGAGGATAACCTGAGCTATATGGCAGTTACCACCAACGGGTCCATTATAGGCGTTCAGCTTAATGGTAATAGCCATATAGGAAACAGAGGATATATTCAATTAGGCAATGTGCACGTTTTTGCTATAAAGATTTTTCAATCGTATCGATTAATCGAATAACAGCTGATTGTGACAGTTTTAATATAAATAGTATAATTAACATACTTGCTTATAACTATTGCGGTATAAGACTTGACGTATGATTGATAATTATTCAGTTACATCATAGATTGATCGCTTTGTTACTTTCCTCCTGAATCTGGTATAATGAAAAATTATTGTCAATTAATTCATATACGTGGTGATAGTTATTCATGTACACCTGACAGTACTGTGCTACCAATTGTGCACATTGATCTGTTTCGCGATTGCGTAGTCGCATTTTTTCTTAAACGTCAAACGCACGTGGACTGCATTTGTTTTGACAGTTCGGACAAATATTTATCGATTAATACTCTCGGATTTCGTAGTTTACCTGAATACGTGGCTGTTTGTTTTCGATTTGGCTCTGTGCAGTTATCAGTCACTTTATTTTGTAACTTTGACATTTCTACGAGTCCGCACGAGCGGTTTATCTCGCGTGTAATATATCAGTACATCTGCGGGTTAAGGCTGGAAAAGTATGAGCGATGGATGTTACATGGTAAAAACAGGTCAAAAATGTGTATGCTGTACCGTATATGCTGGCTCACGTGTAATTTTGTTTATCCTTCAGGAAAAATGGAGCCGCTCAAGGACGACGAGCCGGAATACATAAGCAGCTGTAAAAATTCAAAATTTAAGAAAATCTTAAGATTACTTCGTTACATTGACTTGAATGTCAATCGCGCGGGAAGATTTTCTGGTCAGAATGTCATTGAGATCAGGATTTTATCTGTGGACAGTACATGGAGAGGTCGTGGAGTGGCCAAAGCTCTTATGGAAAAGACTATGTAAGTATAGTGTATGCTAATATTAATTGAGAGAACAAGATTTAATGTGATTATTAATTGAGATTAATCGCTTTCTTATATAATAGTGACTATTTATGTATGCATGGAAAAAAAAAGAAGTTTGGTTGCATTCAGAACGTGTTTATATAAAAGGCGTGTTTATATTTGATATTATACGATAGAAACTTTTTCTTTATGCGTATAATTAAATTGGATTTTTTTAAAGAATTATTTTTTATATATGTCTCTCTGTTGCAGTGAAATTGCCAAGGAACGAAATTTTCAAATTTTACGGTGCGACTGTACGTCATTTTTCTCAGGAAAACTCTGCGAAAAATTCGGTTTCGAAATCTGTTACGAAGTCAAGTACGCGGATTACGTGGATGAGAATGGCACGCCCATTTTTCATCCCAGCCCACCCCACACGGCTGCCGTTACGTATATAACAAAACTTTGAAAAAGTTTAAAAAAATACAAACAAAATACGCGATTGGTTGTTTCACGCATAATTCGATAAGTAATTGGTTGTGCGTATTTGTGACGGAATCCAAAAACTGTACAAAATTAAAGTCAATGCGTCTTTCTTTCTTTGGAATTTCAACGAATACAATTATTGTATAAGCTTACTTGCAGAAATTTGTAAATATTATCGAAACGTCCAATTACTATTTTTCATATCGATTCTATAGCCATATATGTTTATATGACACTTTTACCTGGAGATTTTTAACTCTAGACAGACGGACGTCATTATAGAGGCGCGGAACGAATTACTAGAATTTTATTACGTATTCGAAAAAATATATAGAAAATTGGAAAAATTCGAAAAAGTGAGGCTGTCTAGTGGTTTACGGACAAATTACGAAATAGTGAACGTAGAATATAGCTGACCGAGCGTGCCAAGTTAATGTACAACGTATTGTAAAATTAGTCATGTGAGTTAGATTTATAATGTGTGGTTTTTGTCAGGCAACTAAAAGCCTTGTTTTGTTCGTATGGCGAATATTATTCATATTCGTTGAATAGGAACGTCAGTCTTATTAAGATTAATATTAAGTAATTTAAAGAATCGATAGGTAGATTAATCTTCAGTTACATTCTGTATCGGTGGATCACGTATATTTATATAATATTATTATAATTTATACCGTAAATGATTATGACACTTTTCTGTTACAATAACTGATATGATTTAATGTTTTTCAGATTTTAATAAATCTACTGTCTATCCTTATATAGTGTATTGTATATATTGTTTATTAACAAGAAACTTTTTCCCTTTAAAACTTTCCAAAGCCTCAGGACATCCAATTACTACGAATATCCGTAATTAGTCTTATTTTAATTTTTGTGCAGAATCATGTTCATTGTAATTTTAGAGTCGAATAATATATAATTATTGATAGTGGCAAGTCAGATAATAATTAGGATGTCATATGCATGCAAATTTTTGGGAACCTATTAAAACCATGTTGAACGGGAATTTTACTCAGATGCTACCTCATGTTACCGGCCATTATTTTGTAATTGAATGTGGAAGTAAAATAGCTAATGCAAGTGCAAAGACGAGTTAACTCGTGACCGGTCCACAATGTGTTAACAATAGAAAATCATACATTTCGAGTAAGATAATTTCATCTTACATTTTATGGATGTGATCCATGTTTTTTCAATGCGGATACACTTTTTTTCAATTTGAGTACAGTTATTCTATAACGATTATGGTACAATAAAGCTTCAGTCACAATTCGTGTATGTAATAGAAAATAATTATCTTTTCCAATACATCTGGACATGTCAGATATATATTGATTAGGGAGTGACCATGTGAAAAGAAACAAAAAGTCGTCAAGCCAATGAACTCAAGCGCTACAGGTAAGTGGTCGTTATGTGATACAAATTAGTAGGGAAAATCAGATTGAAGGTCTACAGGTGTAATTTCATAGTGGTTGTGTAATTACATACGTTGCCATGTAAGGATTCAATAGGTACAAAGCTATATAAGTATCCTTGATTACTGATGAATCAAATATATGATGTTGAATTGATATACCTTGTATACTGACGTATAGTATAGTAAAACAAAGGTCACATTCAATAATAATTATAAATACGTTAAAAAAGTAATTATTGTCAATGATTGTTTGATAATAGAACTTGAGACATTGTAATTACACATTATACAACTTTAATATCGAAATTCCTCTGCGAACTGTACAATTGACACAGTTTATTTTACAAGACGAGCAATTGTAATTCACAGTGTCGTACATAAAAATAAAATCCGCTTGAGGGTATAACATCTTCGCTTAGATCACAGATTTAATTAGATATATTTAAAATAATAAAAGTAAAGAGCTCAGTTAAGTGTGAAACTTAATAATGGTATCATTCATAAATTTTTACTTGTCCTAAATTTTCAATTAATTCAATTCATATTTAATAAATAGTTCTATTTTAAAAGATATAATTATCTACTACTTGTATGTCACTCAGAGCACAGCACCTCAACCATAAATTGCACTTGCCAGTTAATTATTTAACGAGTTGGGTTGACACCTTTCTTTTGGCGCACTCGATCCTCAAATCTTTCTAGTTGTTCACTCAATGTTCCTGCTCTTTCGGTATGAATCCTTGCTAAACGTTTTTCTGATTCTGTGCTACGATTGATTAAGTTTTGTCTTTGAAACGTAACAGATCTATGTACAGCTAAGAACTGAAGAGCTACTCCAACGGCAGAGAAAATAAAAAGTAACAAAGCTATCCGTAAATTCGAGACACGTTTGATTCCTGTGATTCCATAGTAATTATTTGGGTCATACTGCCTCGCTGTACGAGGTCTCCCTGTCATTCTTATTTCCCATTCTTCACGAGAGGTGTACACCCTGAAGAAATATATAATATTATATAACACAATCGACAGAAAGTATATATCAACAATAATGTGAACATGAATTAAAAAAGTTAAGTTACCTGTTATAAACTCTCTGTGGTCTTCTCGCTGCCCCTGCACCAGTATGACTCGAAATATCATTTACTCTGTTACTCATGTCATATTGGAGCCTTGTATGTTCTTTACCAAGCGTATTATATGCTTCATTTAATTTAACAAATTCTTCATGACTACCTTTGTCACCTCTATCTGGATGAATCTGAAAATAAAATCCTCATTCAAATGTAATCTAAAAATAATTGTCATCCTCGAACGACGTACTTCTTTAGATCGTTTTATAAAAGCCTCTCGAATTTCCTTCTGTGAGGATGTCGGTGACACACGTAGAGTTTCATAATAATTATGCTGATTTCTTAAAAAGAAAACATTACAAGTCTCATGACAATCTTATGAAAACCGCACGAAAGCATGACATTTATACGATGACGTCGCTAACCTTTGACTCCCGTAATATCGACACATCAGAAAAATGTCCGGTCGACATGTACGTAAAATTTGAGACATTTTAAGGTTTCACAATTAATTTCAATACAACGATGTTCTCAACATTATTGGTTACTCCGTCACAACAGAACGGCCATGTTTTCATCAGGCAACTATTTTTGCCTAAAGACTGAACACTCTATACGCAATAACAGTGTATATACAGATATATACAAATATTACACAATCCGTCCATTCAGTTTCACCTACGTTACTCAAATTTACTAATACGGTAGCGAAAGGCAAACACAACAAATGTAGTGAAAAGATAAGCAATGTGAATTCAAAGACGAACACTCATCTGTTCCGCTTATTGAAAATTGAGTAATTAAATATTTATTAATAAAAAGCAAATTAATTGTACAATATAATAACGATTCTCGTTTATATTTTCAGTTTAGTATAAAATATATTACAATATTTATATAGGGGACGGCCCCACAATTTTAATCATATGTAGGCCTCAAGCCCAGCTCGACGTCCACTTATCAAATTACTTGAATCTGGTGTATATTTATAATTAAGAATTTCCTTTAGAATCTGCATTAAAAATATGCGCCGCACGGTAAGCTCTGAAAATTGTCGAAATGCAATAATATACATAGACATGTAATTATACCTCCATCTTCGTTATAACAAATTTTGTATGCGCGATAGCTGAGCCTACGCGGACTTTTACATGTGATAATTTTCTAAAGTATCGGTCATTAAAGCTTACGATAAATCGACCAACACCACAGAGGCCACACATTTTAACCCTTTAATGCAGCATGTGTTCCGTAGTACATACCCAGTATTGGGACTAAGAGCAGTAACTTCTATTGTAGTAAACCCTTCAGGAAATGACATTGCGACGGAATAGAATAGAATAGTTTTTAAAATATAGAACTTCTGTTAACTAAGTATTCCAAAGAAACGCCTAGTCCACGCATGCGTCAATGCATGTTTGCCACTATAAATTTTCTTTGTCTATTCAGGGACAAGGTATTTTCTTGCAGCATTAAAAGGTTAAAAAAAACAATTAAAGTATAAAGGCGATAGAATTCGTTTGTTTGGTAAATGAGAGCTTTTTAACAAGTTAAGCGGCATATCAGTCATCGGTGACCAACAGTAAAATTTCTTCGTTCAAGCCACTTTGGTCATCGGTTACCGACGCGTTCATCAATAATGAATAAGTAGCATCAAACGGCGTGAACGAAAAACGAATATCAACCGGTAGCTCGGCACTTAACGTCTTAATTAATCTAAAATTCGCATTAGGATAATTATATTACATTTTGTTCATATCAAATCACATACTTCAATTTAAAATTTATACTGTCCCGATATGTCAAGCTGTTGTGTGCACAATGATTTATTCAGTACCAACGCGAAAAATGATTGTTTTTTTTTCTCGAATTGTCGCAAATCTGTGAGCCACCGACGATGAACTGAATTATTAATATATTCATTTTGATGATAAATGCATTGGCACAATTGTCAGTTTGAATATGTAAATACAGTGACCTAGTACATATAATAAAAATCGTTTAATTCTTTCTCTTTTTTGTTCCTTCGCTTGCCTATCTTGCACGTAGAGTATTTAAAATTAATATTTAACATGTCCCATAATTATAAAAGTCATTAGAGGTTTGAGACTTAGATTGGACGCGTTACAATTAAATCTTTCATTAACTGAACGATCACACTCCCTAAACTTCGACTTGTTGTTTGTGGAAATTATTATAAATATTTTGTATTCCTAGAAATTGATTCGGGATGACGACAACGCTGCCTTTAGCCAAGAGGGATGCGTCAGGCAGGACATCGTAATCCTAAATGAATTGCGAGTTGCTCCCAAGGGCAGCGGATTAAATTCGTAATTTGAATGAGCGACAAGATTCTGAATCCCTAGCAGACGCAGTATACTGTATCTTTTATATGAAGAATCAACTAGTACGACGATCGCGGGTTTTTCACGTGAAGCCTGCTATTTTAAATAGAAAATAGTCGGACAGTACAGGGAAAAATATAATTGTAGGGGAATCATTGAAATCCGTCATTACTCTTAAGGTGGGACATTACAGTAGTTATGTAGGAGATACGTAAAAACGATACCCGTTAGATTGCAACAGTCCTCACTTTGTATACACTAAACGGCCATATCTTCTTAGTTTTCCTTTGTTTCTTCTAAGGGCACATTCTGATACTTCGGAAATTCTACAGCCTCAACGGGATTCTTAATCTTAAAACTGGGAAATAGTCCCCCCGTATTAGTCCTCGTATTGCGACCTTTCGAGTAACCGTCCCAATGGTTACCCTGGACGTCGACAGGATCGCCGACCTTCAATTCCAATTCGCCACTGCGCCTCGGAATGTGATCTAATATTGCTACGTGGGGATGCGAATTCTGACCACCGTAGTAATATACGTCATCTAAGGAGGCGAAGCGATCATACGCATCAGGGTAATGAGTTTGCATCAACTCATAAGCGACCCGACAGACCTGAGAGCTGAAAGTGCAGACCAAATAATCACTCAGAGATAAAAGGTGAATATCTACGATGATTCCTCGTAACGAACTATCGGAATATCGTTTTGCTACGGATGCAGTCTCGGCTATTTCCGGATCGCCAATTATTTCATAATTTGGATATCGATTTCTTGCAGTGGTTATCACTTTTGGATCATCACTGGCTATGAAGACTCTCTTCACATCGGGCTTAGTCTCTAACTGATCAAAATATTGCTCCACTTTCACCATGTATTCGTCTATATCGTGATAGGCTGCTTCGGTACCGACTTTATCCGTTCTACGAACATGAATTCCCACGATGGGCTTCTTGAAGCCAAGTTTTTCTTTCGAATAGTCCAGAAGTGTTTTCGTGTTATCATGAGGGCGCATCAAATATTTCAAGACTTGGCCTACCCACCAAACTAAAGGATGACCGTGGAGACGTTCTAGTCTGTGGGCTAAATCGGCTGGTACACTTGGTGGCTGGAATTTGGGCTTTGGGTAGACGGTGTCCACTATTGGTAATGAGAGCACTTGTTTTGATGGATCTCCAGGCCAATTTGCATGGGAAGTACCACTAGTTGACGTACACGTATCACTTACTGGCTTGAAAACTGATTCCCAACCTTCTTTATGATAACGCCAACCTTTTGACTTCAGTATAAGAGTTCTTTCAGTACCGTAAGCCACTAAGAAGCAATAAGTGACGTGATGTATCTGTAAAACATTATTATTGTAATAAAGAGACTTGATTTATGATTTAGAGTCACCGTTACTAAAGGATGGGAGACTAATTGACAGATTAAATATTATGATTTACCTGGCATCCAAATCCACAGCCTTTATTTAAACTACATATTAACTTCTTGGCTTTGTTACAGTCACTGGGATTTTGTAAAGCTCTAAGGAGAATAAAGAAATTATTGTAAATACCCGTAATCGTTTCGTTTAAATTAATATTAAAACTTTTCACGTCGTTACCTGAATCTTCTTTGAACGAGATCGGATAAGTCCTTTGCTTCCTTTTCTCTCCACGCATCGTAACCATCGGCCTTGGTGAGCCTATCAATATCCATAATCAGTGATTTTTTATGTTCCCATATATTTTTAAGTGAAATTTCAACATAATTCTCCACTTGGCCATTTGTCAGTGCATCACTATTTTTCTTGAGCTTTTTTAATTCGGCATTCATGTAATACCTATGCAAAAGTTAATCTGGATAATAAATTCAGATACGGACGTAAATGAGGTAGCATAGGTAAGCTATACCCACCACATTTCTTGTACATTGTTTCGTATTCTTCTGCGCAGTACTTCATATTCTAAAGATGGCACACCAGTTTTAGGGCCATCTTGATGGTCTAACAAATCATAGTATGCTGGGTTCTTTTTATATTTTTCTTGTAACATACCTAAATGATCTCCAGAAATTGATTTTAATCCATCACTGAAAAGAATGATTATCTATCTGATAAAATTGGGATAAGAAAAGCCATTCAGATAAGCATATAGATAACATTCTTTTTGATGAAATTCTACAAGTAGTGTCTCACCCTAAAATGATATTCCTGAGTCCCTCATTCTGTTTCTTCAGAATTTCAAATTCACTGACCATATGTGCTAATCGTTGGGCATTTTCTTTTTGACCGGAGCTAGGATCTTGAGTAGATGAAGCACTATCTCTGAATACACGTGAAACAGATAAAACTAATACACAGAACCATGCGGCCAGTAACAATAAACCCAGTTTACCCAGCCAACCTGGCCGTCCTGACCAAAGTACTGCCATCCTAAGCTAGATGAATAAAACTTCTGTGTGAAGTGTATCACATTACGGTATCTGTAAAAAAAATTATAGATAAAACATGTTTATTACAAGGAATTGCACTTGAATATTTTGAATGGAAATAAAATAATAACTAGTGGTATAATGTTAAATAAATACAATGCCAAGCAACCACCTGTGAATACAGTCATCCAAGCAATTTCATCTGCTTATAAAAAGAGTACAATAATTGACCATTAAAAAAGTAACTTATAATGCAGTACTGGGAATGAAATTATAACATAATCGAACATGGAAAAACTAAAAAAAAAGGATAAGAAAGCATGACAGAACAATAAAAATAACGATCGTACCTATAACTACGTAATGTAACCGAAATGATTGTAGCAGTTATGAAATCTTTAATCTTTATCGCTTCCGTTCAGCCATTCGTATGAAATTAAAAAATCAACCTCTTCATATATATACTATTATACTATAGTACAAAACATATTCAAGGTAAAAATTAGGACGGTTCTGAAATTCAAATAAGAGCAATTCTTGTCATGAGAAAAGATTAAATAAACACAAAACCATTGAGCGACAGGTGTACGATGCATGAAGGCACAGGTGTTATTCTTTTCAAAACTATGAAATATTGACTTACCGAAGAATTAAATGTGGCCCTGCCGGTTCGATGATAATGAAACGCAAACTAATCCTCGAATGACAGAAGTCAGCGATGTATCAACTGCAAGGCCACTTCATAGACTGTGATAGACTGTCATTATAGAATAAGGTTAACTATTTATATATTCAATGCATATTACCATAGATGAGCAACTAAATTGGAAATATGAACAATAGTACTATTCCTTCTATACCGCAGTCGGTTTCTCTGCAAACAGTCAAGGCAATGGACCACATTTGTTGATCATTGGGCTATTTTCTTTACCAGCAGTCGTGTGGTCGCCATTTTGTACCCTAAGAAGTGCAATATAAGTAGACTTATAAAATTTACCTAGACGGCGTGAAAGAAATATTTAAATGTACTACTCACGTAAAAGAGAAACAGGTATAAAAATATTAACAGAGAGCAAGCATTTTGCACGATATAACGTATCGATATACACCGAACTGGAAAGTGCAGCCGACAGTTGTCGAATAAAGTCGAGGATTACCGAAAATGACCGATCGTACACGAACTTAATCTATTTAAAAGGGCGAAGTGCAAGTGGAAAAATATCATTTGAATATTATATTCTGATTTAAGAGTAGTTTGTACGAATAATTCTATATACAAGAGATAAATACCTAGCTCGAAAAAGAATTCAGTTCAGGAATAACACTTTTGACTTTCCACATATATGAATATTTATATCTGCCGGGTATCGCGAACTTCTACCTCTCGCTAACTCAGTTACGTTAAGAGCAGCAAACATGGTACATCACGACTCGCGTGTAACGGCAGAAAAAAAATAAGAAGATACTTGATAACGTCACCCAAAAATCCATTACGCACCAATCCTTATTAAGGCCACAAGGAACAACGTTTCTGAGCACTGTCGCGTTAAAGCATCGTGCGGAATGCGGGGACCCACTAACTTGGTTATGGTATAGCAGTCATTCAGGTCAGGATTATATGCCGCAAACAAATAACAATGCATCGAAAAGCCCATGATTTTCGTAGCGGCACCATCATCGTAGGTCCCCACTGTTTCAACTAGTGCAAAAGCCGCGAAGAAACATCATAGAGATCGACCGTCTATGCAGAATAAATATTGACCGAGTTCGAAGATCCAGTGAAATTTTGTCTCATTGATAAACGAGGAGAAAACGAAACGTCAGTAATTGCGTCGCGACGCTGTATATATGTATTTACGTAAAATCGCCATGGTCTACTCCCCTTTATTGCAAGGAATTCCTCAACCTCAACGACCTTGAGTAACCTCGCGAAGATGAACACGAGTTCCACGAGGCGGATTAGAATCCGGACGCGGATCTGAATCATTTGTATCTTTAATACCGGTACTCGGTACTTTCTTTTCCTATGCGTCACATGTACTTCCGGTTTGACATTTTTAATTACCCGTTTTACTTTCATCCACAGGTCCGTTACGCAAAAATGGGACTAATGTAAGCCTAGTACATGAGAATCTACAGGTCACCTGGTTGAAGGTTTAATTTCACTGAAACATTTTCATGGGAAAGTTGATCGTTTTCGTGAAATTTCATTACGAAAAATGTAACCAAGGGAACGTCACACCTAAAGAGACAGGCCCAATACTTATTGAATACCTTGGATCTTAATCGATCTGTATATGAACTACAGGAGCAAGTGCATTTCGAGCAAGGTTACGACAGTACGTACAATATACAAGTCCCATTGGAAGACCCCTAGCTCTCGTACGGATGAACATTCTCGAGGGGACTACAACCTTCGAGTCCAAGACATGCGAGAGGTTATGTAAATCGGGCGTGCGAGTCCCGCTAGCCGGTTTTCTGTGTCGAATAGCTGTAACAGCACTCTTCTATGTGTCTCTACGATGAAGGAACGTCGTATACAGGAAGACTCGTCCACGCGAGTCGGTAAGGCCCCTCAAGGTGTATGTAAGACGTTTAACGAAGAGGCCTTCTAGGGTCTTAGCGCTAGTACATGCTCTGTATATTTCAGGTCTTACTGAATCTTCTGATGTCTTTGCTGGCCACATAGACGAAATATCATATCTTCGGGATAGTTTGAATTTTATTTACACGCTAAAGTTATGTGAACTCTACTACGTCCATTGGTAATATCAGCATATAAGACAGGTAATAATCGCGAATGATATTTTTCCAGCAAAATCATTAACGCATAGCGGTGAAGTGTATAACCAGTTATCACTACATTTTTGTACAAACGTGATCGTGAATTTGTAGTACATAAATTTATTCCACAGCTGTGTAAGATTGAACTTGGAGCACTCTATACGTTCAGTGAACTTCTATAGTATGGTTTAAGAGTTTCTTGGCTTTACACTCCCTACTGGGACTGATAACCGCACGTTATACTGATGATTAGCGTGATCTTCTTAATAAGAAGAAGTCATATAGCATCCCGCTACTGATACAGTTATAATGAATAACGTTTTTATGGACACCCTGGTTATCACGGATTGCAGGATGAATACAATATAGGGGAAAAAAACTGTAAGGTACATTTTTCTTCTAAAACCACTCCTTGTTCATCTGTAAATTTTTCACCTCGGTTAATAAGCGGTTGCGCTTATGCCATTTAAGAAAAAGGAAACTGTACAAGTATCTGTAAAACGTGTACAAGTTCTTTTCTACGAAGTACTGCAACTTTGTATAAAGTATGATCATTTTTATGTCAAATTAAATTCGTACTCGATGATAATAAAAACTGTACAGTCAGTCTAACGAAACTAGTGAAAAGGAACATTTTTTTTATTGAGTCAACCAATCGATATGCTTCATTACACAATTGATCTGTGTTCTTTTATACTGAGATTGTATTTTTTGTTTGTTTGTCGAAGGACATGTGACCATCGAACTCGATACGGATTGATCTTGAAATTGAGACGCAATTTGGTAAAATTTCACACGCTTCAATGGAAATATCTACTAGAATGCTGCTCTTCGTTATACTCTCGTGCAGTAACATTGGCCTATATGCACTTTCAATTCGTGCACGTATGCACGAATACACAACAAGATTTAACCAGCGCGTTCTAGAAGGCACGAGAGACGTTTTGTTTACACTTGCTACAAAAAAGAAAGTATATAATGCTTTTCGAGAGTCAATGTTCTATTGATTCTTTTTCTTGGATTGAAACTTTGTCATAATTATGTACTGACGCCACTGGGTAAATCTTTTCAAGTAAAATCAGTTTGAATTACGTTTGAAAACAGATTGCTCTCCGGGTCGTGATTACAAAATTGAATTCAAAAATGCTCTAAGTAGTCCTTCGGAATTCCGTATCGTGCTTTCTGATTGGTCAGTTCCATTGAAAATAGTTACAAAGGTGAGTGTTCATTGGCAGAACGGTTTACCCCCACGGAGACCGCAGGCTATATAGAAGACTCCGCCGGGAATTTCATCTTCAGAACTGAGAGTCAGTGTCAGGGAAAACTACCCGGAATTTACTAAGTGAGTACTCAAGCCCTTTTTAATAATTAATAATAACTTTTTTGAATACTATTTTTTTTTCTTCACTTTTGCGGATAGACTTTTATGCTTGAAGACTCTTTATAATTTTTCACATATTTATTCGTTTGGGTATACTACTGTTTGGATAATTTTTTTAAAAAACAATATTAATTTTACACTTTGAATTTCTTACGTGTTACTCGAATAAAAAATTAATTTTTAACGACGTTTAAGATTAAATTATCAAAAATTACATCGTTTCTGTATTTTTAAGTAATTTTCTATTTTATTCACAATCTCTTATCTCTAAACGTCAAGCTCCATGTTACACTGTAAACTGCGGAAGTCAAGTCCAATTTTCTTTCAATTAACTTCGGGTCGTTGCTTCTTGAAATTTTCTGTTGAATGGGAAAGAACAATTTAAAAATCCATTTATATTGTTAGAGTAGCAAAATCGTCTTTTGAAGTTTCTCCGGGTAATTTCTTTACTATGAAAAATTCGCGACCTCACCAACTAACAAAAAATGGCTACAGTTATTTTATCTCTCGTCCGAGAGCAGGTAGTAAATACCTTCGACAGATATGAGAGTACAGTTAGAAACACATTAGGCAATAATTCCTACGTATATCGCGTAGCATTTTCAAAATACAGTCTATTAAAAAGATTTATTTGAAATTTCAAGAATCACTCAAATCAAAATGTCTGCGATGATAATTAATTAAGAAGTTCGGTTAGCTCGCGTAAAAAAAAATGAATTTTCAAAATGGTGTCGAGTATTCGTTTCATCGAAGAGAGAATCAAGAAGAGAACCGAACAATGAGTGTCAGGGTCAATGTTGACGATCCTGAAATCGCGACTGACAGAAAGTGGTAATACAGGTAATGGTTAATGGGTTTCGGGAGGCCCATAGAAATATTCTCGTGCTATTCCTTTCTTAAGTTGTCATATTTTTTTTCTCCGACAAACCGGCGGCAGTAGGTCGCGACCGCCTTTTCGAATAACGGTGCTCCGCGAGTTCAATAAACCTTCCGATCAAAAGTGGGTTAACAAGTGATTGCCGTGGTTTTACTAAGACGGCCTTAACCGCCATGACCTCCTTTCATGGTCAAGGCTCCTTGGTGTAAATCAAATCGAAAAAATTGTTTGAAAAATAAATTTGACGAAAATTCATAACCAGACAACGTCAACGGTGAATTCCATCACTATCGAAAAAGATAATGAGGTTTTGAAAAAAAAAATGGTTTAAGAATTTCCGGTAGTTATCAGCTTTCAAAAGGGACAGGATTGACTCATTAGCAAAGGATCCTGCGTGGAGAAAAAAAAATGCTAGAAAATCCCTTAAAAATTTTGAGAAGATATTTTTTGAATTTTGAAAATTACCGTAACTCGATGCAAATTGTTGGAATTCTTAACGGGACCTCATTGCAAATGGGTACAGATGAGATGGTCCTGATAGTGCATTTACCGTTTTCGCATTTCTACTGATTTCTCCTACTTTCTGTATTTACCAGGTTACGCAGTTGAGGTCAATCCTTTGTTAATTTGATGTCCGACATTTTTGTTTCAGGATGCAATACCAGACATACGTATCCTTGTGCCTTGTGGCGCTTGTCCTTGGACAAGCATCTGCATTGCCCCAGCATCCTCAATACTCGCCTCAATATCCTCAGCAATATCAGCAGGTTCGAGACGATCGAAAATTTGCTGAGAAGCCTAACGCTATGAAGAAAGTTGCTCTTGATGATTTGGATGACATCAGTACCAATCAGATTCAAGTAACCTGATGTTATAAAAAATTACGTTGATTTTTCATATTTAAAACAAAATTGCGATTAACGTTATTCTTATTTCCAATTAACAGGAAGGTGCTGGCAGTGCATTCTCATGGTCCAGCATGTTGGGTATGCTCATGCAAATGCTACTTGGCCAAGCTGGTGGGATTGCTGGTCCCAGCAAGAATGAAATCGACGAAGGAGTCCCAGCTAGTCCCTGGGCCAATTTACTGTCCGTAGGCCTTAGGGTCCTCACTGCCCTTTTAGGAGGACCTCAACAGTCTGTAGATGGCATCGACAAGGTCGACAATCAGAGCAGCCCAATGCAGGTACTTGCACTGTACTTTCTCTTCTTGCTGGTACGAAAGTGACAGGGTTATCTGTGAAAGAAATGTAAACAAAAAATGATAGCTAGTACAATTCTAGTAGAATTGAATTCTTTTCTATGTCGTGAAGAAATTATCTCTTTACTAAACTCGACGTAATTCTTTTCTTGACTTTAGAATAACGTTTTGGCTTTTATCAGTGCACGCATTACACACTACACGCAAATTTTGCTTTTACACTGTTGCTTTATCCTGAGTCTCCGATGAAAATGCGTGAGAAGCACTTACGTGGCTGGCAACGTATTTTACTTATTTTTTTTATTCTCTTTTTAACATTTTTTTTTGTTATGAGATATCATAAATGTAAAATACGTTGCTCTAGGGTATCGAATTCGTTTGTAAATAATTATCAAAATTTGGACTTGCAACACATATGGCTGGTGTCGGTTGTTTAGGGAATATTGACAGCGGTGCTGGGCGCATTTCTAGGACAGGGCAGAGATCCTGATCAGGTTGCTGTCATGGCTAAGCAAGCATCCGAGGTTAGTACGAAATTAAGAAACTGGAAATTGTCGTGAACCATTTGCTTTGCGTGTATATATATATATGCAATAGAGACGCTTTTTCACATTATACATCAGCTGTCAATTACACAAACAAGTATATATACGTTGAACGACTGTTGACCATGTAGAAAAGTATTGAAATTTTCTGTTCCATAAATTTGTATACCGCCTAATCTAACCTACGAACTTTTTATACGCAACAGTTCATAAGCATCGTTGTCAATCTGCTCGATGCTCTTAAGACTTCATTCTCGCATCGTTCGATGGCAGCACGTTCGCTGGGACGTCGCGATTCCATTTCCGAGGCTGCAGTAGCTTCCATTTCCATGGCCAAGGTATTTAATTAATTGAAATATTTTTATAAAGCAGTGCCTAAAAAAAATGAGAGAAGATTTAACTAGAATTTTATTTACTTATTCAAGGGCTACGTACGTTCCTTGAAGTCATTCAGTAGCGTAGGACGTGCCGAAGACGAAGGTCAACGAGGATGTGCCGAACGGGCCCTTTGTGAAGCCAGTGCCGAATGTGTAGCTGATACCCAAGGAACATCATCCATCTTTTGTCAATTGGGATCGTGAGTGATTTTGTTGATTTTAAAGTCTCAGGTCCACTTGGACTGTTCATACGAAAATGGATGGTCGCAATTAATATTTTTGTACTATTCTTAGGTACGCGACAAGCTATCTTCTACAGAGGCAAAGTGGCGTCGGTTTTGAAGCACTTTATGAGGCCGGAAGACGCGGTCGTTCTGGCGAAGATTGCAGAACGCTCTTCCTGGATTGTAACGCTGTTTGAATGGACTCGTCGTAGCGTGCCTGAGGTTGGCTCAAGGATTATAATATATATATTAGATTTTTGAGTCGAACTCGAAGTGACAACGGCAAGGCTAATTTGCAGAAAAAAAGGGAAATAGGGAAATTGAGGAATTTTGTCGTACAATATTTTAACGCTGACTCGTCAAAGATTCATCGTATCTTTGTGTGTTTTTGACAAATGTTTAAGCACTTTTTGTTTTTTCTTTTTCTCGAGGAACCTACGAATCTTCAATTTTACTCTTTCTTGGTACTCTTCTTTGTTCCCGTGCTCTGGCTATACGATCGTATACATTCTTCTGTCGATGAATAAGAAAAAAATGGAAAAGGTTTGAAAATTTGTCTGTAATACACAAAAAGCTTTTTACATACTGGTACCATATTGCCGCTGACAAGTGTAATGTGAAATTTTCCATTTCTTCTGTTAGTTAGTCTTGTCTGCCACTTTGAAAGAGAGAGAGAGAGAGAGAGAGAGAGAGAGAGAGAGAGAGAGAGAGAGTAAAATTGGAGATTCGTAACTTCTTCCTTTTTTTTATAGGTAAAAACACTTTTCGTAGAAGTAGACTGAACAAGACTTGAAACTTAGGTAAACTTAATGTGGCATTTAAGTTCAGCTAAGTGTCGATACTACGTTAATATTATTTATTTATATTTATTGTAGTAAAATTTAAGAACGAGGACACTTGTACTCGTCAACAGCGATATTAAGCGAAATATGAGAGTCTTTATTAACCGAGCACTAATAATGCTTGACAATGAAATTTTGTAAGGGGAAAGAAACTGGCATTTTCATAATTCAAAATTTCACGATTCCAACGAATACAAGCGACACGAACTTTTGGAATACAGTTTTTTCGAAGGCGAGAATATCCCGTGAGTGGCAGTATTTAAAAAATTCTGCGTCCTTTATAGCTTTCTCATTTTTTACACATTTTAATCGCCTTAGGTAATCATAATAATATTAATAATTAAGAATTAGTAATATTCGTTTTCATGGGAGAAGACGAGCTTAGAGTTGACGGCAATGAAAGGCTAGGTAATTCCGATGGTTCGAAGAATCTCGTACGACCGCATCGTAAATACAAAATAAAAGAATATTAAAAATATTTTAAAATAATTAAAAAAAAAATTTGAATCGAAAATCATAACTTGCTCAAATCTCAATGCGACGGTTGCGCGAGTTTCACAAGGAAAGACCTCCCGACATTCTTACGAGTTAATATCTCAGGATATTCTTTATTTTTTTTCGTTCTTCAAACTTATTTCGTTTTTTTTTTAATCACCCACTCGAAATTATCTACTGTATATATTATTAAATGGCTGGGAGTTTATCGTAGCTAACTATACCTATATAGATCACTTCATGTAGAATTCAACTAGGCTATAAGTTGTATGTATGTGCATTAGTATGATTGTAACTTGAGCATCCAATAAAAAAGCGCTATCAAAATATTGTTATTTCTTAGAAAAAAAAATTCCTAAAAATTACAATTTATATTTACAACTACATTTCCTGCTATTTCTACACGACTTACAAGGCTCTGCCTGTAGTTAGACATGCAATTACACATAATTCGATTTTGACGCAGCGAAGCGACGATTCAAGGAACTGTGAAAATTCACGCTTCCAGTGTCGCCAACAAGCGTAAACTGTAAAGACGCAGCGCCATGCGTGACCTGACAATGAACACGAAGGATCCACCTAAACAGTAGTATGACAAAACAGTAATTTCTCGGACCTTGTCAGAGAAAGTTGTGTCCTCTGTGCAGAGCGTGCAATTTTGGTGCAATCTCAGTCTAAATTCCATAATTCGCAACGTCCGCGATAGTTGCAACATAATCGAAGACACATCCGGGTGAAACTTGAACGTAATTCAAACAACTTTATTGTCCAGTAAAATCTTGAGTCTCGTCAATTTGTCCAGACCAGACAATGGATATTAGAAAAATAATACATAAAAAATAGACTTACACGTTACGCTTTCGTTTGCATCACTTTCAGATGACTTTCAAGTCCTTAATGAACTTTGGTGGTTTCTCTGGGACGCCATCCACAGCCATGGATCGTTATCACAGTGGTCCAAGTGGATCATACGATCATGGATACAAGCACAGGTAACGTAAAGAAAAATTAATGTATGGTTATCGCAAGGATAATGATTAAGAGAAATATTGTATCAGTTACAAGGGCAGTGGGAAAGGAGGCAGTGGTCATGGAAGTGGAGCTGCACTTAGTGCATTGACCCTTCTGGCATTTTTGTTTTTAATAAACGTAATGCAGGTAATGGGAAAGATAATAATCGAATTAATAAGTGTCATTCAATCGTAACAATTTTATGGTATATTTAGCAATCAATGCAAGACACGAATTCTACGACGACAGCGACAATCTTACTGCGGGAAGAAACGGCACCACTAACTTTGTCTGCAAGAGACAATGAAAAATCATCAGGAATAAAAGTTGATAGCAGAACTCACGTTAGTGATGTATTTTTGGTACCTGTTAAAACGGCTAACCATGATTCCAACAATGACAATTAAATTGGATGCTACTGACAATTGATTGGCTTTGTGTAACAAGCGTTTAATAAAAATGACAAATTAATTTAAATGTCATTAAATGGCTTCGTTGGATTTATACAGAGTGTATCGGTTAAGATGCACGTTTGGAACGAGAATTTAAACCACGAAACCGCCTACGGTAGTTCGGGATAAGTTTACTAGGGGGCGTGGAATTCAAAAAATTCCGTTAGAGCCGGAAAGCGGAAGACTGACAGGGCCCTACGACCGGGAACACGCCTATGCCGAACTCCAAATACTTACTCCTGTAAGTTCGAAAATCTATGGCGAGAAACACGTGGAATCCAAAATGGATATGTAAACTTCCAATAATTGGCAATAAAAAAGATAGTACTGCAATACGTTTTAGCCATTGTGTCGAAATTATACACCGATTCACCGCGAATCGTAAACGTGCATCTTAACTGATATATTCTATATGTGCTAGTGACTTTTTAGTTCACATCCTTCAACCGTTTGATGATTAAGTGAAGATCGTGGCGAATGTCATTATTGTAAATGATTTGAGGCCACTCATTAAAACACAAATATTTTATTTCCCGAACATGAGGTTGTCCAACGTCTCTTCGTATGGTACGTGTATAATGTGTCTGATATAATATATTAATATACGTTAGCACTTTGAAAATGTATTTCTTTCGATAATTTTATGTACATAACATTAGAAACATTTAAATATCTTGCTTATTTTTTTCTTGTTCTCGTAATTCTTACGTCTTAAAAATAATCACGAATATTCACATATTGCTAGAGGGTTCAAGTATAGCCGCCGTCTCGATCGGATCGATTTTTTAAATTTACCTTTAAACTCATTTCATTAGCTTTTACTTATTACTCCTCGGCGTCTTTTCCCAGACTACCGTGCAGTACGTGTAAGCTTTCACTTGCACGTTCGAAACCTTTGACCTAACCTGAAATAGTCAGGTAAATTCTTAGACAAGACCAGGCTCTCAAGTTACTTTTATAATATTCGCCTGGAAAAGGTTAGAAAAAGGATTTTGTAGGAATAATATATACTTAATTCCTTCTTTTTTTTTCTTGGACTGTAGGAAAAGGTCGAAAGGGACATGAGTCTGTACACGAACGCTAAGTTACAATTATTGCGCTGACGTATCACGAATTTTTCACGAGTAGCGAGGTTGATTGTGAAAATGTAAGAATTTCACATAAAAAGGAGTAGGGAAAAAATAGAAAAAGCCATAACTCGTCGAAGTAACTGTTTAATATGCTAGGATGCACCATTTTATTTCAAGACCCATGCATCTTGAGTAACCCCGCATAAAGTCTCGTTATATGAAGAATGAAAAATTTTTCGAAAAAAATTCTATGTCGACGAGTTTTTCAAGTTTATCCTTTCCTTGTTTTTTTTTTAAATAAATTCTTATTAATGGAAAGTTCGACGAAGCGTACGGGCAGCCCAGGGCACGTTTATTAATATATTTCAAAATTTTCATTAGCTAAACATCAAAATCTAAAAAAAGGTTCTCCTTCTTTATATCTATGGTACACTAGCTACAGCAACCCAGGGATTCCTTGGGATATCCATTTTGGGGCCTTAGACTCTCATACTTTTCCTCATAGTAAGACTTCCTAAATTCTCACCTATAGTAACGCCTCTCAGAAAAAAAAGTCGGCCATTTTGAGAAGATATATCAATCTATATCGTTATACCGTTCGTGTCCTTACTTCTTGGCATTATTTTATTTTGTAGCATAGCTAAATTATAGTTTTCATTAATTATTATTTAGAGCAGGTGACACAAAAATGGCTCTTTGGGTTTCAATCAATTCCGGTACGCGATTCATTTAGAAACTCGAAGAATTCTTGTATACCAAACGAGTGCAAGATTTGACTCCATTTACAATACGTTACTATATCCATTCATTCTCGTTCTTTTCTCTTGTTCGCTTTGCTTTTTAGTAATGAAAAAAAATTCACCAGCTTGGCCGGGCGCATTGGAGCCAAAACTCAAAAAGTTTCACGAGATTCTTCCACAATGAGAAACAAAGCGATAACCGACAATATACAGGCTCGCCATTTTTATTTTCATGAACCCGCTTGGTATACCGCGAACAGATGATAAAGATACTGCCTCGATATTTATTAAGTACTTCGTTTTGAACACAGTATAGTTTTCTCGCATAGAAAATACGTCTATCAGTAGAAGAGCAAAACTACGAAGAAAACGTAATCCTTTGAGCGGAGAAAATAGAATATAATTACAATTAATAACATTACGATATAACATGCGTTTCGGTGAATTCTTTATGATTGCGCAGGTCGCTTTTTAACGTCTGAGTAATCGCACTCGGTACCAGACGCACATTATAGAATGGCTGTACGGCAAAGTGAATGAATTTGACTTTTTTCATTTCCTTTGAAAAATTTTTTAGGCGACAATAACGTCTTACGTAAAATTCTTACTTTCACCGTAACCATTTCGTTTCGTGTGTATATATGTATACTTTACAGTGCCACGTGCAAAGTCAGAATAATTAAATCTCTCATTAGCATTACTAAGTATAGAAGATACAAAACAAGGTAATGCAAGGTTTATAACACCAACGTGCCGTAAGAAAAATCACGGGGTTGATACGTAACTGGAAACGGATGTGTAACGAGTGATCGATACTTTCGTTAAAGAATCAGAGAGATAAATAAAATGATTTCAATGTTATTTATCTCTCGATATAAAAGAAACGCACGGGAATTGTCCTTAGTCTTTTGGAAATTTAATCACGGCCAATAAATGTGTATCAATATATTAAGATAAATGGCTTAACATTTTAGTTAGACACGGGGACGTCTCTGTAATGAGTAAAAGTTTTTTATGGACCATCCCGTACGTGTATAGTGAAGAAAGTCGACATTATTAGCTGTGACTAGATTTTCAATGGACATGCTAAAACTTAGGACTGTTTACCGGGTTACGAAGGAAGGTCAACGTGTGCAAATGAGCAAAGAAGTTCAGGCTTTGCTAAGAAGATGACTGAGATAAAAAGAAACTAGTTCATAGATCTTCTCACGTTGTCTCTGTGACTTTGAACTTTTTATGGTCACTGAAAAACAAATTGATAAGATTTATCGAACAAATATCTATTACGTATGTCTTCATCTTAGTTATCTCCATAGCTAGGCAAGAAGATTTGGAAGAAATTTCAGCCGAATGCTGTTCGGTGATTTACTGATGCACCTCGTCAGTCTCCTCTTGCGATATGATGCTGGACCGATTCGATCTTAGATCCAAGTCCATCCCGAATGGTTTCATTGGGCCCAGAAGAGCCTGAGTCCCAGGGTCCTCGATACTCAGACTACACTCCAACGAGCTGTCACTGAAAGTACAGAAACAAACTTCTACTCATCACTAATGTCTTCAAAGATCGTACTTGAATGATTAACACTTTGTTTCTCGTCAAAATCGTACCCAATTTCTTTACCTGACGATGCTGGCACGGTCGCCGGAACTTGTGGGTACCGTGCAGTTTTCTCCGTTGCAAGGACGTTCTCCGTTACTTGTGCAAGTGGTCCTCTCTCTCATAGACGCCCTTCTGGACTCCTCGTGACACTCGCATCGACATTCTTCCGGTTGGACGTAGCTATAGCCACCCTTAGCATCGTCATCCGATCGTGGGATTGTTTGGATCCTCTTTGGGGCCTTACGCCTCTCTGGAATCTCCTCAAAGTTTATCCAGTTCGTTGGTCTTGATGGTGCACGAGGTGGTAACGGCGGGGGACTTGGTGATTTCCCGGCGTTTCTTCTGCCGCCGTCAGGAACCTTTCCAGCGAATTCACTGAAAGTATTTGCTGCTTGCTTCCTGGGACTCTTTAGTTTGAAACTGTCCTCCCGGGGAAGAGATATCTTCATCTTCTCGACTCGACGCTCATCCAAGGACGTGTGCATGACGAACTCGTCGAGTAATGTCGGATTTATCGGCGTCGTTGATCGAGGTCGCTCGATTGGAATGGTCCTGAGGATGTGGATAAAGTAATTTTTTAAAAAGGTTTCTTATCTTTATTACATAGATTAAGAATTTTTTTCTCTTGAGAATGATAGTAGTTATTCAAGTCATTGCCGTGTCAAAATTAATGACTCACCTTACTTCCTGAAGTCGTTGTTTCACTGGTAGCATAGGCAGAGCGACACTCTTCTCGAGAGGCAAGGTCGTCGGCACGTAAGGAAGATCCTCTTCGAAACTTTCCTCGTAGAAGAGTCCCTTCCTCTCGTCAGGAAGTTCCTCAGCTACTTTTTCTGCCTTGTTCCTGATGAATTCAATCTCGGAATCCCTCTCCGACTCAGAGCTGTTATGATCCAGGTCGGACACTACAGAAGGCGTCTTGACAAGACCATCAGTGACTTTTAAAGAATCCTCGAAGGCATCAGACTTTTTAACCTCCTTGATCATCTGGGTGGAAGAAGGTTCGTTGCCATTGATCTCAGTCTTTTGCGATATATCATCAGATATTAGTTCTGGAGGCTCTGTTTTCTGGGCCTCCTTGCTCTTTCGCTTCGGCTTCACAACTTCCGGTCTCTTACCTATCGAGTCCTTCAATGAGCTATTTGACAATTGCAGCTCTGACATTACCCTATTACTCTCGTTAGACCCAGATTTCGACACGGCAGTGTCCGGGATCTCAGAATCCCTTATTTGGGTCTTCGGTGTTTCGACTTTTGACTCCTTAGATGAACCTTTCGAAATTTGAGACTCTTTTGAAGCACTCTGAGACATTTGATTTTCCTTTGAGGTAGTTCGCGACGTGGTACTCTCTATCTTGGCCTCCGTCCTGATTTGATTCGAGGATCTGTGTTCTATAGAAGCCTCGGTAATGATTTTTCCAGGTCGTGGCTCCGATTCATACTCATCCAAGAGCTTCGTCGGAGTTTCCAATGGTATGGAGACGCTCTCCGACGGCAGAGCCTCCTCGTAATTTCTATCGTCGGCGTGAAGGCTGATGAAGATAGAGTCATCCTTCTTCTTATCCCTCTCTGTATTAAATGTAAACTCCACGTTTCCGATGCTTTCCAGAGAAGGATGTTCACCGTCAATCGGAGTACCAGCAGCATCGTCGCAGCTCTTCTTCCTCTCACGCTTTTTGAAGAGGCTCAGGGTGGACGAGAAGACACCTTTGTTCTTCGAATCCTTCTTCAGGGTGGAGCTTCGTTCGATCGAGACTCTTTCTCTAGACTTGGATCTGCTTCTAAGACTCTCAGTGGTGTCCTTGATTTTTGAGGTTAGACTTCTACGTGGTTTAATGCTTGGCGTTGGTGACTCTGGACTCAGGGCACTGCTATCGGTTCTGACCTTGAACAAGGATGCGAAGCTACTCTTCCTGGATACAGAGGAAGGACTAGGCGTCCTGGAACCCTCTAGTTCTCGTACTTTCTGATGTCTAGGTAATTTTGGACTTCCCGTCGCGCCGCTCGAGGTTGGTGGTGTTTGCACGATTTCCTTAAAGTTCTGCGGCTTTTTTCTCTTGTCGTTCAGATCAAGGGTTGCTGGTTTTTGAACCTCCAGAGCATTCTTGTTCGGCGGCTCCGATTGTTTCTTAATGATAGGAACCTGTCCAGGTTGAGAATTACAAGGAACTTACTCTGGATTCCTTAAAATAGTGCATGGTGCATGGACTTATGGACTTACGTCGATGTTGACCCTCTCTAAAACTCTCTTCGTTATTTCCACTTCTCTTTTGAAGATTTCCTTCCTCTCCTCGCGACCTCTTCTCCTCGGCTTATCCAATGGATCAGGCTTCAGGTTACCCTCGATTATCGGTACTTTTATACTCTCCGGTATAAGAGCCTTGGTGGTATCAGCTTCTCGTTGCAGGAGAATCTTTTCAAGATCATCTGTTTCTGGTTTCGAGGGCTCGATCAAGTTATCCGCCAAGGTCGGTTTGCTACCGCAAAATGACGTTTCCAGGAGACACTTGTGCGGACTCGGCGACCTTGAACAATTCACTGGGATGCGTTACCGAATACAGTACGACTAAAAGCTATAACCATCTCATTAAAATGTGACATGTAAATAAAGCATAAACGATTCCATTCACGGAACATAGGAAATCCATTCACTGGCTATTACCATCACATTATCACATACCTAGAAGAAGTGGCAGAGACAACCGATAGCTTCCCAGAGACACCAGAACCCTGACTACCAACGGAAGACAACCTGGAGGTCCTACCACTGATGTTCAGCAGTATAATTTCGGAGCAGTTACTATCCTTACGTTCCCTATCCTGCAGTTGCTTGATGCCACCGTATTCAGATTGAGTCCCATCTTCTTTCCGTTTACGTGCCATCTTCTTGGAGTCTCGTCTGAGGTCCTGCTCGTGAACAGGATCATGAAGATCCAGTTCCTCAGTAGATGATCGTAGATCCTGCACATCCTCCTTGTATCCCAGGTTCAGCTTGCTACCAGGAGGAGGTTCAATGCCTGTAAATATTTATTAAAATAATTTGAGGTTAGGTCAGTCATCCAATCCTCATCTAAAACTTCTCATAACTTAATATTCTTTACCAGCAAGTAATTCTCTCTCCGGAGAGGATTCTCTCGAGTTGTTGCTGTCCTCATGGTGAGAGGAACTGCTCGCCCGGCTTATGTCGATCCTCGGCGTGCTCGGTGTCTTCAGTGAGCTTCCGGGCGTCGATACTTCGACGATACCGGGCATTCGGCTTGCCGCTTCGCCCTGCATCAAAATCCGAGAATCCTATTGGAGTGCCGAATGGTGAAGGAGAGTAGACGACAGTGGACACTCTCCGCGAGTCGTTATCCCGCTAGGAGTTCGCCGGATCGGAAATGAATTTTGAAGGGGTTCCTCGATTGAGAGACAAGAATAAAGAGTGAAGTAGGTCGTGTGGACTTCGAAGGAACTTGAGAACTCTCTCAACTCACGTTTTCCACCTCGTCGGAGAGATCTTCGAAGGATGCTATCGGCGCCGGTCCCAGTTTCTTCTGATGGACGCTCGGTAACCCAGACGCCATTTTTCACTATTATTGCTTACGAGCACTGAAAATGAACAAGAAAGTCAATTCGGCTGAATAAAATATTTCACTAGTTTCGCGAGGTTCCTCCTTTGTTCTCAGAACGATGCTTCACGCTCCTCTGGACTACCAAGCCGAACAAATGTTTTTCTTCTTCATCTTGAATCAGTGTACAATAACCTCATCGTCAGAAAAAATATATACCCGACATAAAAAGATCTTCTGTCTATTTCCCTTTAACCTCGAGTTTATTTAACTCCAATTCCAAATTCCTTGAGTAATTCTCTCGTGGAATTTATTCTAAAAATTTATGACTGCTTTTACGTGTCTGACTACACCTACCTGCATCGCGAAATAAACTCCTTTCAGCGTCCCGACGCACGAACTAGTGAAGCGCGATGACTAAACGAGCGGACAAGTCTTTCCTAGGGAGTTAATTATCAACGGTGTTAGTACGCGTACACGAAGGACGAATTGATTAGGTCACTACGCATCGTTCTACGTGTCCCGGTTCACGGGTCGATCGCATTTCTGCCCTACTAAATATATTCCGATCCCATCGCGACAAAAAATTCAACATTAAGGAATCCATTTTTCTTTATTCAAAAGCAGCGCCAACTTTGATCATAATCGTAACCTCTTTTCAAATTGATCGACCTTACAGAAAACTCATAAATTTCAGCCTACAACGATTAAATACCGAGAACATATTTCCTGCGATATTTTCATGTTTCTTTGCGTATAATAGTAAATTCGAAATTATCAAAAATTTAATTATTTTAACTACTACAAAATTCTTCGACGTCCACATTACAGCGTGGAAGTGGTATCATATTCAGGGTTCATGTTACTGTGCCAATAGCTTGAAAAGATGTTATATTCGTGATACAATTAAAGAAAGGTTAATTTCCTAAGGAAAGACATTACAGTGCTTCCTTATTTTTAAGGTTAAGTACTTCCTAGGTACGTGCGTATTGGCCTGAGGCGCGCGATACGTACATGAAATTTACGAATCCACGAAGACGTGAACCAGCATAATTTTAGACTGTCTATTAATAAATTCGTGCTTTTATAGCGAATATCTTGCTATCGTTCAAACTGGCTTTTTTCCTTAAGACATACCTATTACGACATACATTAATCAGAGTGCATCGACATAAAGAAAATGTGAGGTTAGAGCAGTTTAAATATAGAATGATATACACATAGACCTCGGCTACAATAACCATCGAGAATAATTTTAGTTTAAGAACTTTTTTATTATTCTTCATCGATTTTCAACCGTTCCGATAACACATCGCCACTCTCTGTATCTTATTATCCTTAAAGGCTAAAAAGGATACAACTCTTAGCGTCATTAAATAAAACAGGATATCTGTTCAACGTACAATTTTCCAGACACCGTGAAACGAATTTTTTAAATACATAATTAAACGATTCGACAATACCTTGTTTTATTTTTGAGTGGAAAAATACAAGATATAATTATTCAAACATGTAACAATCATTCGAACATATAATGTCTCTGACGTAGCATTGGCGTAAGGATTAATCAAAATGTGTTTTACGTACGTAATTATGAAAAATAAAATCATTTTGTATAACGTAGCTCGCTAATGAGTATGTTAAAATGAGGGTGCCGTGTAAGATACATCATGGTCGATAAGCGAAACAAGGTCGGTCGAATTCGAATATAAATGATTTTTCTTCTTACTAGAATCAATCATGCCATGCAGACTGAGAAAGTCTAGGGATTCTTCTTATGAGGTTATTTGTGGGGATGTTAATTAATAATTAATAATTTTCTATTGGATACTTACCCCAACGTTACCCCCATGCTATCACGTTAGAAATCGATTCCTCACTAGTCCATACTTTTCTTGAACGCCAACCAGGTTCTTTTCAACACTTAATGGCCGCAACACTCACATGGTGATCGACCTGGACACCGCTGAGAATCCCATACCACTTCCTGGTCGTATAACGTTCACGTTCTCTTCATGATTTCTTTTGACAGTGGCTCTGCAAGAGGCGTCGAAGAGGAGCGGGCCACTCGCTCCCTCGGCGTCTCTTTTCACTTTGGGGCCGCCGTGGCGCCAGGCGTCGCTCGATCGATGAATGGAACTGTTCCACCCCTACTGAACCCCTGTAGAATGGTATTTCACGTTTGCCAACTGCTTCAAAGTTGCGGGCTCTAATGGATGCTTACGGACCACGTCGTTAGTGGAAGGAGATAATGAGGTCACCAGGAATTGACTACGTGCTACTTGTTGACTACAAAATTTGTTTATGACGTCGAAATTCTGTCTCTGGAAAAATATGACAGACTGGTTAGAGAGCTTTATTGGATATCCCTTAGTGGGTAAAGTGTTGAATTTAATCGGTAATGTAGAAAATGCGTAATGAACTTTCTATAGGTAGGAAAGATCGAAAAATTTTTGAGGAAAAGGTTTTCTTTTTTTCTTTTAAAGACTTCAAGGGATTTTCGTGTATATAAATGATTTATTTTGTTAGAACGTACATTTGCGCCTGCACAAAAAAAAAAGATTGTATTATATAAAATGAGATGAATTTTTCTTTTTTTGCTTTTTCTATTTTGCATTTTGAGACTAGACACATCACAAAGAATCTCAGTGCCGATATTATAGATGTATACTCTTAATGCTTCAATTCGTCTGATTCGCGAGACGAGTCCAACATCGAAATCCAAAAACATTTTCTGTCTTTGCAGCTTCCGGTATCGAGGTCGTAATTCGTGACCTCACTTCCGTATCTGAAGAACCGAACGCGTTATGTACAGGGCCTTGCCAAGCCGAATAATATATTTACAGGGCAGTGTTAGAAGTATTCAAGTTACGCTAAAGCAGGCACTAAGTGACTCTTCAAGGTTTCTTCTTATCAATCTATTTCAATCTTCATTTTCAAAAGATGATAACACGAATAACTGTCACTTCTTTTTCTGCCGCTCTTCGTTTCCCATCGACTCTGGACGAATTGCTAGGGTAGTATCACTTTTCTTCCGAGCACAAGAGAAAGACATACATTTCACTTGAAATTATAAATAATCATCTCTACCGATTACTTTATCCAATATAGTAAATCACATCGTATCTACTCGCAATAATAATTTTGATCAATTCGCCATCAATTTAAGTTACAATCGTTGGTTATAATTTACAAAAATATTCTCATCTTCATCTTTTCCTCGTAACAGTATTAACGTATTACACTTGCAATTCCTTGGAATCGCATTGTGCCAAACCAGCGCAGATCCTCTATTATATCATCGATAGATCCATCCTCATTACAATAGGATGCAAATCCCATTTAATTGTTATTTCTTTTAATGAGTATCACGTGTATTTACATCAGACAATTGGACAACGTGTATCACAGGCGATACGATATACCGGTATGTTTCTTTTTCTAATATTATTACAGTATATCTGAATACCGACTGAAAAATGCATGAGGAAGTTAACAAGAAGAAAAGCCTTGATCCAAGATAACAACACATAAAACGTAATCCACTACCGCATTTATTAAAGGATTTCCCTATCTTCCTTTTCAAGGTAATTATCGAAATTGAATTTTGCGTGCCGTTCCCAGTTACTCATTCGCGTGTAACAACTTATCTGGACTTGGTCACGATTTTACGGCTGCGAATGTAACGAGCTTGGGGCCAATTTTATCGGGCACGCACCAGGATATGTCGAAAATGACCTTGAATACAGAGGGAAAATAAAAATTGGCATTGGATACTGTCAGAATCTTTAGACCTTATCCTTCTCTCTCTTCGTAGGCATATCGATTCACACAACCTGAATCATTTACTCTGCAAACCGCAAAGAGCGAACGAAACTTTCACCTATTGTCAGCCCTGAGGAACCGATAAATACAGATACCAAATCAATACTTATGAACGAACATATCAAAACCTTCATGTTGCGATCGAATGGTTTACACTGAAATCTGATCACTTAAGGAAACGATTCTTGGATCGTTATCGAAGCTGGATCAGGGGGTGATGTCTGATCTGTGTCTTCGTTGATGTCCAATCATCGGTTAACTTCAATATCGTTGATCCTTTCATAGATTCTCTTCAAGATTGAATCGAAGATGTACTCGAGGATGTTGATACGAATCGATTTAATTTACTATCGATTATTATCTCCCCACCCGTTCTTATGTTGTAACGATACAGCTGTTTATTTGGGTAGAGCATTTCCTCGCAGGCGTGCACAGACTTCAGATCCTTGAACAAAAAAAATGTCAATTTTTTTTAAAAGCCTTACTCAAGGAAATTTTCTCATAAATTCTATTCGTACTTTGACAATGATTTATTTCTTGTGCGATTGGGATTATTGGATTTTGATTTAAGGTGTCAGGGACCGTCAAGGTCTTACCTTGAGGTGTCAGAAATTTCTGTTGTTGGTTAGAGAATTTTTGGTGACGGTGATGGAATAAGGATTCATTTTGGAAGAGGATATATTCTAGATCGCAATCTCACATTTCTTAACGCGTCTTTCGAGAAAGCAAAAATTCTGAAAAATAAGACAAGCCCTGTTAACGACTAATTATTTTTCTCACCTGATCTACGTAGAAGAGTCTCATTCTGTTTGCTGGTATTTTGACCATGGACTCCAGTTTTCTTTTCAGTTCGAATACTGTGCGATACACATCAACGGATCGTACCTGATGGAAAAGAAAAATATACATTATTATTAGATGTATTATTCATGAGCATTCTTCAGTTCTTAAGTAAATCCAAAATTTTACTTTACAATATTCCGAAAAAAAATTACCTCGACAAGATCTCCATAAGTAAATGTTACTTTGACTCTCTTCTCTGGGGTTAGATCAACGTGGACCAAGGGATCCAATTTCCCGTGAATTCCAACGAGCTCAGCATACCTATAAGAGTAGTAAAATGAAACTGAGTATTTGGAATAAAAACAAATATTTAGCATTTCACATCGATTCTCCAAGTCGCAGAGAACGAACCAGAATTCGAATCACAAGAATCACCTTTCCGGCCTATCCGCTTCCGGTTTGTCCATGTAATATCTTATGAAGGCTCTCTCAGCATCTTCACGTTCTTGAGATGAAATAACACCACCGCCATTGAGAGTCTCGACGTTCGGTAGCCTGGCTATCAGAAGCTGCCGCCTCTCGTGTTCCGTGTATTCGCTGGGACTCTGTAAGTACCAGAAAGAATTAATCATCAGTCACGGATCATTTTAATTGCCCGAGATTACGTCAGACACCACTCTCATCTAGCGTATCAAGATCTAAAAAAGACCATAACAAGTGAGAAATAAATTTTGAAGCAAGAATTTCTTTTACACGAATATCCAAAGTAAGATCACCAATTGGATTAGTCGCAGTAAATAATTAAGGCATAGAAAGGAATGAATATTTCCAAAAGAAGCGAAAAGAAAGTATCGTTCATCCGATAAGGAAGTAAATTACTGGGCTTTTCTTGATTCGCCACTTTAATTAATTCTGAACTAATTGCAGCATAGGCGACGAACTCAATTCTCTCACCTCGAATAGAGGACACCCTTGCATCCTGAGTGACTTCATTGCAGGAAATCTAGCCAGTCTCTCGACATCGTCCCAAGTTGACAGCAAAGTCCCATTGACATTAAGAAATCTAAGCATTCTGAAAGGATCATGAGGAGATCTAATTTTCGTACTGCTTGACTCGCATTCAGATTCAGTCCTGTTGTAAGCCACCTCCTCTGAGAATATCCTGTTCTCAGGACACTTCTCGGAGGACTCAGGTTCCGGCAGATTCATATTTTCATTATCTTCAGACTTTAAAACTGGCTTCTCCTCCCCATTAACGCCACTGACCCCATTACTTGCTACATTGCGATTCTCTTCAAGCGTCAAGGACCTTATAGGACACTCAGCTAGTACCAGACTCTCAAGATTTGGAAAGACGTATCCCAATTTTGATATTTCATTCCAGATCTCGATAGGATTACCCGTGAAGTGTAATTTCTTAATGGATGCATTCCTGTTCTCTTCCTTCTGATACTCAAGATCAACAGTCTTGTACTCGTTCAAAGACAGATGAAGTTCCTCAAGATTCTGCAAGAGTCTAATAAGACCCTGTACCGTCGACCATGAGACACGTGTGCCATTGAGTACCAAGTTCCTCAGTAAATCATAGCTGCCATGCTTGACCTCCAGTATTTCCGTGAGGCTGTTGAAGCTCAAATTAACGAACTTTATCTTCGGCATATACTGTAAAATCCCAAAGACCTCGTTCCACTGAGAAAGCTTATTCTGGGCGAGATCGAGTTCCTCCACGTTCTTGCACTTATCCTTGAGCTTCTCATCGTCATTACCAGCCGACTCTATGTCGCAATCCTGCAGGACCAGAAGGGCTGGGACGGTATGACGTGGTGATTTCTTCGGGACGAAGATGCTCACCGAGAGTGCCGTTTCTTCGTCGGTCAACGAGCATTCTGTCGTTGAACTCCCGTACTTCAGCTCCAGGGCTTCAAGTAAGGATGGCATCTTTAGATCATTCTGAAAAAGAAATAAAAAATATATATAGCACATACCAAATAAGCAACTAGACAATAACGTCCGTTAAAATGACAGTTGATCGTGGTGTGACGCGGGAAAAAATTCAAATTCAAAACCAATTCGGTTATACGATTTGCTTCTTTTTCTACGAATAATATTAATCTACTGGCATAGTACCTGCTGACTCCACGCTTCTTCCAGTTCAAAACTTGTTCGCGGAATCACTTCAAAAAATCAACCACGACTACCAAGACTTGCTAAGATATATAGAATCTGGTCTGACCATATACGCTAAGGTCAACCATTGTCTTTTTGCGCCGCAGCTGCGAACCGGTCGAGGTTTACACGACGCGCCGTGGAATGGCGCTGCTGTTCACCCACGCAAGAAATATCTTTCGCGACGGTTAAACTAGCCTCTCTTCCCGAAGTAGGGACAGACGAAAAACCATCGGAGGATGAAATCAAAGAAAATTCAATTTTTCTCAGACAACAAGAGCTCTCGCAAAATGTTTGTGTTACGTGAACGATCGGAGTAAGACCATGAAGAAAAAGAATAACGACCTAACCGCACGTTTTGGAAATACGCCAGAGCTCGGAATACCCCGTTTAACACGCTCTGAACATTGCACCATATGCCCAAGTATTTTTGTTTTACTATTTTGCTCAGGGAAAAGCCTTGACTCAGTATGCTCAAAGACTGTAGGGCCTATACAGTGGTTCCATGGAGTATATACTATGCCTATATACTATAGTACAATCATTGTGCAAGTACAGTCGTTAGTTACTAACGTACAGCTACCACTAGTTACTAGTACTTGACGTCAGACTTGCATCCATCTTGGTAGAGCAAATCCGGTTATTTCCGGTATGACTTGACTTCTGTTCCAGTTACTTCTAGTTTATTTGGCTGTCAATCGATGAAAGTTAATAGATACAAATGTCGGTGATCCTAATATCGATGAAAATTTAATATCCATAAGCGAAAGTATCTTCAGGAATCATGAAACTTCTCGAATCGTTGCTGAGCATTGCGTTTATAACCTCAACAGGCTCAGCAACGTTATATTACTAGACTCTCGTATCTTTCTGTTGCAACGTGCTGAGGTCTGGTAACTGTCAGTGTTACTCTCTGCTCACCTACGTAATCGCGATCGGTTCAACGGCCATGCGAAATTAACTTTCTCTAAGCTCTTGCCGTCGTAGCTGTCTGACTCCCTCGGCTTGGTTATGAGGATATTAGAAGTTCGTGACAGAAGCTCCGTATCTGGACGGATTAATATAACGGGTGTCGAGGAAATTTTCATGAGTTTCCTTATTCTCCATGTAGGAAAAAAAATATCCAGCTCAAACGAAATCTAAAAAAAATATATTATCAGTAAGGTTAATCTTCATAGTGATGGAAATCTTGATCTTCAATCAGGTTATCCGTTCCCAACTATTCTTACAATCTGGACAAGTATACGAGACTACGGTAACTGGATGCTAGTTAGAATTCTAATGAAACTTGAGAATTCACCCAAAAAGCTTCTTGTTCCGGTTTTAATGAAGCAATTCGACCATCGAGTTCGTCGATTAGTGACCACGTACCAGGTACGTTAAAATTGCTTATGTCGCTTCAATGAATACTCGTCTTGTGTTGTGTCTTTGAAAACAAATGCAGATATTCAACGAAGCGTCACGACTACGTCGGTAGAATTGGGATGGATGTGTGTCATTTCCGGTGAGCTTTGAATGTTTTCACGGATATCAGCAATCTTCTATAGCTAAGAAGACGCGGGCCGAGAGGACGCCTTGCGACGACACTTCCGTCGGCCCCGAAACTCTAAGAAAGAAAATTGCACTTGTGTGTTATCGACATTTATACGACAGGACAAAGTGGATGGCAAATAAAATACAAAAAGATTTTCATGCAGAACCGACTCACCGCCCTTATCAACGATTCTCCAGTTATTGGATATAATCGTGGATCGATAAGACAAGACTCGTGCGGGAGTCGTATTTTTATCTCAAATCTTTCAGGTAGTCGTTTAATCACGTCAAAAACGTACATAGCACGTACGACTTCTTACAAAGGAATTATAGCAATGCCAGCAACACGATCGACAGTGTGAAGGAAGCCTTATAGCTTTAGACTAATTCACGCTATTCGAACGAACGTGTTGTGCCACATTGCTAAATATACGGCAGTAGATTCTCTTACGAAATGTCAGACAGAAGCATTCGCGCACTGGGTCACTCGGAGAATCGTATTTAAGCCGTGTTTACACGAGATCGTGATACCTAAAATGATCTTTGAGAATAATCGACATCCAGAAGACGTCACAGGATTCGTGAAAAGAATGAGTAGAAATGACTGGAGCTCTCGATGTGTATTTGGAACGTCGCAGATAAATATTTTTCTCAACGGCGACGAAAATTGCGTCGAACCCCGAAGACCATGTTTGCATAAATTTCCATTGTAAACAGGTGGCTGAAAATGGTTTAATAGAGACATATGTATATCGGTAAACGTTCGTGCAACACCCACATGGATCCTTTTATGTGACACTGGCCGTGCATTAGTTATGGAAATTAATAGCAAACAGTTAATACAAAATTAACAGTCACGATACTCTCAGATACTGAAGTTTAGGTGTAACGCTTTTCTCAACTGCGCACTGTATTTCTCAGTGTGGCGTTACTCCCTCCTGGCCAAGGTTGCAGCTTACTCTCCGCTCGAGCATTATGCTCTTTGTTCGTTTTGCACGTTTTACGCGTCTCGCACCGTATAGTCTTTGGTAGGATTATCGATGTGCAAGAAGAGAGCGACGATAATGTAGATACCAGTTCTACCATGTTGCGCTCGATTATTTCTGACCGTCTCTCTCTCTCTCTCGCTCTCGTGTCTTTGACTCATTCCCTTTCGAATTAACAATGCCACTTAGTAACGTCTCGATGAGCATTATATGCATTCTGGGATCCCGTATTTTTCCATAAATATTTACAATAGAAACGTAGGTTCCTTTTACAAGACGGGCTTTTGCCATTTTCTCATGGTGCCATATACTCATCGGTACGGCACTGGATAAAAACAAGTGAATTTCGATCAATAAAACAATTCAGTACTGTTTGATATTTAAAAGAGACGTTGAACATATTCATGTAAACGACCGAATGTTTCTATAATGTCGTAAGGCACGAAGATACTTTAAATGTATATCGGATATCCTAACCTTGTCTGGGTATAGTAGAAAGGTTCGCCAATCATGGGTCATCGTCCTAGACGCCCTTCGAAATAACTCTCGTGCAGCGTCAACGATTTTTAACTACTAGAAATGTAGATTCCATAGAGGCGGAAATGCGTGTCAGCAAGGTAAAAGCAATCGTACGATCACATTCACAAACGTCCAGAGCTAATTTCATGTCGTGTCATAGGAAAAACAACTATTATGAGAGCAAATGACAATTGCAGTAATAAAAGTCACAAAGAATTTGCATGAGAGCTCGTTGCCAACATGTAGAAGGTTGTATTTCCTATGTTCGACAGTAAAAAAAAAAAAGGTAACACCAACATAGTAGGCAGAGTTAAGAGCAACAGAGTCCCATCTATTCAACAGCCAGAAATCCAGTGCAGGGAAACAACATGGTTACATTTATAACAAGAAAATCAGGTCAGGGACCCAGCTTATGTTATATTGTACCAAGGGGCTCGTAAACTGATGATTGTCCCTGTTCTAATTTTCAGATCTACTTACTGTCCTCTTTCCAACGGCGCAATCCTTGTCCTCCAGTTCCCTCTTTCAAGAACAACGACAACAGAAAAGATCCGCTTGATAATGAAGCCTGTCAGCGCACAATCCTGACCACGTACCCAGTGATGCAAACAGATGCAAACAAAACAGTGCAAACACGATACGCGTCACGAACGTGCGTTAACGAAGTACTTGGAGTTTTTCTAAATCGAAAAAAAAAATTGGCCTCACGGCCCTGCCGAGACTGAAAACGATCGTACGAACGTTCTCGTCGCCGTCCACCGTAGAACTAACTCCTTTGTTCTGTAAACAGAAACAGCTGAGCCACAGAGGTAGGAGAGGGACTGGGAACGCAAGAAACCTGGTCGTGGAGGCTACGGCGGCGGCGTCGTTGACGTTCACAGCCATTCGGCTGCTTTTGCGTTCGTTATCGACCGAACAGCGCCGACGCTTAGCCTACCAACGTCAAGTCGATAACACGATAGCCTCACATGTTCACAGACACGATATCTTGATTTCCTCTCCTATATGTTGTGTAATTATGCGTTTCCGAGAGCGTCTTTCTACGACGTAATGAAACTGCTAGTATATACATATATATACGTGATGTATGTATGTACACCACAGTCTGGAATGACGGAATCTTTATACAAGAATAAAAAGCACTTGGATGTTCTGTTGGTTTTTCTGCCTAGTTCCAGGAAAGTCTCGTAGCTACTTTTACTCCATTAATATACATCAAAAGAGGTTATTTACGCTTTATAAGCATTTAACGAGTCTGATTAAATAGGAGTTGCCTATTTTACGCAGTCTTAATATTTGCTTTTATGTAGAAAACTAAGGATAACTTGTCTGCCCGTTAATTCCGTATTTCTTTAACCGTTCCGTAATACCTTGAACGAGTGTCCGACTCTTCCGTAATTCCTTCATTCGAATTGGTATTGGAGATACTTATGGGTTACAATATTTAACGCGGTTCTTACTAAACTTTCTTTTTTAGCAATTTCAAGATGAATCGTTGACACTTGTCAAAGGTCTACGCATTGTCTGAAGTTTTTGTATTACTCACGGAAAATTGTGGCCTGGCAAGGTTCACTAAGAGGAGATGCACAGGATCCTGGAATTTTTTCTTACCGGTTTCTTAAATTAATCCACGTACAAGGGTTACAACTGACAGGGTTAATTTAGCCGGGGTAAAAATATTATTACTATAAAATTTAGCAGTCCGACACATAGCCACAAAATGATGGAATAATATCCAGCATCGCCGTTGCCATGTCAACCATCGTTGACCTTCTTTTTATTTTTCCATTCCGCATATTCCTTCACGTTGGATGATTGGATAAACCCTCACTTCTTGATGACATTTCTAATACAGTATGAAAAACTGAATGAAAATTCAACTGGATCTTTGGTCGAGTCAATTATCAATCGATTACTTCTCGTTAATCGCTTAAACAATGTTATATTATTTATCGATACATAGAATTTATTGATGGTTCTGTTAGCTAAGAGTGTTACTTGTTCTTTCATATTTTCGCGAAAAAGTTTTATACATGCTGGTATAGTTTCATTCTTTTTTTCTTGGCTCGTTTACATTACACCGTGTTTTTATAGATAAGAGATTACTAATTAAATCGTACATTCATAATATGGAGCAATGCATTATACATATATGTTTTATATATGTATATATAATATGCATATAAGGTACAGATTAAAGATACAGCTTCCTTCATCTCTCTTTCTTCATCTTGGAATGATCTGACGCCTTTTTTGAATCGGCCATTGCGTTTTTCACGCCGGCCGAATCGATACGAACGAGCAACTGATTGTTAATAAATAAATAATTATTATCTATGCGTTATTGTTATACATTATATATATAATGCATACGCGTATGCAATTATTACAAGTGCAACAGGCTAAATTACACGAGCTTAATTGTCATATTTTTTAAAGGACACTCACACAGAAAGCTACTGACCTACGGTAACATTTCTCAAACCCCACCGTTGAAATCGTGCTGATCGGAAAGTTACCTTTCCCACGCGCACAACGCCATAACATTTTTATCTCTTTTATCTCCTTTTTCATCATTTATCTCTACATAGTGTGTTTCCTTTATTTTACCTCTATAAGACCAATCACGAGCGTGTCTCATTTTGCGCGAACTAAAACTCTTTTGTCGTGGATCGGTTGAAGCGAAAGACATTTTTTCGAAAACAAAAGTTCAATTCTTGGATTTCAATTTATATTGGATGGATGAAAATTGTTATTTTGATCTCTTTTGAAAATTGATCTCTTCATTTGCTTCATTTTTAGTGCTGAGAAATGCTATAGTGCTGAAAAATTATAGGCGATTCCATTGTGTTCCGACAAAATTCATACTTGCACAATTAATTCATTTTCGAGACTAGGAACGGCAGTTCGACCGAGACGAACCGATACGATATCGACCGAGTGATGACAGTTCCCGCCATTATTTTTGAATCCTTTAGTTAACTACTTATTCGCATCCGAGAACGTTTAATTATCTAGGTTATCTTTGTCAACCATTATTTCTTTGACTATGACTAAATCAATGGTATACTCGTTATCTAATTTTCTACCTTATCTACAATTTTTAAATCTTTATACTTGACCAATGACCGTTCAGAATCGTGCGAGTACATCTGTTATTCTTATTGTGAAATCGACTTATTCTGAGAAAATCAATGATTTCTTTAAAAAAACACCAAAATGATTTCAGCAAGACTTAATGGATGATGCCAATAAGATAACCAGTGAAAAAAAAGCTGCAACGAGTCGTGTGATTCAAGAAACGACGTGAATGGCGAATGAAAAAAACATAAGTAAAACATAACCTATTTAAAGACACTGTCGACCATTTAGCTCTATTTGTTTACCGCTTCTTATTTTCTGCTTCCTTTTTCTTTTCTTCAACAAAAGCGAAAAACTCCCGCGCTTTAAGTTTTCTTTCCCTTTCCTGTCCCTCGGAATCATCGGATTTCATTATCTTTATCAACTACATTCTAACCTATACAATACACATATTCATATTATCCTTAAATGCACAACGCTCTTATTTTCTTTTTATTTTCACACATGCGAATATATGTTGAGATCACGAGCTGGAAACTTTACTCATCGGTTAAAGCTTCGAGAAACTTCGACCAAATTTCGTTAAACGTTTCAAACGTAAATGAGAACACACTTCCCCTGTCTTTCATTAATCCCGTAAGATCCGGTCACATCGTGACCCCATAGTTTCAAAGACTGACCCCCAAAATTTCAAAGAGAGCAAAATCTGACCAAGAATTCCGTCTAATCGTAAGATAAAAAAATATATTTTACACATAAACCAAACGTTTCGATCGATTCGCGGTAAGCGACTGAAGAGAAAATAATTTCCTTGACTCTAAACCGAAAATATAGACCCAACAACAGTATATGACGATACTTATAATATAAACCTAATGAATTTACTCCTCAATAATAATAACATTACTAATAACAACAACAACATATATATATATATATATATATCCTATACTGATTCATTTTGCGTACACTTCGGGGTCCAACGTCACAGATCGCACCGTGACTCGGCTTACGTTGCTATTCTAATTTTTTTTTTTAAATAATGATAAAACATAACGTTACGACTAACGATGACATTATTATATATCCTATAATGTATCATCTCCTTAATCACTAGGGACTAGACTGTACTCTTTGGATCCTTTGCAGGACGAGAACGTGCCAACGAAAAACAAAAAAATAATTAAAGGAAACTTACTTTCTAAGTTTTCCTTATGACTAGATGATTAATAGTAATTCTTTATATTGCTATGGTGAGTACCTAGTTATATATATATATATACGCGCGTGGGTAATATACCTCTTGTTATTATACGCGACAGGTACGAGCGTCCCGTATAACTATTACGCAATGCGTCGATCCTTAAATTTGGTATTTGGTTTAGCTGTTCAACTCTCAATCGGTCCTTGTAACGTGGCAAGAATACTTGCCAAAAGAAAGAAAAAATAAAACTGAAACTTAAAGACTACCGCTTAAAGACTAACGAGTCTCCCAAGAGTACTCGTTTAATTATTTATATAATTATTTCATATATATATATTGGCCAGAGGCCACAGGTAGACTTAACGATACTGTACTTATTATAGCTAATAATAAATCTTTTCCGTTAACATTATGCACACAATTAGTTTCGATTTTTTTTCCTTCCTATTCTTATTTCCTTAAGCGAATTGTCGATACCTATTTTATTCCTAAGTACGTTATTAATCTCCCTATTAAATATATACTCAATGCTCTATCTTTCTAAAATGACTAGATAACATCGTATAGATCATCTTCAGCTTGAAACAATAAGATATGCAAGTGCTTGTAAATAAATAATAATAACGACAAGTCTAATCTATTACAAAATTATATACGACTAATTCAGTGCAGTTAAGATCAATAACAAATGCATTGATTACGCTCGATCGACTGATTGCGATGATGATCGTAATAATAACAATAATATTCATAGCCACAAACGAATACGATGAAGTAATACCTGTTGCCGTTCTACTTTCTAGAGTTGCTGAGCCACGCCAAAAATTTTAACGAACTATCGCGTCCACCTTGTACAACTGGGAATCCCGTGCCATATTTTTGCCCGATCTTTGTGAAAGTGGCGTTTTGTCAGTCTTTGAAACTTTTCAATGAGTTCCGCGAGACGTCCGGATCGTTGGGTCTAATTTCCTACGATATGGCTACAATAAATAAAACTGAAAAGTGGTATTGTCCTTCCTTAGAAATTAATTTCCTCTGTTATTACTATTAATTAAGCTAACGAGACTAGAGTACTTTTATGCAGTCCACGTGTACGTATATGAAATAATATTCTTCACTTTCAATCTTGTCATTCTTGTCTCTTTTAAATCTATTCCTCCAGCCGTTTAAATCTTTTGTCCAGTAATCAGGATGGTTCTCGATTCTTCACGAAGGATATCACTATGACGACACGACACGTGACTTTAACCATTTCAAGCGACTAGAAGTGGTAAGCAATACGACATATCAATCACTTACATAACACTTTAACTGCGTATATATTTAATCCTAACTTATGTATATATTCAGCGCGACTAGCGGTTCCGATGTTGGAGTCGTCGTACAATTTATTCTGAATAATCAGAATCAGAGTCAGCAGCCGTTTCTGGGGTGTCCTCGTGCGTCTCCGGTGTAGCTTCTGGAATCGTTTTGCTTATCGTAGCCGCGACGTAGGCTCCTGGTCCCTCGCCTTGTGTATGTTCAATACCGACCCTGAGTGAGTCACGTTAAGAATAGTTATTGGATACTTAATGACAGGTGATTAGACAGTGAACCAATCCTACTGATTGCTATGAGCATTCCTGTTACCTGTACTCATGACGGGATAAGTTGCGAACGTATTTCTCTGGAGGATTGTCGCTGTCGCTGTTTTGAAGACTGACACTCCTCACCGTTGTGTGTGATACTTGGGTCGCTGGCATTGTGAACTCCACGTAACAGTACTCAGCCAGTTTCTCTGGTATTTGATCGTAGGACGTCAAAGCCATTCGACAAACTAGCTGATGCGTCGTATAGGCACCTGAAAGATAATTTTTATAAGTGGAGAGATATTAAAACAAGTCGGATTTCTTTCGCCTTCTAAAGTCTTGTGAACCTACCTTGACCTTCTTTAGGTAGTCTTGGCATCCTCCAGACTATGGCACGGTGCTGGTGTTCGTATTTTGCTTGACCGGACGTTACCTCCATTAGCTGGGGCTCCAAAGTGTCAACTGCCCCTAGGAATCTTTCTATACCCTTGATCTTTCCGGTTCTTCTGTGCGCTGATTTAACTGAACCATACCGGAAATGCTTTTCTACTCTGAAGAGATAGATCCAGCATTCTGGTATTGGGAATCGCACCATCACATCCTCACACGGTACCTGGCCCAACTTTCTTGATGCGAATCCAGGCACTAGAATGTCCGCTCGCAACTCGACCTAATATTTCAATTAATTATTTTGTTTTATTCGTTTCTTTTATAATTGGAAATACTTTTAATATTGTTTGTCAATCGTCATGCGGATTTTAATTTTACCTTGTTCCCTGTAACGCACATTACGGCTTTCAATTGTAGAGGTAGCTCTCTGTTCTTCGGAGGCCTTACTCTGAATCTCATTAATTCGATGTAACATGCATCGGGAGGTTTAAACCTTTAAAGTTATTAGTCAAATTTTTAGGTTATTGTTAATGGGAAATCACTATTTAGAAGAATGCACTTTCAAGAAAGTAAATGTTATTGCCATGCACCTTCGTCTCTGGGCATCAATGAATAATAGACCCTAGAGATAATAAAAGATTAAATTATAACGTACTTTATAATTCTGGATTTTTCATACTCGTCCTGCTGAACGCAGGAATGAAATTCGACATTTTCCAGACGTATCCATTCTTCAGTGACTACTGGAATTATGTCATGCCTCCCTACGACTTCTTTACCTTGCCTCCACATGTCATTGATACCCAGCTCCACATCCGGCATACCTAGATAAGTTGACAAATTAATTCACGATAAAAGAATGGATAATTATTTGCATATTAAAAAAAAAAATACCCGTAAGAAATCCTAAGAAGAAAAGCCTAACTCTTGCTATCTGCTTATCTACGTGCCCCTCTTCGTTTTGCTCGACGTACAGTTCGTCCACCACGGTTATTTGAACTTCCTCCATTTTATAAGTCAATGCACGATCTCTATGAGCTTGTAGCCTGAAAAGGGCCTCTTCGATTGCATTAGAGAATTGCTTCATATCTTCGTAACACTGGGATCCTAATTTAAATAGCTGCGAGATCTATAAAAGACAATGTATGAATTATTTAAGGGGTCTCATAAATTAAAGAAGTCCATAAAACAATATCACTGACCTGAGGTGCATGTTCAACAGGAAGACCTAGCTTCTTCAGGTCGCTACCAAACTCTTTGACACCCTGATAATCTCCTTGAATAGCGTAGGCTGCAAACTGGCTCAATTTGTTTGTAAGGCGTTCAGCTTTGGTCACCTGACCAGGCCTGACTCCAGGTCGTTCCTTATAGAAGATGTACTGCAATTTCACCGTAAAGATTTTTCCGTACTGATCGAATTGCTGGGCGCCGATATCCGAGACTGAGTAACATGCTAGTAATGGTAACTCTTGGAAAGGATCCTTATCGTCCTTGACATTGAAAAGTTGTAGGACAGGATTGTCTCCCTGGTAAACTATCTTGACGAAAATTTTTTTCCAGAAACGCTGTCCCGTAATCTTCTTTTTGTTTGGTTGACGTAATTGCATCTCCCAGCCATCCCCTGTATAAGTGACACGTGGGAAGTCTTCCAGGGGTTGACTGACGTCTTCGTCGAAAAGTGGCGTTGGGGGTGTTTCCTGATGGAATTGAAAGATACAAAAATCATCTATTACGTAAATGCTAGTTATTCAGCTTCAAGCATACTCGTATTATCATCCCTCTAAACTTACTTGAGAATCGGTTCTTGTCAATTCAGCCGGTTGTGCCACTTCCGTGGGTAACACGGCATCCTGAGCAATTCCCCCAGATTTGTCAAAGGGATTGAAACGTGGGGAAGTGTCTGTGTAGGCAAGATTTTGTGGGCTTTTTGGCGGTGGTGCTAAAACTGGCACTGGACCACCTTCTGCAGATGAAATCTGATCTCCTCCTTCCTTGGGTCTACAATAACACAGATTCAAATGAAACTAAGTCTAAGCATAGTTATATATATTGTATTAACTTACTTAATGAATATACTGAAGTCTGGTGCCTCATCTGAATCAACGGATTCATTTCTTTGCATCTTTGCTTCTTGAGGTGGTGCTGTCATACTTAAAAATGAATCAAAGCCTTCATTTTCCCCAAAGCCAGTAGTAGTCTCAGATCCAGCTACCGAGGAATCGCCCCAAACTGATGTAGAAGAAAAAAATAAAATTATATACAGGATAAAAAATGCTGTATACTCTTGATAAATTTTTAATTACCATCGCTGGAGGTATCCATGGCAGTCTGGCCACTTCCAAAAGCATCAAAGAACGGATCGTTACTTGGCTCAGGTTCAGCAGCCTTGTCAAACTTGGATGCGAATGCATCAAAAGCATCTCCAGTTGATTCAATGGCTTTAGTGGTCGCCGCAAACTCATCCAGAGTCTCAGAGGTATAAGAAACTTCACCAGGAAATTCTGCACCAGGTGTAGGACTAGTGGATATGAGACTAGCATCCTTGGAGTCTCCAGGAAAGTCTCCAAGAAGATCCGATGCGAAGACATTGGTTGGCGGGTCGGTAAAAGGCGCCTGGATTGCTTCTGTTACCTCTGAAGATGTAGAGAACAAAGGTTCGGGATCCAAGAACGATGAAGTCTCCGCTGTAGGAAAATCAGCGTTAGACGTCTGAACGTCTCCAAATGGTGTTGAGCTGGTATCGGCAACTGAGAAGAAATTGGAAGCAGCTGATGTCTGCAGAGGATCGGCTAAACTGGACGTAGAGAATATCGTAGCGGCTGTTTCACTAGTCATGGTTGGCTGTACTGAAGTAGTAGCTGCACTTTCTTCAGGATAAGCTGGTTCAGAAAACGAAGCTCTGGACGTGGTGAAATCTCCAGTGACAACTTGCGAGTTATCGGCACTAGAAAATGGTGGGTCCGCAGAAAATGATTTAATGGATCCAACCGACGACCTCTTGTCTTCGGGGATGACGTTGGAGATATTATCAGGTTGATCTAAGGCAGCATCTTCTTCGATATTGGCGAAAGGATTATCCTGGATCTTTGAAGTAACCTGAGTAACACCCGTGGAGAAAGACGTTTCCGTACTGGAGAACAAGGTTGTGTCAGCTTTTGGTGCTGAGAAGATCATGCCTCCTCCGGAAGAAGTTTCTGTATTCGGTGCGTCAAACAGGTCTAAGATATTTTGGGTCTTTGATGTCTCGATGACACGACCGTCATCGGACATCAAATCCGGGACGTTGCTGTCGACGTCGAGCAGGTCCGCGAAACTGTGCTCCGGCGTCGGCGACGGCGAGTGCATCAGCGTCGGACTCGGCGTCCTCGTCGCCTGGAGACGGTCTAACAGGTGGTTCGACGTCGCGTCCATCGCACCGGTTACTGACAGTATTAAATCCTTCGTGTTCTTAGGTGGAGGTGGTGGCTGAGGTCTAGGAGGCGGTGGTCTTGACGGAGGTGGTTTTCCATTTTTAGCAGGAATTGATTGTTTTCTTGATTCCACCGATTGAACGAAGGCCGCCACTGGTGATTCAGGTTGCTCCTGGACTTCTTCGGTACCAAAGAGGTCCCCTGAACTGGTTTCATCCACCTGGTTGAAGGTATTAGCCTCTTGACCAGCAAACGCGTCGGTGTCCTGACTGGCTGTTGTGAATATTGATGATGCTGTCGTCCCTACAGCGTATTCGGCATCCTGGACAGTAGTTTCAACGCCGAAGGAGGCGAAGGGATTGGTTGAGTCCACTGTGACACTTGGTTGGTAGGACTGATCCGCTGAGAAATTTAGGAATGGATTCTCTCCAGCTGGTTGTGTCGATTCGCCAAAGTCTTGAAGGAATGGATTTGATGCCTGCTGTCCCGCCGTATTAGGATCAGCGGCATAGTCATCCATTAAAAATGGATTTCCACCTTTGGAATCCATTTTGAAAGGTATTATTGTACTTTCAGCTAAAATTTGGATATATTAAACTTTGTGTAACAGTTTGAGAAACTGACGCTAATGCTGTATCAATTCAGACTCCAATAATTTTAATTCTGTTTTTCCTGGTCCTAGAGCAGCGAAGCTGGTGTCAAAAGGATCAATGTCCTCCTCCACGAGAAATTCTTTATTCCGTAACGGCGTCAGTACTTTAGCACCAGAGTCTTGATCTGCCAAGCTAAGAAAGTCTGTAGATTCTTTATTTTCTTCAGCTCTGGGGTCAAACTCGTCTTCCTCCTCCTCGATAACGCTGGTAGAAAAAATTACAGGCTTGACGGGTACCTGTGCCGGAATTTGGCTAAGTTCGTTCTCGAGTAATTTAAGCTCAGCTTTTCCGGGGAGTATGTTGATAGCAATGGACGTGTCGAAGGGATCGGCGTAGGATATTTCCGGATCTTCTTCTTCTAATCTCGATTCAATCCTCGGTGTCAGAGGCTTGGCATCTACTTCAAATTCAGCATCTAAGAGACTCTCCTGTCTTCTGGCTTCAAATCTCTTGTTTGACTCTACGACTACTTGCTGATCGTTTTCTTCCGTTAGAGAAGCTGGGAGTCCGACGATCTTCAAACTCTTCGGCCTCGTGGAGGTTGCTGAGAAATCAGAAAATCTTCGACCTTGATCAACTTCCGCTCTTGGATTGAAATCGTGATCACTCAAACTGTGAGACAGTTGCTGTTCCTGTTTCAGCAGTTCCGATTCAATGAGTTTAAGTTCCGTTTTACCAGGTGCAACCTTTGCCACGAAACTCGTGTCGAATGGATCAATGTCAGCTTCCTCGACTTCCGCTTCCGGTAAAGTCTCTTCGACAGATTTCTGCGAGTAATAAGGAGTCAAAGGTTTTGATGGAATAGCTTTCTCCTCCTCGGACGTCTTCAATAAATCCGGTCGTTGAGATGGGGTTGGTAGATCGAAAGCTACAATCTTTGTTGGTCCCAGACCAAGAACTTCCGGTCTGGATGCCTTCCTTTCTAAAGATTCCCCAAGTTCTTCAACGCCGGCTTTGTCCTCCTCGGCGTCGAATTTGACCTGGAAACTTGGCTTAGATACAGTGGTGGGTGACTGAGACCTTGGCGGTGGAGCAGATTTAACTGGTGCTGGGGCCTCGTCCTTCCTGGGATCAAAGTCGTCGTCAGATAGTGTATCCTGGATAGTCTCTTCCTGTCCTAAAAGTTGTTTCTCGAGGAACTTGAGCTCAGTTTTCCCAGGTGGAAGTTCTTGTACAGCGGAAGTGTCGAAAGGATCAACGTAGATGATCTCTTCAACAGGAGCGATTGGTAGATCTGTTAACTGACTAAGATCAGTCACCGATCCTCCTAGTAGATCTTTCTTGGCAGAGTTCAGCCCTGACTCAGAATTTTCCTGATCTTTTTCATTAACGGATGTCACGAGACCAGTTTCGTAGTCCCTGATGAGTCCTGCAGGATCAGTCAAAGAAATAGAAACCTCAGCGACAGGAAGTTCCTCCAACTCTTTTTCAATGAACTTGAGTTCAGTCTTTCCTGGCAGGATATTATCAGCGAAAGTAGTATCAAACGGATCCTCCTCGTCGACGAAAGTAGCTGCCTCGAAACTAGCTTCGATTATATCAGTCTGAAAGTCGACAGCTTCCAGTTCCTTAGAACCAAACGGATCTTCTGCCTCTTCGATACAGACCGGTTCTCCGGAAGCTGCGCTCAGGTCAAACTCAGCATCGTCCAAGTCTGGAATCTCTTCGAGAATCGTCTTTTCCTTAATAATCTCAAACTCGGATATATCCAAAGGCCCGTTATCAGGCGTGCTGCCGTTGACCTCAGGAGTAACGGGTCTTGGTACAACAGATGGCAACTTGGTCAAATCAATGGGAATATCCGGCAAATCACAATCGTCATCCAATAAAGTCTTCTCAATTTTAACAGGTTCAGCAGTCACATTGGCAGCAGGCACTTCCTGTTGTTGAGCCTCATCAAAGTCCCCTAATAATAAATCCTGATTTTGTACCTTACGAGGTCTACTAATTTTACAAGTGCTCACGTGATCGATCCTCCCAGACAGAACTTCAACGGCATTCCCAAGACTCACTAACTTATTCCCCTTCTTATCGACAGTCTTAAGAACCTTATCAGCACTGGTAGTATCGAAGGGGTCGTCTCCGGCTTCCACCTCAGTAGGACTTTCCGGTATATAAGCTAACTGTACATCAATATTTTGCAGGACATCGACATACGTAGTATCGAAGATGTCTTCCTCGGCTGAATCCTCATGTTCATCCTCGTCATCTGGTACGTCCACAAAACCGTCCTCACTGATTATAGACCTCTCTTCTCCAGCCTTCTTATTGGCACAGGCACCTTCTTCCGGTACCTCCTCGACAGGATTACCTTCCTTGTCAAAACCTATCCACCTCTTAGCCTTCTTCGACCCAGCCCCATTATCCTCGTCCGATTTCTTCTCTTCTAAAGGCGCTTTACGCTGGAAGAAGGAGGTCGACTTTATCCGATCTAGATCACCCTGGGTCTTCTTCAAGATCGAGTCGACCCCGGCTGTCAAGGCCTCGAACTTCTTCCACTCGTCGGAACCGGCAGCAGCTGCGGCGTCTGGATCACCAGACTCCGCGGCTTTCTGTTGGGCCTCCGCCCGTTCTTTTCTGTAACGTTCTAACTCCTCCGGATCGAACTCGTCCTCTTCCGCTCCTTTCTTGCCCTTCTTCTGCTTTTTCTTCTTCTTCAGGCCCTTGGCTAGCTTGTGCATCCTCTAAGAGCTACCGCGATGTGGGGGAGGCCTCTGGAAAAATTCGTTTTATTTCATTTCAAAAAATCATTGTCAATAACCCATACGTCGTACAACATACAGATATAAATATACGACCAAGGTTCATCCGATATCGGGTATTCATCATACAGTTTAAAGTACCCTATAGGCATAGACATTCGATACTCTAGAATTCTATTTCTGTAACGTATAACCATTCTATCCCAGAAGTGGACGTCGCAGTGCAGCTACCTCAAAACCGTACACCTTTCATACATTTTCTTTCTATCGATTGCCATTGATGAATATAAAGCATACATGTTACACGGGCGAACTTGAGCCAAGCCAAAACATGCTCCAGCATCCCGTCAATGGATTTTTGCTTAATGAGCCAAAAGGGTATATTTTAATAATCAACCAAATTAAAATTCCTCGTATACACTACCTATAGATACTCATACGCGAAGGTTCCTAAGACGATAATTATATGGTCCATGTGCTATACTGATTATAGTTAAAAGTATGGCTATCTTGGGTATTCACTCTCAGTGGGATCTTTGCCAGAAGAGACCGGTCGATGCAAGAGAACATGTATACATATATGTATATACATCTGTGTACGTAAAACGTACATCCCACATATTGTGTGGGACAAGGTAAGTAATAAGCTTAAAAATTCGCACAACGTGCAGATTTGCATATTAATTAGATATTTGCGACGAGCGACATTCCTTGTGACGGCCGAATAAATTTCTGCGTTAACAACCAGTCATCTGGGCTCACAGAGCCTAACGTGTGATCCTTATGGAAATTCTACTGAAGTGTGATCGTAAAGGGTTAAGCAGATACAATGAAATTCGTACCTTGCTCTTCTAGCGGACAAACTGTGATACGCGATTACCTCAATTAACAAATTTTATAGACGAATAACTCTTTCGAAGTGGGTCCTGTATATATAGAGTATATATATAGTATCGGGTCATAGGGTTACGTGCATATGGATCTTATGTACAAGTAGGGTCGTAGCACACGAGAAATGTTTAATCGATACTTAGAAAAGATTGTTTAGTTGATTTATTTATCGCAAATTTTTCTTCATCTTGACTTCCACTTTTAACGGAAATCAAAGAACCGTTTGATGCGTTCGAGATGCAACACGTACGTGCTTATGCAATAATTTCAGGTTTTATAGACGGATTATTCATCGCACTTTATTCGCCTTGACAACTCGCGTCGCGTTGTACATATTTCGTTGTCAGTGTATTTTGTTTGGCAAATTCACTATTAAAATCAAGCGGGTTCGTAGGATTGCTGGGTACTGTTTTCAGATTATCGATTACGTTGTGACTGGTGACGGGGTGAGTCCCTGTGAGAAAGGAAGAGAGAGAGAGAGAGAGAGAGAGAGAGAGAGAAAGAGAGAATTAACGAAAAAATGAGAGTAATGGTAATCGCGTGCGTCTGACATCTGACATTTAAAAGAGCAGAAATTTTATTTAGAAAAAATTGAAAATTTTCCGGTGCTGCTCAAGTATTTGATAAAGAAACTAGGAAAGAGAGAATTAACGAAAATTATCGATTACGTTGTGACTGGTGACGGGGTGAGTCCCTGTGAGAAAGGAAGAGAGAGAGAGAGAGAGAGAGAGAGAGAGAGAAAGAGAGAATTAACGAAAAAATGAGAGTAATGGTAATCGCGTGCGTCTGACATCTGACATTTAAAAGAGCAGAAATTTTATTTAGAAAAAATTGAAAATTTTCCGGTGCTGCTCAAGTATTTGATAAAGAAACTAGGGGAATTATGGAATCTAGTTTATTTTATTAAAGTCCGATACTAACTGATTGGATGTATCTAAAATTAGAATTATCCTATTATCAAGTCCGTTAGAAAATCGTATAAATTATCTCCCAAATCTTCCATTGAAATATAGAACCGTTCACGGTTTAGAATTTTCAGTACGCCCAAAAATCTATGACGAAACTAAGGTCTTTTTTTATGAAATCAATATCTGGGGTTAGTTGAATTATATATTAATTGAATATCACCCTCGGACATGTTACCTGAATAAGCTTCTTTCATAAGTGTCTATAAGTCATTTCCGTAAAGAAAAATAGCTGCTACGATTTATACGACTTTCTAAAATGTCTGTCTTGTCTTTGCTCGACGCTCGAAAGGTATTGCTGCTTAGCAATTGGTGTGCGTCAAGAGGAAATCGAAGCCGGAAAATGTTAAGGGGCTACTGGATGACGGCAACTGGTCAATACTTACAATTTTAGCCTCATCAGCCACATTGATACTGTGCACATTTTTTTCGCGTCATTCCCGCGGACTTCTGCTCCGCGAGGAAACGAAACGAAAAAGATTACTAGAAAATTTACACTTCAGCCAGCTACACCCCGGTGTTTCCTGTCGCGAGGCCAGTGCCGATACTCCACTTTGTCCCCTTTTAATTCTTCCTCTTCCACTTCGTCTTCTTCTTCCTATTGCTCTGTCTCTCTTTCTGCCTCTCTTTATCTCTTACTCAGAAACTCCCGGAGAGCCCCGAAGGCTCTGCTGAAAACGGAGGCGACTCACCTCGTACTCCGGACTGAGCTATTTCCAGCATCGATCCATTCGCGGAGAATGCGCACACCCCCACGGAGAGTATAGGGAACCGAAAATCCTACCCCAGTTATCACAGTTATACAAGCGGGAAGCTTGAGTTAATCATTAATGCTTTTTAGAAGGCTTTCAATCGTTTTGACTTTACCATAGGATTATTTTTAATTGTCACATGTGATTTTGAGTTGGTACACATACTCATTTGCTGATGTCGCTATTTCGCTTCGCATCTTTGGTACCAATACATTGAATATATCGTTGCAGGAATTGGGTAAACGAGGTACTAATAAGAAATAATTGAATTACTTAATCATTTAATGGAGAAGTAACATTATTTATAAGACTTACCGTCGTTGTATTGTCCCACCGTTACAAGAAATTCTTAAGAGAATTTTTTTTTTTTATTTTCTCCAGGCTGATGTTCTTTGTGATTTTTCATGAATTTCTAAGTACTTGAGTTTTAATTACAACGGTCCAGTTTCTGAATTTACGTTTCTTATTATCTTCCGACTAGTTCTAGGGGCATTTTTGGAGTTATAATTGAAGTTTTATTACTAAAAGGACACTTGGTGCCGTGACGCCCGATACCATGGGTTTTGTTGGTACACGATGTTGAATTTTCACGGCAATTTAGAAGGTGCGCAAGCTTATGGCAAATATGAAATATTACATGGAAATGATTTTTAAAGCTGTTTTCCTAGGGCACTGATTTTGGAATTCATGCCAACAGATCTCGTATACTAATTTTTAGGAGCTGCCAATCATGTGGTGGATGTGAGGATTGTTATTGGTTGAAATGTTATTTCATTTATGAAGGTGCTCTCATGAATGCGACAGTTAGTATCTTAGAAGGACTCCTTAAGCCATGTAGTATGGTGGTATCGTAATGGATCTTACGACAGTAATTTCAGAATTTTATTCAACGAAAGTAATACCAAAATTAACTATAACAGAATTGACAACTAGTGTTGAAAGTTTGATAAATTAAACGCGCTGCAATGTGAATACATAAGTAAAAATTTCAGTGTTATATTTTGTGTATTTACACGAATGCATTAGTGTATTCTATTGTTAGTAATTGTTATGTATACATCCAATATTGTTCTTCACTAGAAAAATAAACATTCTGACAGAATCAATATAATGTCTTGATTTCATTTATTCAGTTCTCAAATTAGTTTTGCAATAACTGCAAGAAACTTACTTATCTAGCTTTGTATGGTATTTTAATATATGAGAATTGTTATGCTTGAAAGAATTTATTTACACAGTAACGATATAGTATTCTACTTAGTATCATAAATAGTAAAATTATTGAATGGATTTATATTATTAAATCATTAATTAAACCAGATTCATTCGAACCTTTGTGAAATACTAATAGAAATATATTTCTGAATGTGCTGTTATAACAATTCCATAGGTATATGGGGTAATAATGGCCAGGTACGCAGCATGTAGACTTTGTAATTTGGCCACAGACACTTTTGTTGACATTTTTAATGAAGATGGTATAAGTAGAGAACTTGGTGCCAAGATGGCTTCATGTTTACAGATTTTGGTAAGTCGAGTTTGTGATTATTACGATTATCATTATACAAAGTCATGAATTTCTTTGTATATTTCCTCATCAGGTTTCTTCAGAAGATGCTATGCCAAAAACTGTTTGTCTGACTTGTTGTAATAAGTTAAATGACTTCTATGAATTTTATAAAAAATCGCATGAGGTACAAGGTTTACTTAAAGACATATATGCATCAAGGAAATATGTTAAAAAGAAACAATCAGAATCTGCAGATGAGAATGCAAAAGTTACAAAAGCTTTGCAGAACATGGTACTATATGCACATCACATAAACCATAGAAATTATAGTTATAAGACCTTCAGGTAAACTGACACTTTACAATACCTTTTCTTTACAGAATCAGGATAATAATAGCCCATGCAATATTGCAGAAGTTGCTAAAGATGAGATAAAATATGTTAAAGACTTAAAAAATATAAATTCAGGTTTGACTATAATAAATTCATTTGTAGGCAAATTCTCCTCAGTCTAATATTATTTTCTTTTCAAGCTTCAGATAAGGATACAGTATGTTCATCAATCGTGAATATAAATAAAAAAAAGCATGTCGAGCTAGAAATAAAAAAATTTAAATCGTCATCCCAGAAAACAGAAAGTGAGAGTGACGAAGAGGATGATCCACATCCTTCAAGTTCTTTGCAGAACAAAAAGGATAAACGTAAAAAAGATCCAAACTTAAATGACGTTCCAGTGAATCCTCGTCAGATAGGAATACTAGATGGGTATCCATGGACCTGCACGATGTGCACTGACCTAGTGGTCGATAACGTTCAGGTTTATCACTTGTTAATAACGACTTATCACGTTCTCTTATGTATACATACAATATAAAAATATAAATTTATACAGGAATTATGCAAACATTATAAATTGGAACATTGTCAATCTGCGATCTTCAGATGTGTTCATTGCGAAAAGCAATACGATCGTTACAGAAGTTTTGTAAGACATTTCAAGCAGCACCGCGATCCTAAAAAATACACGTAAGAAATTGATAAAATATTTATATTACAATATAACTTGTCTTTTAATCGAGTTGAATTTTGTATTTTTTATTCTAGATGTAATATTTGCAGTAAATCATTTACACTAAAGACTGTATTAAGATCACATGCAATAGTTCACAGCAATGACAGACCGCATGTGTGTACAGTGTGTGGAAAATCCTTTAAAAACTACAAATCTTTAACTGTGCATAACAAGATGCATTTACCAGATGAGGATAAAGAAAAATTTCCTTGTAAAATTTGTCAAAAGGAGTAAATATTTCTCAATATGCATGCGTTCTCTTACTGAAATATTAATTTGAATCGTGCAATTAACAATTCCCTTTAATGTTATATTGATAATTAGATTTTCCACGAGGCACACTTTGGAACTTCATCTCAAAGTTCATACAGGAGAACGGAACTTCATGTGTGACATTTGTGGAAAATCATTTATAGCCAAAGGATCTCTCATTTATCATCTTCTAAGTCATACTGATGACAGAAGTCATGTTTGTCAAACGTGCGGCAAAACTTTTAAAACTGACAGATTATTAAGTAAGGATTACAAATAAAATATATTCCTGCATGATAAGTTAACACTTCATTATGAACCGTTTTCATTATCATTTAAGACAAACATCTCACGTTGCATTCGGTAACACAATTGCACAAATGCGAGGTTTGTGGAAAACAATTTCGGGAACGCGGTAGGCTCAGAGAACACAATCGGATTCATACAGGAGATATGCCTTACAGATGTGAATATTGTGGAAAATGTTTTAGATTTGCTGGAATCTTAACAGTAAATATAAAATATATTATTATTGTTTTAATTGCATATGAAATTGACATCTTTGATGAATGTTGTTATTCACTTCGCATAGGTTCACCGAAGACAGCATACTGGAGAAAGACCTTATAATTGTCAAAAATGTAATCGTTCCTTTACAAATTGGGCGAATTACAATAAGCATATGAAACGTATACATCATTACGACACCAGTAATCCAGAGAATAGCAGACGGCGTGCTGAACTTCATGCACTTTCTGTATCAAATAAAGCAGCTAAAGATGACACATCGAAGGGTGTAACTTCAGAGACAAATCTTGATGTAAATTAAATCCTCGAAATAGTTACTGTAAAATGTATCTTATAAGGAGTTAATAAATTTTCTAGTTATGTAATACAATAATAGTTTTTAAGAACTTTCAAGGTATAAATTTACTTTTGGAATTATTATATTAAATTATGCTTGTTAATATGTTTGATATAGCTTTACTTTATTTCCGATAACTTCTAATTAGTGTAATATTATAACAGTATCAAAAGACTCCCAAACTATATTATTTAGACAGTATATTTGCATATAAGTACATCTTTATATGCAATACAACTAAAAATTGTAATGTATATTTGTACACTAAAATTATTGAAGTTTATTTACTTTAACAATAAAGTGAAAATCGAATGATTAATGCAGTTATTTAATTGTATATGATAAATTTTTTATTTTGTTCATATATCAATAAAATAAATACATTTTTTTTTTGCGAACCGCGACTGTATTCTTTTAACATTCCCATCCAAACTTCTGCGATACAATGTATTTCAAGCATTGTTATGGCAATTCGATTAAATAATACTTATCAAAGTCAGTTAATTTGTTGAAATTGTATATACTTGTACTAAAAATGAGTTAGTTCAATGCTTGATTATCAGCTTATAGCATACATGTACAGAACATTATTTTTCTCCTAATATAATATTTATATAATATCACAGAAATCTTACTGTATTGTTATTTTTTTTCTTTGCATATTTCTATAGAATTCTTGGTTCTCTGATGCAGTAACATTTTTAAAAAATGTGCTCGAATATTAATATTATTAAAACCAGTGAATCCTTGCAAGAGCATAAAGAACATATGTATTTTTATTGTCTTTCGTCTGATAAACCACTACTAATCCTTGCTATAAGAATATTTTTATTATCAATGAATTAATAAACAATAAAACATTGAAGACGTGTTATATCAAATGGCATTTGGAATTCACGTGTATCCTTCTATGGAAATTACAGGATCAGTAGCTCAGTTAAACGTAATGGAATAGAATCATGTAAAGTAACATTACGAGCACATTCTTTTAAAGCTGATGATTATCACGAGGTTTTTTTATTAAAAAACCTATCCTTCTCTTAACATTGCACCTACTTGTACTGCATAATTGATGCACTCAAAAGACAGAATTTCAATATCCTCAACAAGACACTTTATGAAAAAAAAGGCAATTTGTATATTCATTGACCACAGGTACAAACAGGAATCCTGTAGATATATTGGATGCGTTTGTTATTTACCTTGAATTTCGATTACGAGCTTCTATCATATTTAAGTAAACGAAACTGGCGTTGCTAATAATAATATTTCTATAAATTTTGCATAGATCTAATAAGTCTATATGTAATGTGTTCTAGTGTAAATGTCTAAATACACCAGGTTCACTTTGCATCCTAATGTTGTTCAAAGTATATTAAAGATATGAATTATCTCTGGTCGTAAACTTAACCAGACTTAGCTTATTTATGGTACGCTAAAGTATAAATAACTCTTTATCATACTTTTGAAAGTCTTAGTCGAATCTGTTTTGTGTACTATTCATTTACAAACTGAAAAAGTGACATATTGTACATACTTGCAAAAAGCAACAGAAAGATTATTTGCTTCAGGCTTAAAAAAAATGTCACTTCAGCTGGGAATAAGTTCACTCACAAAGAAATGTACCACGGATATTGGCAGACGGCAGAAAAACGTATTTCCTTTGAGCATCAACTTGTTGCTAGATAAAAGACGAATGTTATCCAGTGTATAGAAAAATCTTGTATCCAATCTAACCAAGAAGTGTATTAATTTTATACTTGAAAAATCTAATTACCACTGTCGAGTTGGCAATAGCAAAGTGACAATATGTTTCTATAAAATCGAATATTTATACAAAGATTTATAGACAAAATAATAATACATGATGTCAGTTTCATCGACAATCATATTTTATGATTATAGAGGATCATCGTCTTCGGCATTGTAATCGTTATCGTTATCATTGTCGTCAGTCGACGAGGATAATCTAGGCTCAAGTTCACAAATTTCCTCTCCCGTTCCCTTCTTAGATAAATTCATATCCTTAGTCAATTTTTCCTCGTTTAATTTTTTGCATATGCACACATTCCTTTCGGCTTCGATGCAAATTGTTGAACAGATCTTTCTCTGACCATTATCAATTTTTCCAAGATCTCCAGTCTTAACTTTTCTTGGTGGTCTTTCGTATTTGCATATTACGGCATACATATCACCGCCAAGACGAAGCGCGAGCCAACGATTTTTCACAACAGCTAATTTCAAACATTCGCACTTCATTTTAGCATAGAGATTCGTATGCAGAGACCGTCCCATTCCTTCGATTACTACAAGGTCCACCTTATGCTGCACCATGGCAAGACAGAGATCCAAATTCAGTCGACTGTTGAATACCAAAGTGGAAATATGTATTTAATACTGAGTTTAAAAAATGTAAATACTTGGGAAAGATCTTTCACAGATATTGAGATATTACCTCAAATCTAGACAAGGGCCAGCTTGTGCTGTTTCCATGGCAAGTAATCTATTCTCCTTGATAGCTTTTTTAATAACTCTACAAACTTTTGCTGCATCACGCAGTGTTACCACTAATTCAGGATACGTTACGTCGTTCAGAGCCGGTGTAGAGTTAGCGCATAGGATGACCTACGATACATAGGGGAAAGAATTGCATTTTTATATGTTATTATTACAATAATCTGAATAGTTATTATTTAGAAACTAACCTTAGTGCCTCGCTGTAATAAATCACGAGCAAATGGTAAAATTCCAAGGACTATATCAACGCCGCTGTTATCAACAAAAATAGCAGCGCATTTGTGCGGTCGATCCTCTTGTAATCTATTTATCCAATCATCCAAACAATCTTGCAACCATGGCCTACCTGAAATAACGCATGATCTTATGAGTTTATTTTATTAACGTGATAATTTTTCTACTGTCAATTATGTGTCGAGTGCGTGCAAATGGATAATAATGCATTGCTCGTTACTATACCTGGTATCTGCTCTTGTGCTTCCTTAAAACCAAAATTCGTTGTTTCCATTAAAGTTACAACTTCTTGTGCCCCCCAATCAAACATATTCCCACTTAGGACACCTAGTACAAGGGCCTTTATTTTTTCTGCACCCTCTAACTTATCCAGCGCTGAGATCCGATCTGGTAAATGCTTTAATGCATTCTCATTTTCAATTTTTTTTTGCTACAATAATACATAAAGAACTGATAATGAACTCAAGAAATTAATTAAATTTTATTTTGTCTCTAGATATGGGTAATTCGTATAACTCACGTGCAAGTAAGGATCGGGAAAGTCAAATTCTTTCATACAATGCTCAATAGTGTCCAATAGTGTTCTGACAGTAAGAGTACCATAGGCACTGTAACCATAGTTAAAAAAAAGGATAGCATTAACTCAAGACAAATATTGCCAATGACATTTAGTGAATGATACACAAGATAGATAAATACTTACAATGGCTGCAAATGAAGATAATGTAGCCTATTGATGTATTTTTCTTTCAGTTTGCTTGCTCTATCCTTAGCAGTTGGACTTTGTGGCTGACTGTGAATTGCGCGTGCAACAAATTTGTCAACGGACTCTTCAAAACATTGAAGCCAATAATCTCTGCAACGAAGTAATTACGATTTAATTTTCAGACTCGAAAGACTAGCCTGAAAGTAAAAGATATAGTGCACACCTAGCTTCTTTATCTTGAGCAAGATCCATCGTATCCGGATTATAAGATGAAGGGTCACTCAGCAATGGACAAAATGTTACTGCATTCTCAGCTTGATCAATTTCCAATTGATCCACTTGGATGCCTAGTTTTGTAGAGATGGAATCCTTGAAGCCTGAAGAGCCTGCGTAATTTTCTAACCAGCTGAACTTATCCGACTGTTCAGCACCGTAGAGAAAAGCTCCGATTGCACATAGGTAACCTTCATGGCGAAGAAAGAGAGGCTTTACCTTACCCTAAATAATGAAAGCGTAAAAAGCAAGACAGATTTTGAAATCATTATAGAGTAATCAATTGGTCTTGAGGCCCGCGCGACTGCTCGACAAACAGCAATGCAAATAAGGAAATCACATAAGAGAAGTAAATATATTCAGCATTGTTATTACATAACGAACCGAAAAAGTGCATGTCACAATGAAGGTCAATAAAATTTGAAGACTAACATGAGACCAATACTTGATGGAATAGGAAATGCTGTGCATCGATAAGGGATGATTCCGAAGAAAATAGCCACCAAAGTAAACTTTATCCATATTGTGCATCGATGCATAGAGGCTAGCTATTTGGCCAATATCATTGCTGATTGTAAATAAAAGGCTTCTTGCAATATCAGCTTCCGAGAATTGATGTGGTTCTAGAAGATATTTGATATTATTAGAAATTTAGAACTTGTCGAGAGGACGTATTTTGATTACGAACCAGGATTATTGTTGCAAGACATTGCCTTGCCAAAAGATGAAGCAATTAGTTCTCCAGGTAATCCTTGCAATTTGTAATCACCACCGTATATATCTTTTACTAACATATCTATGTTGCGGTGATCACCTCGCTCTGCCAATTGTAGCAGCTCATCGAAACCCTGTTCATTAATTTTGTAATGGATTTAATTATTCTAATTGGGTATATATATTGCTTTTACAATAAGTACCTTTGCTTTAGTTAACAGCGATCCCAATCCCCAAAATGTTCCACCACCAGTGGCAGTACCACCAACTCTTTCAAACTGTTTCTCAGAGTCTACCTATGATAAAATAATTATGGAGTGATAACAAGAAGCAGTATAGTGAGGGATTCAAATTACAGAACTTACAACTTACTTTTAGAATACTAACGCCACTTCCAATGTTAACCAGCATATATGGAAATATGTTAGGGGTAGCTTTTTGAAATTTATACTCAGGACTTCCATGTCTCTCAAATTCAAAAGCCTCGCAAGAAATATTTTTTAATAGGAAATTACATCCTTTTATTAAGCAGGATAGTTCATCTTCTTTATCAATTCTACAATTGTAAAAGTATCAGTTAAGATTATTCTATGTCTAAAAGTAAATTGAAGTTGTCATACTATCAAGAATACTTACAATAGACCCAGTTTTTCTTGTAGTAGCGGAGTATATTTAAATGCTCCTCCACCAGTAACCTTGGTGCTCTTGCCTTGAAATCTTTCAGCATGCACCAAGTTCTCCTTTACAAAATTCAAACAACTTTCAAAGTGTCTCGTTTCAAATTTGACAAAATGCAGTCTATTGCCCTCAAAGACTTTATATGCTCTTTCACCACTATTACCCAAACCAGCATTCTCATACAGTCCCTTACGATAGCTTACTTTAGAATAGTAAGCAATCTTGGTCAAAGATAATCCTGTAATCAAATAGCAAAAGGCCACAAACATTATCCAACTACACAGAGGAGACAATGAAAGAAGCAAGCCATATCCCAATAAGCATTAACAGTTTTAAATTTATTATAAAAATTAAACTATGTAGGTCAAGATGTATTTAGAAATTGGAGCAAATTTCTAATCCAATAACTTTTCCAGTGACTTAAAAAAATCCTACATTGTTTGAGAAATCTAATAACAAGTACAATAACCTTAAACCAATGAAACTCAAACAGAAAAACCACTAAAGACTGCTTGATAGTAATTGAAAAATTTAATGTCAATGAATAAGATTAACTTACCGATATCAATGGCAAATAACTGAGCATTTTTTAAATTAGCAAAAACCTCCACGGCCCCTGGCAATTTAATACTCTGCGGAAGAGATTGTTCATCGTCGAACTCGGCCATGTCGTCCTCTCGAAATACGAATTATAATTATCACAAAAGATTAAATTGGAAGCGCTGACATTGTCCTGATAACGAGACGGTACAGTTGACTATAATTTATCATTAATCAAATATCTATCACGGTTCGGAATACACGGCCTTGCACGTCATTACATTTTCCAAACACCGCTACTATTATGCGAGTCCAGCTGTTTACTCTCTTGTCAAACCTTCTGTTCAAAAATGGCTACCGGATATCCGTCCCACGAATAACAAATATGAAATTTATCATAACTAGTAGATTGAATCTTCTTAACGTTATTATCAGACATTACTGATATAATACACATACAAACTCCACGATATCAAATATCATATTACAATGCATATTTAACCATTTATTAAAATATTACATATTCAAGTACGCGCAAATAGTATACTAGCGTTCCAATCGTTTACTAATTAAAAAAAAAACGTATGAAAAATTCAATGACAATTGAATAAATTGCTTCGAATTAACACTTATAATTTTCAATTAAGTTTACATAATTCTTTGTACAGTTATCATGAATGGAATTATTAAAGTGTGAAGATTGCTTTTTTTTACATTCACTATGTATGACCTACATAAGTTACAATTACACACATCACATATCTTAAACAAAAATTACACTTTTCTATAAATTACTTCTTATTCTAATTGTGTTCCTACACTATTTAACAATATCTTTTTATCTTTATACAATGCTTTGCACGTTCGTATTGATTGCATGTAACCTTGAGCAGTTGTATCGTTTCTAAACAACGCATTTCTACTATAATTTAAAAATTATACAATGCATTGCTTAATATCTATTCGTATTGTTCTACAATTATTTACTTATCTGTGACTCTACTTTAAACCACACATGCATTCGTTCCCATTACCTTCTTCTTTGTTATAAAAATAAGATACTATTAATCAGAAACATTCGTATAGAATTCATTCTAATTCAAGTTAGTCCCAGTATTTGATGATAACCTAGTTTGGGAATTATTAGCTACGGCCAGAATTTTATTTTAATCGAGTACTTAATTTTGAAAAATTAAAGAGTGTACAACCACTGTTCATTATCAAACAATATTGTATATAATGCATTGAAAACATTAGCAATTTAAAAGTTGCTCAAGGCAAACATTCGTGTCTCTATTGTCTAAAGGTAACAGCCTCACAATACAGCTTTGTTAATTAAGCTCGTTAATGCATAATGTTTCTCTGTAGATGCTATTCTTTCTCGAAATTCCGAATGTGTAAGTTGCTATTTTTTGATGTACAAGTTTATAGAATATTTACAGGAATTCATGATTTGGAATATATTCTTTTATGTGAAAAAAAATTAGTTTGAGCATTTTTCGATTGGCTGAACAAAAAATGTGAACTTAAGGATATTCATTTACTATCCGTGACAATTTCTTGGGATTTGTCATTCAAAGTAACAAAAATGTGTACCTCTAGAAATACTTATCGCGTTGTAACAGATCTACAGTTTGTATTGTTATATTGTCAATGTTATGTAATTATTCATAACAGACGACTTTCTGTAGTTGATCTTCTTTAAAGATAAATATAAAATCGCCCTGAACGAGACCCTGTTTGACTAGATATTGTATTATCTTACCGTTCATGCTGCTCTCGCTGTTTTTGCTTTCGATAGTACAGGAAGCAGTTTAAACTTTGTACTTTGCAATAAATTATACGAACCGTAAGTGCAGAATCGGTATGAAATAAACGGTATGTAGAATGCTCTGAAAAATGGATGAGACCTGAAACAAAAATGAGAGGTATAAAAAGTCTAAGAAAAAGTTAAAATACATTGCAGAGTTTCTGAATATAAACTTACTTGGATGAGTCTAAAAACTTAGTGGACTTGATGACTGTAAAGTGATCTGGCTGATGAGAGTAGTTCGGCTCCAAAATCGTTTCGGTACCCAGATCCAGATCTAATATAAAGTGACATCTTTCTACGTCAAACTGAAACAGATATCGTATGTAATATTTGTAATGAACTCATGCTTGATAAATGATCCAATGAAAATCATTTACATATCGTGATGGCTCTTCCTTGTTCATATCATTAAAATTTGGTTGTATTATACTAGTTGCATTTTCGTGTTTGGAAAAAGCTTGTGGCAATTCTCCTTTAAATTCCGATTGCAGATATTGGAGTCTCCAACTGTATATTAAAAAAAAAAAAGAAAAGAATAAATGTTTTGCTAAACAAATTTTTATATAAAAATAATTCACGTTTCATCAGAACTCACTTATTTGATGGGAAAAAGAAGCTACTAGGAAAACGGTACCATTCCTTTCCAACACAAAAGTTGATATTGACATCTGTAGGAACTTGACCCTCCGAACCAAGTTTGTTGGCCTCCATCATAATCTCCATTGGTGCGTAATATCCTGTATAATATAATTTCATATTATATTGACTATAGGCTAGAAGGGCTATAATAAGCATTTAATTAGTCTACGTAACTTCGTATTTTGTACCTTTATATAAGGCCAGAGATCTTGATAATCCAAACAGACTGCAAACTATTATAGCCGCCAGCATAATATGAGTGGTATATTGCAAATAATGGCAGGTAATAGGTAATGGACTTATTTGTGTGCGAATAAAAAAGTATAATTTTTGCAAAAAATCCACAGTTATAGCTCCAGCCAGACAGATCATTGGATATATTGGAAATAGGAAGCGTTCTTCCTAAAAATACATGAAGAAAACTCGAATCATAAAATAAGGCAAATATAAAGCTTTGAAATAGGTTGTATATAGTGTTACCTTGTGCGACTGAAGGAAAAAAACTAAAATCCAAAGATAAAGTGGCGCTAATGAATACCAGTATGGCAAACACATTCGATTTCTGGGTCGTGCTGGTACGACAGTCCAGACTAAAAACTATGCAAGATTTTATGATGAAAGATGTTAAATTTTACAATTTTTTATTAATATTTCCCATATTTACCAGTCCAAATGGAGCAACTAAAGCTCCGATGAAAATGAAGTTGAAGTTCAAAAACCCATTAAGAAAGTAAAAACTGAATGGTTCCGTGCCATAAATATCTGGTCCGTGATTAGTAAAAACGTTATACATTATAATGTTCATCGGTGCTAGCACAAATTTGCCATAATACATTGAGTCGATCCAAATCATTGGTATTAATATTACAACAGCAGATATTACAACCCATTTTATAAATTTCTTCCACTCTTGACGACGTACTAACATCTCCATCGCTATTGGCACTCTAAATCATAAATATTCATATATTTTTACATAAAAAACGTACTATTTAAATAAATGTATGTTAGAAAATATATACCCTAATAATGCTGCAAACGGCCAACCCAACAGAGATGAAATAGCTGTAGCAAATATTGCGAACTCATATTTGCGATCATACCACGCTGCTATCGCAACTGTACTTAAGTACCTGTTTAAACAAATAGGTTGTTAAAGACAATAATAGACATTAAGAATAACAGATACATTCTTAAAACATACATCGAAAAGGATGATGGTAAAAATGCAGCGCTTGAGATATACATGCCGGAGCTAAGAATAAGGAAGGCCAACGTCATCCTGGCTATGTGAACACCAAATTCCCGACACACGTTCCTTAAAAAAATATATACATCAGATGTTGTATACTTAATTAGAGAGATACGAATTATTTAAGAGTATGATATCAATAACGTACTTATAAAAATATACTTCTGATAGAGCACATCCAACGGACAATAGGAATCGAATAAAATAGAAGACAAGAACAGGATTTGGTTCCAATAAATAACAGTATAATTTTGCTGGTACCATATGTATCAGCAAGTACGTATACGATCTCAAGGCATACTCAGGACTGTATTCCCATGTTTGTTGACCAGTTCCATATAGTAAATAGTGGCTCTGATACAAAAATAAACTTACTGTTTATAGTAATATACAGATTCACCATTAAAATTAATAATATAGAGAATATTATTGTAAAATCACATACCGGCTCCCAAAAATTATAAGTCTCATCGCAATCTGTTATATGGCTCCAAATAGCAGCACAGAATCTAGCTGATAAAAGTAATTTAAATGCAGTATCTCCACCAGGATAAATGAGCCCAATATCAGATGAGTCTTCTGGCCTGAAATAAAAATTTATAAGCTTTATTTTCAATGTTGTTTACAACCTGCCGTCTCTATCACAAAACCCAAAATCCAATATCTTTATTATTTTGAAATAACCATTGCAATTTGACTTTATTGATGAATCAATAAAATTCTATATAATTCCATAAATGTCATTAAATACATATTTTTTGTATATTTCTATACAAATGCAACAATATGCGTGGCAAGCAGAAAAGGTTAACATATATGAATTATTCTTACAAAGCATGGAAAAATTAAATGCAGATAAAAACATTATAGAATTACAATATTCTTCCACGTACTTTGAAAATTTTCTTCCATTATTCTTTTTCTGATCTTTTTTCAAGTAAAACAGTTGACGTTGACGTTGACCTGGTGCCATGATACTTCTTATCACCGGATTGTGAATGAACCTTTATCGTTGTCCTATCGATTGACTTTTTATCAGCAGAACCAAGGCGTACAGCATTTAGGTTGTCATAACAACGGCGTCGAAGTTTAAAATGGAGATCGAACCAAAATACACTTTCCTATCTTTACCGCAAAATAATTACTTCGGATTAAATGACAAGGCGACGCAGGAATTACTTACAAAATGGTACATAAACTGTTGAATATATGTCGAAGAGATAAAAGTAAATTAAAAAGCTCCATGAATACTCGAAGAAAATAAATACCTTCATCAAAAACTACTGGTACATATTATATTTATGTACTTAACTGGTTTGATGTTTATTTTTAGGGGACTAAATGAAAATTTCCATATTCAAAATTTTTCATTCAACGAACCATTCCAGCCTTATCACAAATATAATTTAACAGAGGTGAGATGATCATTGTGAAAGTATAAAGTTGAAGTACATGAAACAAAAATAATATATTTTTGTCAAACCTTATAAGATTTTCAATATGTCGATTACAGTCATTCTTTAAAGATCAAGCTGTTGCTGGTGTATTAAAAACCAAATCTAAAGGATGTTGGGCCGCGCACGGTAATTATATAAGTGTAATATATTCGTTCGTATTAAGGAATATTTCTTAAATTTTAGGAACCGTAGCATCAACCGTGGAAACGAGACAAATACCATGCTCAGTACTTACAATGTCTTTTTTTGAAAAACTGAAGGATCCAAACAATAAAGTTGTTCACAATTCCGGAACCATATGCAAGAGATATGATTTAGACATCGATGGTTTTTTAGTTTCGGATAATCTCAGGGGTGTCAGTAGTAAATTTACAAACTATACGAAAACTTGTTCAAATTGATTAAATTCGTGGACAACCTTCGTTACTTCTTGCGTTTTAGATGCTAATAGATGAGGACTGCGAGCAATACAATTTGTACTCTAAAAACGAGCGAGAGGAATTTATTTTTCGAATTCTGCAATTGTTAGTACTGGGTGGCTCTCTTTGTCAATATGAAGACACGATAGAACCCTATCTGAAAGTTACAAAAAATCTTTATAAGGATCTGATCAGGTTGGTACAAATATTTAATCCTGACAATTTTAAAATAACAAAACATTTGTTGCAGAGTTCAAAAGCAAAAGGATTCCAACGAGTTGTCTGTTTCTACAATGGTTTTGGAAGTCGTAGCTAAAGACGCTAATGGTCGTGCATATTTTCCTTGCGACCAATCAAGTATGCAAAACATTGGATTTCTATTAGTAGATAGAAATTTTCGTCAAATAACTACCGTACTACATCAATATTCATGATAATAATTCTATGGAATAACAATGTTTGAAATCGGCAGTATACTGTTTATTCGTGAAAAGAATAAAACTACTATATACAGGAAACCGTCGTTTTTCCTTATGTATTTTTTTTAATAGTCCATTTTTATGTAATTAACAATAAATAAGTACATTTTTTTTCTTATATATATATATAACCTCACTTGTTTTCAGTATGAATCAGTCACTAGTTACAGCCTTTTAAACTTATTTGCTGAATAATATATTATACAAGATATAATTATGTCACAAATTGCCATTATCGTCATTATCAATTCATAGTCTCAGAGAACTAATGAGTCAATATTTATCATTGATTTTCCTAGATCTAGGTTCTAATTAAGTGGAAGCATTACACGCAATTACATAAATTTATATAAAATTCTAATGTCAACATAATTTTCTTATCACAAGAACCAAGGAGGCTCATACTATTACCTTTGACTAAATATAAATGGACTAGATACAACCGCGAATGCGCTGCTTCGCGATTCTGATATGTAGAATATATATGTATATACAGCATTTCAAAGGGTAAATTGCGATTACAGGTATCGGCGATATCTAGCCTCGCATGACACCAAATCCCCTAAGATGCCCAGTGTATGCCCTTCAGTTAGCGCTATTACTGAGGATCCAGTTGTTATTAAAATCAACATTCATTTGGAAGAGTCTTAATAATCGAAGCAGATGAAAATAAGAGATTTCTGAAAAATCTTTCTTTTGATTCAAAATTATTAATCAAACACGTAATGATTCTACTGAATGCAAAGTGTCGTTTGAATTGTAAAATTCGTATCACGCAAATATATGTTCTAATGGTTCTAATTTAATATTTTATAGTAATCGGTTTTCCTAAGAGACGTAATTAAAGTTAAGAGCCATTAAAGATATGCGATGTAGGAAGACATCCGGAAGGCCAAATTTCACTGTTTAAGGTTAAAGGGAAATTTGTTTTAAGCATTAATACATTAAGAAATATGTATGAAATTCGATATATCTGATCACGATTTCTAAGTATACCTTGTAACGTGGCGTTACAGAGCTGAAGGGGATACCACCTAGGAATGACCGAAAAATAAATAAATAGGACTTATCAGGTCGGACAGTGGGCTCAGTGGCACAGTGGTAAGTGCTCGACTTGGCAGTCCGAAGGTATTGGGTTCGAATCCCGATCAGAACTCCTAATTTTTCGGAAATTCCTAGCCCTCTAGCGCTCCCTGGCGGCTCTATGGATATAAATTAATTATAGCGGGGACGAGCCGGGCACCCCGTTATAACCTATTTCGCTTTAGTATCATAATTGTAACTCCACTGTAAAAATCCGTTGTATAGCGCTAAAAGCTACTTTGGCAAATCGATTAAATGCTTTTTAATCTTTACAATAACAATACTTTCGTAAATGAAATAACGTATTCTCCACGCATCTCGCTTGTGTTCCATATTCATTTATCCTGCTTACATCGGCAATCTATCGACATAATATTATTAAATGGTTTTAATGAGACCCACAAAACTTACTATGGTCAAAATTAATTTAAATTTACCTTGGTATTGAACAATTTTTTTTTCACGTTGTAACTTATACTTGCTTCGAATAATCCATCGCCGGGTTCTGATTTTATTTTCAGCTGATAAACTTCGGATGTGACTACAGTTTTTGCACTGAAGTCACCAAGAAAGCCATCTTTGTCTCTGGTTTTTTTAAAGCTTAACAGTCCTATGAAAAATTTATACTTAAATAACATACTCGAGATTTCTATGTTAAAATGTCAGTACCTTTAGTTGGCATCAATTTGGCAGACCCTAAAATCTCTTTCAGACTCAAGAGTTCGCATATATGACGATGCTCTTCTGTATACGAATTAAGAAATTGAATAAAATATTGAGCAGCTGCAAGAATGATTGGATCATTTGTTGCTATTTCTTCCCAAGAGAGACAGGCGCACCAATGTGGTTCTATAAAAGCATCTGAGCACGTTCTCTCCAAAGGTATCTAATAAATACAAATAATTTATAAATAAAAACATTCATCACTAGGTTCTTATTACATATCATGAAATTAATACCTTGTCGAATAAGCTAATAGCTCTTTGGCTCCGATCACCTTCCTTCGGTGTTTCAAAATTTAAAATCCTCTCAAGGGTTCGATGCACATCAAAAGGAGTTGTTAAATGTTGTGTATTATAAACAAAGTTTGCATAAGCACGCGGATGTACTTGCTTGAACCATGATGGAAACGTAAAGGAAAAGAATGGTAGTCTCTCCTCTAGTTTACCTTGCAACGTATTCCGAATTTCTGCAAATCTGAAATTCCCACATGTTATAATTTAATATGACGATTTTAAGAATTTAAATAAATAACGTCAAAGAATAATTTTCACCTGTGACCATGATCACTCATTATTATTAAGACTGTATTGTTTAAGTGACCAGTCTCGTATAAATCTTTTATCCATTTATGCATGTGATCGTCTGCCACCCCAATATCATTGTAAGAATCGTGAGAAAGTTCACCGTGAAATCCAAAAACAAATTTCGGATGATTTTGATAAGTATTGAAAATTGTTGTTATATAATTCATCATAACCTGCCAGATTGCATACCTTTATGAAACAATTTTTGTCTCTATGATACCATACTAGTTATTTACATACCATACTAGTTATAACCCTTACAAAAACACTGAATAGACTCACCAAGTGTCTTGGAGTGCCACTCATACAGTATCTATTATAATACTTAAAATATGGTGTAGCAGCCATATAAAAAGTTTTCATATAATGATCGGTGGGTTGCTCCTTGAATCCTTTCAGTCTGTAGGTAAAAGTTCCAGTCTTTTGGTCATCTTCCATAAATCCAGTTATATAACCACTCTCTTTGTATTTGTTCCATATAAAGGGATAAACATTGACAAAATTTGCCAAGACACCCATACGTTTTCTTGTATCTGGTAACTCGATCTCAACTTTGCCAGTGAGAATTGGTGTTAAGGCCTGGGGCGTACCATCGCCAACAATGTTATATCCTTCTAAGACAAGGGTATTCAGACTCTTCTTAAGGTAATGATACGTTTTTGGTAACATTCGCATAAACGTATTTCGTGAGAGAGAATCAAAGCCAAACATAAGTACATTTAATTTGAGAGCATTTTTTGGCACATTATCCCAAGTATCTAGTTTTGCTTTTGGATCATCTTGAACTCCGGCTAACACACTGTACCATCTATGGGAATTATGTTTTATAACACTATGTTTGCGAAACTCTAATCACTCTATCGTTATTAAAATGAACTAACTGGTTTCCATTTTGCGATTCACATTTGACCTCTGCAAAGTCACTCCTTTTGAGAATATACGAGTCATCAGATTCTACGGTATCCGCTAATATTATCTTGAAATCATCCACACGGATTATTTCTAGAACAATGCACGTACGTTGAAAAAAGCTATCAAATTATTCATACACTTATCACTCTAGATTTTTGTTGTGAATATATAACAAACATCATATGCTGATAATACTCTACCATTGAAGGCGCATGTTATAGGTCCATAATTACGTTTCATAATATTCTTTATAAAGAGCTTCGAACCATCAACTCCCACCCAGTCCTCGGGCGTGCATTGCAATGATGGAACATCCTTTATGAATTTTATTATCTCTGAATTTAAAATGTCCAATTCAGGTAACTTACAGGCAGGAGTTCCATCGCTAAAAAGAAAAATACTTATGAGACATTGCACCTTTCTATTATTATAATCATCTTACCCCTTATATGGTGTATTCTGTGCAGAATTCTTAATCAACTGTGACATAAGACTCCTAGAACAGAATGTTTCATTATAAGCAATAGCAATTATATTACTCTTTCCTGGTAATTGAATAAACAGCAAAGAGCATTAAAAATATATGCCATGTTGTTGTAACAGTGTATTATATTCTGTTAATGCATACTTATACTTACAGCTTATCAATATTTGAAGGTTCGGTGTCATTGAATCCAAGTTCAGATCTAAGGATTTGAATAATACAATAGATCAATGCTACCAGTAAAGTGGTGACCATTAGACGACGAAAATGGCAGGATGTTAATCTCATATTTACTATTTAATTTATTCTGCCTATAAGAAAATAAATAACTGTACAATGACACAATTATTACTAAAATTCACTAAAATTGTATTATATTAAATGAATATATTTATACAATTCCTTTCAAACATCCTTTCCCACACGCTTAAATAGCTAACGAATATATTTTTTTCAATGTATAAACAACATTCAAAAGAAATACATATAACTGTATGCATATCACTGAATAACAAGTTACATAAAAATAGCAAAACATATGCAATAAGTTACAGAAGTAGTATATATATAAGCCTTACATTGCAGAAAAATATACAAAATATGACATTACAAAATATAAAGCCGGTATCAAATCATACATACAACAATATCAAACTTCACTTTTTTAGTTACTTCCTACCTTATAAAAACGTGCAAACAACAACAGTAAAGAAATCCTTCATAAATTAAACATTCTTCCAACAATTGCGACTACACATATGTATTGTCAAATATTAATAACCGGTTAACTAAGTTATTAAACCCCATCCAGATCGAACGGCAAAAATGATTTATACCCACTTGATATTAAAGGAGTGATATATCACATTGATAAAAAACTAATAGTAATTGCACAATTGGAAAACATACAACAAATGATTAAAATGAAAATGTAAATATAAGTATAAGGGTGCTATTTCATTTGCGCGACACAAGACCGTCGTTCGATAAAAACTTCGTCTTTCGCATAAAAGTTAGCCATACACTTATGATGTTTAGCAATACAACGCTAGGCAGCAATCGCATTCCATTGGTCAATCAATCTTAAATTTTTCAGTGTAAAATTTGACCAATCAGATGTGTTTGCTCCCGCAGCGCTATAAATACAGATATTGACGTATGCGCATACGCCTATTAATAATTGACATCCCGGCTTCCTAGTTACATGTGAATAATGGGATATGTATTGCATGCAGGAAAAATTCAAACTGTAAGTATATGGACGAGCTACTAAAAAATATTTTAAAACGTAGATTTGAGATGAGAATAAATATATACCTGGGAAAAAGTGAGGTTATTTGACTATGGTGTTTGATGGGGTTAAAATATTTTGTTGAAAGGCCGATTGCCCTTCCATGGCAGAAAATCCGTTATGCGTTTACACTGGAAACAGTTAAGACTATCTGTGCATATTTCAAGTTTCTAATTAAGATCCGTAGTCTTGACTTACATGTGACTGAGAAAGTGATGAGCTGACGTTAATGCCTCCGTTTTTTCGTGAATGCTGTTTCGCAACTCTCATGGGCCTGTAGTTTTTGTAGATCAGTATTAGGAAATCTGGTATAAAACATGTCACTGTGGTGACAACAGTCAATAGCCAGAAGGTTGGTGACATTAGTAACTTGTAAAAGACCCAGAGCATGTCTCCATCATATCTTCTGAAATAATAATAGTTTTGGTCATTTTACTAGAGGAATAATTTTACTAAGTGACTAAAAACTCATAAATTTTATGGACGACTTACATATTTAAGCCTGAATAAGTTGATGCAACAATGTAAAAGGAAATCTCTGATAACACTACGCTAACTACAAAAGGTGTAGTCCAATACGTACTATATAATAAAATCTGTAAATTTCAATAGGTATAAATTAAAATTAAAATTAATAAAAATAGTGATTATTCTAGGATAGGAAATTTGATATTGTTCACCTTGAGACCAGTTACTAAGGTAACTATATGAAATATACATGTACTGTAAACCCAATGGCCAGCTTCTGTGTTATCATATAGATTGATGGGATTGATATACCAAAAGCTGAATGGTATGAAATATGATGCACAGGTATGCCATACAGCTATTTAAAAATTCATTTTGATTAAAAAATTCATTTTTATTTGTTACACAATTTTTGGAATCACGTACCTATAAAACTCCATATGGCAAATTGCTTTGTTGATAATAAATAATTTTTACTATTAATTTTATACAGTTGAGGATATTTTAACAGTTTATCAGCAGAGTAATCCTGTTCAAATAATCCATAAAGAAGTACTGGAACGCAAGTGAATATAGTATTGTAACACATAAGAAATATACTATCGAAAAGTGACTGAAAAAAAAATTTTAATGAATCAAACAAGCTGAATTATAATGTTAGTCTATACATCTGGTTATCAGGCGGATTTTAATAATTGTTACCTGAGTGGAAAATTTGCTGGAGAATCCAAATAGAAACTGTGGTGTTATAAATACTAAATTCTTATAGAAAAAATATTGCGTCAGAATACTAAGTCTCACATAATACCAATGCCCATGTACTAGCAATGCTTTTCTCAAAAATCGAAATTTAGTAAATGCAAAATCTGAGTTCATTGCCGCCTGACGTCCTTCCTTTCCCATGATACCAATCCCTACATGTGCTTCTTGTATCATAGATACGTCATTTCCGCCGTCACCAATGGCGGCCGTAATTGGTTTCTTTCCATTACATTTCAGCAACTGTACCATCTACACAATTTTTTGGATTACTTAATAAAACTATAATCATATAACTAGCACTTAGAAACCACTAAACGTCTATTACCTCAGACTTTTGCAAGGGAGACATTCTGCAACAAACCACAGCTTCGCAAGACATCGCCACACTACGAAGAAGTTCCGGACAATTTTTATAAGCAGTAGCCATACTTACACCATCCATTATTATTCCATACTGTTTATATGGATCCAGCATCACGCGTCTCCTACAAAATATTAAGTTCGTTTGATATCATCTAAAAACGATCTTACCACAATTCAGTTTCTTCAACAAAACTAAGTGACCATTGTGTCACGAGAGAAATGTACTAACTCGAAACTGGTTAGTGTTATGCAACAAGATTGTGCAGTGACTTGGTCCATGAGCCTCAACAATTCAGTACCCTTCTTAAAATGACCGCAGAGAAAGGCAATATTCTCAGCCGTCTCTGCTTTGTCACCCGTTAAAATCCAAATCTGTGGACAGAAATTGCAGTAAACTTCTTATTTTGGTTTCAACAATTTCTCGTACCCATAATAGTTTTATCTCAGTAAATATAAATTAACAGTTGCATATCTTCAATGGAAAAATTTCTTACTCAAGGATGTATAATAGTATATTAGTTATAAGATACTTTATCTATGTAATTTATATCCGTGAGTAGGAATTTGTAAAATATTTTAATATGTAACTATTACTTTCGTGCTTGCTTGTATATAAATTACTTTTATGCCAGCCGCACGTAAACTCTCCAGAGTTTCTGGGACATCGTCTTGTAATCGATCTTCCACCGCAGTCACGCCAAGTAACGTTAAACCATCTTCCATAGCTCTGTAAGCACGCTCAACTTGTTCTGCACGTTGATCGCCGATTATTTGTCGAGAATACTCTATGTTTTGCATTAGCCGAGCGTAATCGGTTTGTTTTAATTTTTTGTAACCAATTACAAGCGTCCGCAGACCCCTCTGAAACAATGTAATAACATAAATGGAGAAGGTGGTGTTAAAAAAATATTGTTTGAACTATTGAAAAATTAACTAACCACAGAAAAGTCGGATATGTGATCGTTGGCCTCTTTAATTCTTCCTTTTACTATAAGTGGAAAGATGGCTGAATCAGCACCTTTACAATACAACCATAAATCTCCTGCAGCATCCTCTACCACAACCGACATTCGTTTCCTCTCTGAAATCATACAATTTCAGTATGAAAGAAAAGTCGCTTTGGTATTATTCGAAATAATCATTTTTACCAGATGTGAATTCGAGAGTCTCCAATCTTTTAAACTTTAATATATCGTCTTTAACTTTAAGTTCCAATTCATCACCAGAATCCTTTTGAAATACCACACCACATCGAGCACTAGCTTCTACCAAAGCCTTTTCATCGGCCGACGCAGCCTGTGAGAAATTGTTAATTAAATTTCTTATCTGAAAATTTTAATAACAGGATCAAATAATTTAATGGAATATTTTTTCAAACCTGATATTCCGGTAGATCCGGATCCATGAGTAAGGAGCTGTTGATAACTGTAGTTTTCTTCTGGCGAAAGCTTTCACGGAAAAATGATCTTCGAGCCATAATACTAGCTTTTTGACTTGGAGGTGCAATGTGGACGGCATGACAAAGAGAAATGCTTATCATAAAGTGCCAAATATCGGGCTGTTCATGAAAAAAAATTATATAAAGAATTTTACATTGTTCAGAGTTGCAGTAATCATTTTTTTCATTTTTAATATGATTTTTATCCTACCTGCCAAGTTTCTAATTTCTCAGCAAGCTCCTCAATTCCGCTAGATGGTAATAAGTAAAGATTACCATCACAATCTTTTTCCATATAACATTTTCCATTTATGGAGCAGCGTCTAAACACCATAAGATTATCAGTGAGGGTTCCAGTCTTGTCAGTAAATAAATATTCGACCTGGCCTAGTTCCTCATTCAAATCAGAAGTATTTGCCTTCGCTGGTTGATCAGTTGCCTCATCGTAGAGATCAATATCCCAACCAAAGAAAAAAGAACCCAAAAACTTTTGCATCTCTGAACGACATAAGAAAAAAGAATATAAAGACAGAAAGTAAATAGAAAATAATGCAAAATATAATAAACATACCAGCAGTAACGTAAAGGGATATTGGAACAATATAATTGTACAGTAGTGTAAAAGAAAAAATATCAACCAAGACAGTACGGGCAGTAATAGGATTTTTCTGGCTCCAATAATCATCCCTATTAGATTTTATTTCTATGATTGCCTTCATCAACGTAGAAAAAAAAATTTCTACCAATAAAACTATGATAAAGACTAATAAATATGTATTTATGGATCTGAAAAATGTATATAAAATAATTACCATACTCTATTACTTGTGTACGTCATTTCATATTTTTTTAAAACTAAGTTACCTCACCTTTCAACCGTAGAAAATTTATTTGTCGTGATTTTTGAATTCATAGAGAGTTTTGTATCCTGACCAGTATAAATTGCGCATCCAATCACGAATTCGGTATCTTTGAGTCTGGCTCCTCGCAATAACACATTGTCTATTGTCAGAAATCCATTTAATTGTTCATTATTGTGTGTTACTTCAATTTTACCATGAAACGTATATAAATTAGGTATTGGATGTTGGCAAGTAACCACAGCCTCCATGGATACAATATCAGTAATGGAAATGGATGAGACAACTCTTGGAACGTATAGCGTCTGAAAGAAGAATATACGTGTTTGTAAACAATAATATATTTAAATACAATTAAAGACAGCAGATATGCCCCCTATCAACATATTGATAAGATAAAATCTAGCCATTAACGACTATACAGTATACTGCATCTCACATAGATAATGAAACAATAAATTACATGAATTTCATACAAACAAGTTGGAAGAACTCCATTTACAAACAATGATTAGCAAAACTTTAATCAGATAAAACGTAATTGAAAATATACCTGTGAATTGTAATTGCAGTAATTATTTAATAATCTCGTCATTAATATAATATAATATAATACAATTGTTGTAAAATCTATTATTACCTTAAGATTAGTTTCTCCATCAAGATTAGATGTTGTCACGTAACAGGAATTACTCTCATCGCTACTGTACAGGAGAAGTAAGTCAGAAGGAACATCTTCGTCCCTACTAACTTTTACTAGATCTCCCACGACTATTTTCTCGCAATGGATATTCTAAAAATATATGTATATATAATTCTATGCATATGAAATATATAATCGTAATATTAAGTATATACTATAACGTTATAAAATCAAATGTATATTATCGGGCGTACAGTCTCAATAGATATCTTCGTACCTGTACACATTTGTTACGAATAACTGTACAGAGTGTACGATTGACACGCTGATCTGAACGATAGCGATTGAAATCCTCATATCCTTGTTTACAAGCTGTGACTAGAATAACGAATACCAATGGCACAGAACTGGTTAGTGGTGAAATTGGTGAGTCTATGATAATCGCTACGAGAGCAGTGAGCAAGAAGTAAAAATTTGCAATACGTCGAAATTGCTCGAAGAGATTTTTTGGTACGAAGTTCCATAGTGTGTACTGTAACAAATAAAATAGCTGGACAGATATATTAAATATAGAAAATGGCATAAGATATATGCTTTAGAGATAAGATATACTCGTTTCTGATAAAACGACCAAGCCTCTACGAAATTCTTGCAGAATTAGTAATGGACTGCGGTATCAATAAAGATTTATTTAAAAATTTTTTACCTTATTGGATATAATTCGATTTTTCGGAAAAGTCGTTTCCTTTGGTACCAAATTCGGACTGATTTTCAGAACACGGTGCTCTGCGACCACTGATACTTTACCGCCCTGAAATTTATAAAAGTACAAAATTATATTGATGTGTAATTTACGGTTATTTATAATCATTCAAATAACGCGCTCGTTTAATTCAGTTTTGGATCGTTACAGATCAGTAAGGATTGATGTAAGATCTCTAGCCATTTCATCGAACATTTTCTTTTTGGATTACTTATTTGTTACAGTGGTATTATACTTTTTTTTTCAGTTTCATCGTTTGAGCAATTCTTATAGTCTGCATTGTAAGTTTTAATGTTCTGCTCCGACGAGTCGCAAATTATCTCGTAATTCTTAAACCATTAATTCTAGTATCTCTCATGGCCAATTTCTTCACCTTCGGATAAAATTTATCCTCCGGATAAACTTCTAAAACTTGAAAATGATTGGTTAGCTAGGGATTTATCCGGAGGATAAATTTTATCCGAAAGGGAAGAAATTGGCCATTAGACAGGTATAATTTTGTTGTTATTAGCAAATTTTCAAACTTGCTTTGAGAAACGTTTTACTGTAATTCCTTCGTGCAAATACGTAACTTATGATTTGAGTTCCCCGCCACTTTCGTCTCGCACGACTGACGCGTCTTTTTCTTCCTAGTGAGAATAAAAGTAACTAATTCCATCGCGAAGTATAACAAGTGCTTTCATGACTTTGAAAATTTCCAAAAGATGGATTCATCCTTCAAACTCAAAATAGGATAACAACCAAAGAAACTGTGACGTCATGAAGTTCTACGCAAGTAAATAGAAGTCGAAAAAATATTTTCGATCGATATCCTATGTCTATAAATTCCCAGTGGTTGCAAGAGAATATATTTTCCTAATTCCAATAATTGTTCAACGTAAATAATCAGCGGAATTATGAAAAAGGATTAATTGACGTTCGTAAAATAAATTTTTACACGGATAAACAAATGGAGAAATGTATTCGACAACGCCGTGGTTTCAGAGTATTCGCAAGACTGTCGGACCTTTATTAAAGTGTGTAAGTCGTTACAAAAAGAAATTGGCCGATGACTCCTTTCTGACTAAAGACAGCAATCAATATTTGGACGAATTATATCAATCGTGGCGAAATGATCCAAAATCAGTGGATGCATCGTGGGATGCATATTTTAAAATTATGTCATCCGAAAGTCCTGCAATACAGGAAGAATCGTCATACTCAACGTCATCGCCGGTACGAGTTGCCTTCGGTGCAACAGTAGTCCCGCCAAATTTACAATTAGCACATAAAGAAAGTGAGTATCTGCCCGTATGAATATAGTCAATGTCAAAATTCTCAATCGCTCGAATTACTTAAACTGATAAATTGATTTTCCAAATTTTATAGCTTCTTTACCAAGACAAAGCTCTAGAGCTAAATCAGATGCAGAAATTCAAGGTGACAACTACATAGTTGGTGCATTGGAAGTGAACGCAACTATTCGAGCATACCAAGTACGTATTATGTTACTTGTGGAATTGATTAATTAATTAGATATAGATTTTTAATAAGGTTTCATTTTTGTCATAACAAGACGAGAGGACATTTAATTGCCAATGTCGATCCTCTTGGCATTCAAAATCCAGAATCCAGTAAACTTCAAGGTACAGCCAATTTACCGCCATCTGTAGTGGTACGACAGCATTTGAAGGGTATGACGGATGCTGACATGGCAAAGGAATTTCCGCTTGGGTCGATAACGTTGATAGGCGGCGAAAGGAAGTCTTTACCTCTTCGTGATATTATCACTAGACTCAATGAGGTTTACTGTGGTCATATTGGTCTCGAATATACCTACATACATGATTTAAACGTCGTAAGTATATAGGATGTAGCATGCGTATACGTGTATTCAGTAATTCAAGCACAAATTCGATTGTTTGTATCAGTTGGATTGGATGCGTCAGAAATTCGAGGTGCCACGTGTTTGGGAATTGACAGCTGATCACAGAAAATGGGTTTGGAACAATATTATGAAGGCGGTGTCTTTCGAAGGTTTTTTGGCAAAAAAATATGGGGCTGAAAAACGTTTTGGTCTTGAGGGTAGCGAAGCGTTTATCGTCGCCATGACTCAATGCCTTGAAACGTCCGCGGAGAAAGGTATTTTTTTTTGTATGGCCACTGAAAAGTTGCTCGTTACTTGTGAAATAATATTTGGAAATTTCGTACAAGGTGTCGAGACTGCGGTAATAGGGATGGCGCATCGTGGACGCCTCAATACATTGGTGAACGTCTGCTCGAAGCCGATGGCTCAGTTGTTCACGCAATTTAATCCAGTTACTCTGGAAGGCTTAGAATCCGGTGACGTTAAGTATCATCTTGGAACGCATACGGAAAAGCTTTTAGAAAGGTCATGATAATAAGATATTACAATATTGTTAGTGAGAAACGAATGATTAATTAATCAAAACTTTTAGAGGTCAAGATAATAATAGATTTTTATATGATTGAAGAAAAATGATAAATCAATTAATCAAGCTTCTTACAGGAGCGGTAAAAAAATTCGATTGGCTATTATGGCCAATCCATCCCACTTGGAGACAGTGTCGCCCGTGGTCGTTGGTCGCGTCCATGCGGAGCAGATAGCGAAATCAGATGCCAAATGTACATAATTAAGTTGACTGGAAATAATTGGTAAAAATAATTTTCATTTTGAATTTACCATTGAAACTTTTTTTTATGTAAGATGACAAGTCTGTTGCTATATTGGTCCATGGAGATGCTGCGTTCGCTGGACAAGGAGTCTGTTACGAAACTATGCATTTGACTCATTTACCTGAATACACAACAGGCGGCGTAATTCATGCTGTTATTAATAATCAAGTAAATAAAAGATAATTCTTTGACAGCAATGCTACTTATAGATACATTCATCAGAATGATTTTTCACGATTATAGATTGGATTCACGACTGATCCAAGATATTCAAGATCAAGTGCTCATTGTACGGATGTAGGTCGTGTGGTTAATGCTCCTATATTTCATGTCCATGCTGACGATCCTGATTTGGTAACTTACTGTAGCAAGGTAGCAGGGGAATACAGGTGGTTATGAAATTTCATAAATTTTATTCAATAACTGTCAAATTTATTATTGTCCAACGTGCCGTGATTCCTCCTGTGTAATTTAAAATCCAGGGCTGAATTTCACAATGACGTTGTACTGGACGTGGTGGGATATCGTAGAAACGGACATAACGAAATGGACGAGCCTATGTTAACTCAGCCAATTATGTACAAGCAAATAAAAAAGCATCCAAACGTTCTCAGCATATACAGCGACAAGCTTCTAAAGGAAGGTGTCATAACAGAATCTTACATTAAAGAAGTACGTGAAATTGTCGGACTTTAATAAGATGTTTTATAACCTCTAAATCTTATGCGTTTATCTGTATGGCACTGCGCATTTGTGTATTACAGGAAATTCAAAAATATCAAGATCACTGCGAATCCGAATTCAAAAAGGCTCAAAGCATCAGTTCCATGCAATTAAGCGATTGGCACGATGTACCTTGGGATGAATTTTTTGCTAATCAAAATCCAAAATCCAAAATTCCTCCCACGGGTATTCCAGAAGCAGAAATTAGATCGTTATCCTCGGCAATCTCCACGAAACCCAATGATATAAAGACTCACAATCAGGTGAGTGGTTGTAATTTTTTTTTAATTACGTTATTCTTATTCGCCGAATTATTCACTAATTAGCCGATCGATTAGGTCGATAGGTTACTCGAAAAGAGAAAGAGACTAATGGAATCGCGCCAATTGGATTGGGCAATGGGTGAGAGTATAGCGTATCTCAGTTTATTAAAGAAGGGACACCATGTTCGTCTATCCGGACAAGATGTTGAACGTGGAACATTTTCACACAGACAACATGTCTTGCACGATCAGGATCGTGATAAAACGTGGAAGAATATATTGCAGGATGTATATCCTGGACAAGCTTTGTACACTGTGTCAAATTCTTCCTTATCAGAATACGGTGTATTAGGTACGTACTATAAATAAAATGAATTAATTAAAAAAAATAAATAAACAATAATCATACCTTTACAGGATTCGAAGTTGGATATGCTGCGTACAATCACAATTCTTTGGTTATCTGGGAGGCTCAATTTGGAGACTTTGCCAATAATTGTCAAGTAATTGATTAGAGATGTTTATGAGTATGGATATTGATACCATTTAAAATTTAGGTAATTATCGATTCCCTTATGTGTTCCGGGCAAGCAAAATGGGGTCGACAAGTCGGAGTTGTTTTACTTTTACCTCATGGTATGGAAGGTCAGGGACCAGAACACTCTTCTGCAAGAGTTGAAAGATTCTTACAATTATCGGATGATGATTGCACGTATCTACCGGGTAAGGAACCAAATGGACCCCGTAACGAAACAAAAGAGGAAATCATGACACGACAGCTTTTCGAGATCAATTGGATAGTCTGCAATATCACTACGCCTGGAAATTTCTTTCATCTTTTACGAAGGCAAATACTTATGCCTTTTCGAAAACCATTGGTTAGTAAGGTCACCACATTTTTTAATATCTAGATTTTTATTAGACTTTTATCACGCTGTTTACACGATCCGTATGTTTGTCTACTTTGTATCCGTAAATGTATGCACACTCGTTATCGACGTTTGTTCATTCAAAAGTAATTTCTACAATTGGTAACTAACCTATTAATAAATGTCTTCTGTGTCCTTACAGATTGTTATGACACCTAAATCTCTTTTACGCCATCCAATGGCAGTGTCAACTTTCGATGAAATTGGACCGAACACGTCTTTTCGCCCGATAATACCAGATACTACTCCCACCAATCCACAAGCGATTAAAAAAGTTTTGATATGCACTGGAAAGATGTATTACGATGTTCATGCAGAACGAGAGGAGCGTAAAATGGATGACAAAATCGCGATAGTTCGTATCGAACAGCTGTGTCCGTTTCCCTACCACTTGCTTGCCGAGGAAGTCTCGAAATTTACAAAAGCCAAGGTCAGTCGATGAAATATTCGCTTGAGCGGTCATCCGTTAAGACATTTGCGATGGATACTGTTTTTTTTTCTATTGAAATTGAACGAGCATTAAACCTGTAACGAGTGGCGTTCAAGTTCACACGTATTGCGAGTGATGGCGGGACGTAACGGGGAGATCGAGACTCTGGGGTTTTTGTTACTATTACCACTCGCTAGGATTCTAAGATAAAACTCACATTCTGACGAGGGGGTTTCTGCTCTAGTGGATTCTCAATGGCACGAAGAATGGATACGAGATAGATGCCTTGCCAGATGAATTCCTCTATAATGATTTTAAGGCTCGTTATCAGACCTAATTTTTCTTTGTCTCGACAGATAATGTGGGTGCAGGAGGAACATAAAAATCAAGGACCCTATTACTACGTGAGAGATAGAATAGCACTGGCCCTAGGATTACCTTTGGAAGCGATTAAATATGGCGGACGACCAACTTCCGCTTCGCCGGCTACTGGTAGTAAAATGATATATAAAAAGGAGTATGCCGATATGATGGCCATGGCTATGAACCTTGAGTGAAATTTGCATTGGCTGTAATCTAATGTAGCGACTAAGTTACTATTACTCACTAGCTTTAGATACGAGTAACGAGGATCCGATCAAGATATTGAAGAAACAAAGTTTAAATCGTGACTCCTATTTTATTCTATTTTGTAGGCCTGTACTGGACTGTTTTATGTAATAGAATTTTTTACAATTTTGTCATATCTTTCTTATTAATTAACTATTAACATTAAATGAGCTAAGTGGAGTAAAGTCTTACCGGTATACATAAATAATCCGTATCCTGTCTTCCTCCACGGAAATTCACTTTTTTATTGATACTATTCCACATTGGATCATATTATAAATTATTTTACAATCTTCCTAGGTTATTTACCATCGTTTCAAGTCTAACTTATCGATTCAATTGGCAATTTGTAACTGCATTACGTTACAATACTGAAAAGGAGGACATGTCTGTGGTAATGACGTCTCAATGATTAACACTCATTAAACAAAGCTTCACACCTTAGACATATTAGTTCACTATGACAAATGGATGACACTGTACTTTAAATAACGTGACAGTTATTGTATTTGAACAGAATTTTGCGAAATTGATATATAAATTTACTGATATATAAACTGACTCAATTTTCAAGGCAAAAATTTCATTTCAAATTTGTTACTATGATCATCCGATCGGTATGTAATAATGTTGTAATAGAATATTGTATGATTGTAACTGATAAAAACGTGTTACAACGTCCTTCGATATTTTCGAAAATAATATCAAACTTGATATCAGCGGCTGCGATATAACTAACTATTCCGTTATCTCAGCTTACTTGCGAACACTCCTAATCAATAGAGTGATAAAGACTATGTCTGCCATTATTTTACAAAAATTAAACAATATTCCCCAAGCTCTTTTTATGGTCCAGGATATCCATGAATTTTGTCGAATCATAGTTTACGTCAAAATAAATATATACAGAGGAGTAATACAATTTTTTATGAAAAATGTAAAGTCATTTTGGATTTTTGACTAGCAGATATCTTTTTTCAATTAAGATAAATATCACTAGGTGTCACGTTGTGACTCAGTACTGCCCTAGTAGAAATTTTCATTGGCAAATCCAGGGCCTCTCTGGTTCTCCAGTGGGCCAGTTCAAGACTAGCCAAATCCTCGACGAGCCTTCGATTCTCACAATGGCATTTCTACAAGTGTCGTATTATAGGAATCCGATACCAAGAACGTTTACCTCATCAAGGCTCTTTATTGTAAAGGAAACAACTGAGCTGATTATCATATTGAAAAACAAAATACTTGAAGATAATTCGATGATTATAATCACAAAAGCAAAAAATCTTCACGGATAAGAGATATAAGTAAAAATTTGGACATTTTTCGATAACGTGCCTCCAAAGATGTATAGGAAATCACATTCAAGTTTGGATAGCTCAATCTCCACATATACATATATATAAAAATTCAATCTTTATCTCAGAAATGCGTCTGATTATCGAACAACCTTAAAACAAACGACAATTTGACTGATTGAAAAACTCGTAAAAATTAAAAAAAAAAAAACCATCAATCACTTACCATTTTAGTAAACGTCTATTTATACCCAGGTATGCACTTAATATTTCACAATATCAAAAGAGTCCAAGTCTCACTGCACTGTTGTAAAAATCATTCAAATCTTTTCTAACCAAACGCATTAACGATTATCGAACAAATTTCGACCAGTCATCGATCGAGATATGCTTTTCGACTCTTTAACGATTCATGTTCTTAATAAACAATATTATATTAACATTCACGTTTTTATTATTATTGACAAATCAATCAACGATCGATCGAACGATCCAAAAACGAATGATCTTAATAACGATCTCTCTTACTAATCATTCTCGATCGCTCATCGATCGGCCACGCGCTTACGTTTACGTATTTTGTGAACGAACGGCCGTGGTTAACTGACAGTCTCCGCTGTTCTACCGTGACAATGAATCAATTTCTTTATCAACACACACTTCTAACCCAGTCTCACACATTTGAGTCAGTAATAACGATTCCTAATCTCCTAACTGGTCTTAAATCCAAAAGATAAAGCTGTTCAAAAAATGAATTGTACGAACTTTTATCTGCCAATATTACTTAGGAAAAAAGCCAAGTCAAGAAATTATATTCTGTGAAGCGTAAAACATTTTCGTGGCCTGTTTAAAGCTATCACAAATCAATTGAAAATTATTTATCATACAATATTCAGGGATTTAACTCTAGCTCGTCATACCTGGCTAGGTGGACGAGAGTAAATACTGCATTATCATCTGTTCCTCCTGACAGGTATCTTTGTGAATTTTATATAACTTTTGAATAAATTTTTTTTTATACTGGAACATAATTTATTCATGTCAGAATCCGACGTTACCGACTTCAATTGAATTTAAAAATATGTATTTATTCATAGGTTATAGAGCAATGAAATCTTCGGATTGGCAGATCATCTCTGACAGCCCAAGGATCGAAAATTTAGGTATGATGAACTATGGTTAAGAAAACATTAATAAACTAGTATATTTAAACTTTAATATTTTATTAATTATATACAAGAACTAGACTAATTACAAGTGTATTTAACAATAATGTAATTTGAATGATACTGACGAATAAAGATGCCTGTAGTTTCGATTGATCACGGAATGGAAAATTATATACACTCCGTTATAGTATAATGTACGTTACTTTAAAGTATTGCGAATAATAGAGATGGAAAGTACGGAAGATTAGACACATCGTTATAACGTATGTTTTTATTTGATACGAAGATGTGAGAAAGTATCTATGAAATTGTACACTGGCCTGGAAATTAATTTGCACTTATATTATGATGTATACCGGGTGTCCTCGTTAGCATTTACTAGTAGGTTATATTATTACCGCAATCGTAACGAAGTTCTTTATATTTCTTAAAAATAATTGACCAGTAACATATTGTAGATTAATTTGATTTAAAAAACTATTTTCACGTTTTTAGGTTCGATTAAGGTTCTCGTAGATTCATGGTCATGCGGTTGATAACACATTTTATATGATATCGAGAGAGATAAGTAGGGAGATGCACAATGCTACGGTTTTAGACGATATCAAAAACATGGCGCTAAATCGTAGCGACGAGTCCGGGTGTAGGATTTTGTGATCATCGCCTCCGTCGATAATGCATATCCCGTTGTAACCGAGCTGAACGTGATCACGAACGTGCAACCTAGCCAGCAGAGGTTCTCCGCAACTTACCCCTGGTTCCCAGAGCAACCCTTAGAACGAGGCCGCTCATCAGATATTGCATTTTAGAGCCATACTGCACGCATGTATGGATACTCGTATACGTGAGCCCCGTTAACGCTCGTTGATTCGCTGACGCGGTTCACGTGCCCAATTCATACATAGCACAGTATGTCCGTTCGTAATGTTTGGAATAAATAACGTCCAGCGTTTGGCCAGGGCCGACTTCGTCATAAGAAGAGCCCGACACAACGTTCGACTGGACGTTAGGACATTGAAATTCTTGAATTCCGTTTTACATAAATATTTTAGAGCCAGGGGGCAGCACTGTACGCTGAATACTGCGCATGGTATCCCGAGTTGGACTCTTCGCGAAGTTTAGTATGGCGGCGATCAGCGCACGCATTGTATCTTTTTTGTTGCGTAATTCTCGAAAATTACGCGAATAAATTCGCGTAACGGCTTGTAGTACGGTCGGGTTAACAGCGTCTCCGGTGGACCAACAAATATGCAGAAGAGTGGAAACGAGTGCTGCTAATGTCGGTAAGGATGCGTGTGGAAACGAAGCCAAAAACTCGGTAACGAACGTAGAACAGTCTGCTGCACGGAAAATGTCTGCTATTAAAACGACGGGGACAGCAGGACCACCCCGATTGCTTCCCGTGCTCAGCCACCTTAGATATGAGCACCTTGTCGCCGGTGTTTCCGGAGGTGTTGTTTCAACCCTGATGCTTCATCCCTTGGACCTCATAAAAATCAGATTTGCTGGTGAGTTTATCGATCTTTTTTTTTTGTAAGATTCAGAGACGCGAACTGGAAGAGAAGATAATGACGGAAGTCAGAACAGCACGTGCTTTCGTATGATCTCATTTCAGATTTCTTTATGGCATTCGAAATTTTCATTATAAATGATTAAAATGGCAATGAAAACAAGACAGAAAATTTGAAGCGTCCCTTGTCTAGTACAAACATGTTCTAGTGGAACTCATAACATCTTAGATATTTTTAAAGATATAACTATCGTCATTAGTAATTAATTCTGATACTAACAGACTCCTCACATATTTCTATATTATCCTTTTATGACTGATAATCCTAGTTGATATTAACTAATCAGAGTATCGATGTCATAGAACCTGGTAGTCGAGAATCTGAAATATAATATCCTACACCACTGACACTGAACTTGATAAGTCATTTGTTAATAATTAATAAAAATATTCATCATTCTTTATCAGAATGCTTAAGTATGAATCAAACATCATCTTTACACCACAGAAATAACTTATTAAAATAAGTATACCGGTTCTGAGTAACTGAAATCATTATTCTGATAATAATAATAATACATGTCAAGTAGTTTAAGAAAATGATGCAATCTCTAGTATATTACACCACCAAATGTTAGCTAACCTTTCACCTTCTCTCAAGTAGCAACGGAACTAAGATACTTCTTCTTGATCCTTATTGGCTTTTTGCTCTATAGAGTCAAGTGTAAGGAAGCTAAGATACAGATGAATGTGAATTAATGTGAATGTGAATGATTTAGATAAAAATGTTTCGTTAGCATATAGAATGTCTTTGGTAATAGAAAAATGGCTGTTCGGTCTTACACTGCCATAAGGGACAACGTGTAGAGTAACTTAGGAAAAGTTTAACTATCTATTTTTTGCGTCATTGGACAGAATGATGTGTATTATCCAACACGTGATTTAGCAAATATACACGTGTTTTAACCATGTATATACGTACATACGCTTATGTATATATTATATATGTCGTCAACGCGTTATTCACAGTAGATCGTTACTTGCCAGCTGTTATAAACCCGAGCAGTGATTTTTCACAATACTTCAAGTTCCTCGTTTCTTTTTACTAATCCTTCTTTTTTCTTTATTTTCTTAAAATGCGGTTAATTACGCCCTTTTCTACGATTTTCATTCGTTTAAAACGACGAGCTACTTTCCATCCGTATTAATGAGGATATTCAGGTGAAACGAATATAGAAAGCTAACATACCTCGCTTCATTGACTGTAATGACTGATTCCTTCAAAATAACGTGAAGACCCTATAAACTTTCTTAACCTTTCGATTTCCTGAAACCAATCGTTCCAACTCTTGCATTAGTAGTCATCATACTTTGTTACGCCATATTGAGAAATTTTATCTGTAGCAAAGTTCTCTGTTAAATTGCCAATTGCGAAAAACTAAAAGTTCATTCAAGCATTCAATAAAAAAGAATGGGAAATTTTCCTCGGAACTTTATCCTCGAGAGATTTGTCGTTAATCAAAGTCAGGTGAACGAAGCTGAAGATTTCAGTTGAAAGGATTTCAGCCAAGTTAACGGTTAATCTGGACCTAAAGGAATGTCTTACAGTATACTATAGGTTAGGTTCATACTGTCTGGGTTTCTGGTCTTATATAAGAAACCTGGACGAGATTTATTATAGAAGCTTTTACACTGTACTAATAAGGGATGCTGAAGACTAACAATACCACAGCGTATTTTATCTAATTTGACTCTAAAAATTAATCAATAACCAAAGTCGCATTATGAGTCCGGCGCTGTTATAGACTTGTTCATTGTTCTTGTGAACATATTGTATATCACCAACGAAGAATATAGCTTCGAGAAACATCAATCTATATAATGGTATTAATTGTTAGCGACAACCCGTGTCAAGTTACTGTATAAGTCTATTGTTTTCGACAAAGTACTAAATAGAATACTAGACAAAACAAAAGACGCAGTGGCGCAATTATGACTTACATATTCAACCTTTATTTTGTTTCACGTAAGTTACCTCAACAATCACTTAACAACACACGGTGTTCTTTAATGGACGTCATTCGCAGTTATCCTTAGTGTTTTTTAAAAGAACAGAGATACAAGCTCGCACACTCTGCCAAGAATAAATTGAACTCAGTAATTTTCCTAGCGTAGTGACCAGGAGAAATTCACTTTTTTCTTCTCTAGTTTCTATAGTAATTTATTGTACTTTGCGGAGGATTTGATTTACAATCTCGTTTTATCTCGAGTATTCTGATTGATTCTGATTCATTGTCGTGGCAACGTGTTAAGTTCTTTGGTAAGGTGAATACTACAGATACGCTCAGGACGTAGACACAGTTGTGTATTTTCGTCGTAAAATTTTCTGGCGTTATACCAAAATCTTATAAATTCTTTGCGTTTCGTCAGAAGCACGTGAGTTCGCGAATTTCGTGGAAATTCGCTGTGGCGTCAGGCCAAGCGTATATTTCTCCCTATGGAATATAATAAGCGAAAGTTCCAGTGGAAACTGAACTTATCAGCAAGTATGAATTACAAGTATTTTGTTAACCGTTCGATTACCGTTATTCTACTTCAAATGAACTGCTGACAGATAGTAGAAAAAGAGGGCTTGTAATTGTCTGCCTGCGTTAGTCGAGCGATCCTTTTTGCAAAGTTATGTAGAATAGATTGAAGCTGGATAAATAAAAAATTGTTATGCATAAGGTATGGTTCAGAAAAGCAACGAATTAGCATCCGTATGATAAACTATGACACTCGGATATCAATTGGATGACAATTGGAGTTATCGCGGTGACTAGTTAACCTTTCTTGGAAAAAAAATTATGGATTTACGAAAGAAACAATCACCCGACGTTGACCAGCCATACTTTACAGATTATTCGTACACGTAAGAAACAGATGCTAGTAACATCTGTAAACAATTATATATCACGTTTTAGCTCTCTCGGAATTTCAAATTGTTGTGTTTGGTTGCGTGATGTTGAAAAAACCTATAACGTTTCATGGCCCATAAATTCCAGGTGTATTTGACGTAATTTGTTGTTTCAGTGAACGACGGTGTCACTAAAACGACGCCTCAATACAACGGACTGAGAAATGCGATCTCGGAGATTGTCAGGATGGAAGGTCTTCGTGGACTCTACAGGGGAGTCATGCCGAATGTTTTGGGATCTGGCAGTTCCTGGGGTTTCTATTTTTTCTTGTAAGTGCGACCATATCAGTTGCCTAATAAAGTATTATTTACGGCAAATCTAGAAAATCTTACAAAATACGTGAGATCACAGCGGCGTATCAAATTAACTTTTTTTTGTATTATCTATAGCTTCGTATCATTTCACTTGACTGTTTCGTTTTGCAAGATCCTATGGGGGTGTGTCCCCTTTTGTATCATTTCAGATTAGTCGGAAAAATAAAGACTTTCGTCATTATTGTTTTCGTACTCTCGCAAATCAATTATATAAATGAATTATACGTTTACTGACAACCAGAAGTCATTTTTTGTGCATTCTAACATGAGCTGATCCTATATATCATTATCATTTTATCCGTTTAAACCTAATTATTACCAGGGTATGGCTTTTTGGATCACATCTGAAGTTTATGTAACGTTCGTTTCTGTAATCATGTTTATTTAGTAATGACGCCTCTCGCACTTTATTATTCAATAATTCTAATATAAAAATATAATTACAGGTTTTTGTGCTGTTGGTTTGATTCTTATCATATAAAATGTCAATGTCACATCGTGGTACTCTGTATCAGTAATAGAGCCTGGTAGGCATAGAGTTAAATAATATTATTGGCATGTAAATTGTCATTTTTTGTTCACAGTTACAACACTATTAAAACGTGGATCCAGGGTGGAAACACTAAGAAGCCACTTGGTCCTACGCTACATATGGTTGCAGCTGCTGATGCTGGCATCCTAACCCTACTAATGACTAATCCAATTTGGGTAGTAAAGACACGACTTTGTTTGCAATATGCTGGGGATGTTAGTCTGGCTGAATCAAAGAGATACTCGGGTACGGTCGATGCTCTCAACAAAATATACAGAACTGAAGGCATTAGAGGCCTGTACAGAGTAAGCTTGTTATACAATGTTACTTATTATTACAGTCAAGTGTCGATTATGTGTTTTTATGCTTTTCTTTATGTTTTTATGTGCAGGGTTTAGTTCCTGGAATGTTCGGTGTGTCTCATGGTGCCATCCAATTCATGGCGTATGAAGAGATGAAGAATAAATATAATATCTACAGAGATCTTCCCATCGATACAAAATTGGTAAGCACTGTATTAGATTCTATATATTGAGGATGTCAAACAGGACATCATGTGATGTCCAATTTGAGGATACGCAGATGTTTCCCTTCATTCTGAAATAGTAATAAGACGCAGAGTTAACACTAAGAATTAGCGGAGCACAGAAAGTTAAGTACAAATTATATTAATGCCTCACTCGTGTCGTACATTAGCATTGATATTACAACACGGTTAGCACTGCAGCATATGTGTTTGATGTAAGAATTATGTGTCGTGCCAAAGGAATATTTCCTGCAATAAATAGCACGTAACTCGTGTCAGCAATGATTTATCACGATTAGGATTTATTTTGACTTAAGAAATCCTATAAATTGTATAAACCTATCGCCTGTAATGCCTTGTTCTCCGGATGAGTTTATTTCTCCCATTCAGCATACGTATAACAATGTGTTACGCAGTATCCTTATGAGGAGTGCGTTGCTGATAACAGGAGATTGACACTCGCTATATCTTTGAGCAACAATCCAACATATAATGCATATCCTCTGTTTTGAAATTACTGATGCTACTATGTTTTCTGTTATCTCATTTCCAGGGCACGATGGACTACATTGTTTTTGCAGCCTTGTCAAAATTGATAGCCGCTGCCTCAACATATCCATACCAAGTGGTCAGAGCCAGACTGCAAGATCATCATCATGATTATCGAGGAACATGGGACTGCATTCAACTGACATGGAGGTTAGAGGGATTGAAGGGTTTCTATAAAGGGTTGTCACCCTATCTCCTGCACGTCACGCCGAACATTTGCCTGGTCATCATCATCTACGAAAAGTTCACCAATAACAATTAAGTTTAGCGCGATACCACGTATTTGGATTTTTTTCAGTCGATTCCTCCTACCTCTAGGAGGAACACTTACGCGTTAACTCCAATTCGATGTAATTGTAAACGATCATTTTTCTGGAATTTTAGAAGCATCATAGCCGAAGCATCCCATTAACATCATGTGATAGGCTTTTACAAATTTTATTTATACGTGTCATCCGTAAGTTGCAATACTTTATCAGTGAAAGGAACTCGCGCACTTCAGTATTACAGACGGAATAAAATTTTATTGCTTTTTATATAATTTTTCCTTACGTTACAGCTTTCAAGAACTCTCTCTAACGTCCTGAACGTTAATGGGTGCTTCCGCTGTGCTATTGTGCTTCTCGTACTATTATACTCCCGATTCTTTTTACTTGTTCATCCTAAGATCGTGATGATGATGGTGGCTGGCTCCGTCGGCTTTAGGTATAGCTCAGATCGATCGTCTCTCGGAAGACCATCGGGGCGATATTATTAGAGTACTTTAGACTTAATGGCTGTGGAGGGCAGGACTTGAGTGATTCGAGTGATTTTAGCAAACAATTCCTGGCGATGCGTGTTTCACGTGATACATCGATTTTCTTTTGTTACGTACAACTTGTTTAATTTAACATAGAATTTTAAAAAAAACGGCACTATACGATCCTCTTGCCATCAGCTTCATCCACGACAAATAACTAAGCTGCCAGTGGCTCAAAATATATTAATCGGGACTGTACGTCCTGTTCGCTACGATTAATCCGACGTGTACAGTCTAATGGTTTAGTCCGTATTTCTCTTCAATAGATTGTACGTACCGAATGCCATTTCCGTTTCTTCTACAGAGTCACGTATATTATTTTTCTTCAAGAAACCGTCATTCTGTTAATTGCATGTCATTCGATAGTGTAAGACAAACCTCCTTATTGGTTGCCAGTTATATTCTATTTCTTTAATGATCGCAATGGTATCATTTATAATTAAAAAAAAGAAACATTTGACAAGATCCGAGGCGTAAAAGTGGCCTTTTGATTTGCGCTTACAATTGTTACTAGAATTATAATGAACATTTTTTTTTGTATCTCGTACTTCTTATAATTCTCTTCAGTGTGTCTCTTTTGTATTCGGAGACTCTTTAAAAAGGCCGTACCTGTACTTAATACTGTTAATTAATAACTTCATTCATCTAATGAAAAACTTTACGCACGTTTATTACATTTCATTGATTCGTATCCTGCAAGGGATACGTTTTCAATTTTCATGGCCCACTCGAGTAACACCCAGGGCTGTTCGTAAAACTTGATCTTTGTATTTAAAAGACCGATCATTATATAAACAAGTCTGGTGCCATTAATCAAAGCAAAAGCAAGAAAACCGATGTGTGAACATGCGTTGCCAATTAGATATAATGTCGTAGAGCCAATAAAACAATGTCGTTTTTAGACTCGGTGACGAAGGGAAAGAAATAAGAAAAAAAAGCGAGAATTGGTAAAGGCAGTGCCTGGATTCACTTTGACGCGAACTTCTTAATACTTTGAGATTTCCATGGCGTCGAGCGTTAGGGAGGACAATGTAGTTTTCATGAAACTTCACTTTAGCTACTAATTCATCTAAACTGGCTTTAGCTGAATTGAGGCGTAATCTGCTCGCAAGAGCAATTTAACTTGAGGATGAGAAACAATGCCGAGTGTAAGGGGACAGCGTGAGAGGTGAGAAACAGATGGAAAAAAAAAAAAGAAGAAAATACGTGGCTAGAAATATGAAATTAAGGAAAAGCGCACCCATAGCGCATACGTAATAGATCAATGACTATGCGAATGAATGAATAAAAGGAATACAAGATTATGGCTTATTATAAATGCGCATACATAGAGTCACGATTAAGCTAAGTTATAAATGTTAGGTATGCAAAGTTATTGATAAAAATGAAAAACGATAGGCTGTTTTCACTTTAAATTTTTCTTGACGCCACGTCGCACGCGACACATGTGTCAGTCTGAACGATAAATACGAAGAAATTCAATAATATATAACTAGAGGCTCGACTGACTCTGCGCGTCGCACGTGAAATCACGGGGATGAAGTTAATTTATTTTAGTTAATTATTTTTCGTATATCACTTTTCGAATTTACATCTATTTATCTCCGTCTCGTAACACAGATGTCGTTACGCGACAGGGCAAAATTTTGAAACAAAAAATAAATACAAATTTTTACACGTGTTCCAAGCGAGTCAGGTCGTTTATTAGCAATATACGTTTAGTCTCTTCGCAATTTGTAAATAGTAGGAAGAATTTATTTATGTGACTTCTTAGCTATAAATAGCAGAGCCCCATGCCTTCTGTAGGTAAAGTAGAGACAGGGTGACACGTGAGAACGGTGAAGTTACCGCGAACACGATATACCGTGTCGGTCGATGACGCAATCCCGAGAATAAAAACAATAAAAGAATCGTATATAGCGCGAGTAAACGTGAACGTTGGGATGAAATTGAAAGGAAGGAAAGAAAGGAACGAGGATTGATTGTACGTCAGAGATAATGAAATAGCCATTTTAGTTTCTTATAAGCATACGCTATAATAATACTTTGGCAATGTTTTATCTCATTGACAAGAGACAACTCTTTGTTGTCCTCGTTAAGCAGAGTCGACGTAATTTATTCATCCGATATAATAACATTGTAGACGTTCTCACGAATATTTCGTCCTTCCTACCAAACTACAGATACGTTGTATTATCGTTGTAACAAAGCACCACACCCCTTGACTACTGTAAGCGTAAAATCGCTTTTCGCGCGGACGCACAATTATTGTATTTTCGTGGCTGGACCACTACTTTTTTAAATATATTTCTTTGTTACAACGACTGCAGATGTACTTTGTTCTTGCGATCGTGCGTGCGAACGCGTGACGAGTGAAACGCAAGTGAATTCCTCGTGAAAAACCACCAGCAGTACGATTTTTGATCGAACCTCGTTTACCTCGCGGGTAAACGACGAATTGAAAAGCGTCGGGCGTGTTTTCATTGCCGGCGACAAGATTTGCCGAGGACGCGATTGGCCGAGCCAAGTCATTAAAGAGCCACGCAAGTCTAACGTAGCACGTAAGAGCAACGCGTATTCGATTTCCATCAAGAATCGTACGCGGCGGGTACACATTGTTTTCGTGCCGTTACTTGTCATCGGCTGACATATTGAAATAAAATATGAGAATCGTCACGCGCCGAGCGTCCCAGTCGTAGGAATTGGCAAAAAAGAAAAAGAAGAAAGTATTTTCAATGAATCTCCCACCTTGATTAGAGTACGTGGTAAAATTGTTTTATGACAAAGTAAAAACAGAGTATTGCTGGTGGTTGGTTACAGGGGCGAAGGTTGGCGTGGCTTTTACAAAGGTTTGGGGGTCAACCTAACCAGGGTAACACCGGCGACAGTGATCACCTTCGTTACCTATGAACACGTGTCCGAACATCTCCTGAGAAAGAATCTGTTTAATGTCCTGGAACCGAAGCAATCAACGTCGGTGACGAACGAGCAGGCCTGAGACCTAAGAGATAGACAAAGAAATAGAGAGGGAGAAATATGACAATGAGATAGAGTGGTAACAAATACGACCGGCAGAGGCGCGACGGAGACACCTTTATTGTTTATTTCGTTTATCCTTTCTCTTCTACTTTTTTCCATTTAGCAGGGAGACCAAGTGTTGACTTTTCTTTGTTTTTTTTTTCTTTGTTTTTTTTTTGTCGCCACTGGCATTTCCTTCATCGTATCCGTTCTTTATGTCCAGACGAATCATTCCAGCGCGATTGTTAATATTTCCCACGTGGATTTCTCGCGAGCTCGACTTCTAGAATTTTCTAATCGCGGGAATAAATGGATGTTACGTCTGTAACAGAGTGTCGATTCTCTCGCTGCTCTCGAATTCCCCGCCGTTTTTCCGCCGACTTATATTGTTATGTCCGGAAACTTCGTTGAACGACGCTAACGTCACGCGGCGCCACTGTCGCCTTCTTGAATGTACGTAACCTCCTTTACGTTACTCCATGCTTTTCGGGCGCTGGTAATATTCTTCCAATGGATTTTTCTTGAGGTCGTACGCCAATTCTTATATATGTATTGTGCTTAGATTGGTATCAGGATATATGTGTATATAATATACAACAAGGTGCAGTGTCTGCAATTTTTTTGGCATTCATTTATGCAATAATATCGTTTACTTCGAGATCATTGGAAATACAAGTCGTCGCGATATTTCGTCTTGTTTGTTATCATCATTGATATTTTTAATTAACATACGTATGATTCGCGAGTCAGCTGAAAATTATATGCGATAGTGGAAAACGAATGTTTCATCGGGAACTTTAGAATTCGCCTTTCGGTCGAATTGTAACGGTTACACGTCGATAGACATGATATATATATATACACACACACTTATTTACCAAAAATTGTAAACATTTTGTTTTACTCACGTGTCGCTAACACGTGGCGAAAAGTTCGTGGGAAAAAGACATCGTCGAGTAGTTCGATAATAGATTTATTATTTTCGTAGATTAGCGCTTAGGTTAGTTAACAGTAAGATTTAATTATTCATCGTGTTCCTGTAATTGTCCATAGTAAATATGTCGATGTTGAAGGAGAATAGTGCACGTGGGCTGTACCAGTGATGGCGACGAGCATTTTGAAAAGTTGCATTTCCCACGGACACGGAACCTCTGAACATCGTATTATGTATTATCATTTAGCAAATTTGGAAGGGAAAATACGTCTAATGTCGTATGCGCTTCGTGCGCTTGATATAGGTAAGGATTTTAAATGCCACTGAAAAAAAAGATGTCGCAGCAAGGTCACGCTACTTAATTTTTTTGTTTTAATCCTATCACGTTTTTCACATCACGCACGCTGGACACACGTACGTCAGGCACGTTTGCGAAATTTTCGTAATTTCGTACGCAATTCCTTGGAAGATCATTTTGAGGTTAGTTGGAGTTGCGAAAAAAAAATTTGATTCTAAGGAGACGCCTACGCAGAGGAGGGGTGGGAGAAAAGGGCAGGAAGACCGTCAGTGCCAAAGGAAATCGTTCAATAATAGTTTTCAATGTTGCTTTTATTTCTTCTCAGTCCTTTTTTCTCTTGTTATTTGTAAAAAAAATTATTACTTCACTTTCCCGCGATCAGAGGGACGCGCGTACAATAGTTCGTACAATTCGCGATGCGCTGGCGTGTCGTATCGATTAATTTTATCGATCCATATATCGATTAATCTACATAGCTTAAGTGATTTCCCGCTAACTTTACACGGTGTCGCTTTCTGCACCGGGGTATTAAAAAAAAATAATTATTCCACCAAGCGTATGTAAGGATAAACTTTATGCATACGCATAACCTACAATAACACACTGTACCGTATGTTAAATACACGCTATAGGCTATAGCCGTACGTACCGTTTAAAAAGACCTATGGCAAATTTTCCTGATACCTACAGATATAAATGTGTGCTTGAGGTAAAAAAGTTCTCGAGTGGATATTTCATTTTGCTGTGGAGTTCCGATCATCCTGCTGAGCCCTAGTCCGTAAGTGTGTAAAGCAATGTCATCAATTGATCCTTGTTCAGTACGTGTGTAACGAGGGATGTAGAGAAAAGAAAGATAAAGACAAAAAAAATTAATAAACAATGTAAACAACAATATTGACCGTTCATCCTTTTTCAGACATTGTCAACTGCCTTTGATCCTTTCCGTGAATCCCCTGTTGGCCATTCGTTTTCGTTAGCCTTGCACGAACTTACTGGGAGCGTCCATTTTCCTGAAGTAGAAAAACTCCTCGAGGATATACATATGTATCTGTCCTTGTACTGGAATAGGGCATGGCAGAAGGGAGAGGCGCCGTTTTGTCTACGGCTGACTGATAAGAATTCCATGTTATTTCATTCGAGCTACTTCGAAGAAATTGGCTTTCTCTTATATCCCCCAGTTTGGACGACGTAGAATCGTCTCACGAGACAGTCGCGCTATTGTCCATGGCCATTTTGTTAGTGGAGCGACGACTGCCTAGTCGAAAGGAGAATAGAGATTGTGCTACGGGGTTATAAACTATACGCTCTGAAGACAGTCGGGAGAAGATGAAAAACATGGTAAGAGTTTAGAAAGTAATTTCAGTGCAGTTTTTTTTTGTGGATTAACGAGACGCACGTGGATGTTTTATTACGTAAATTGCGCACGAGTTTTAACCCGTATTGTTATATTTTTCATGTGCTTGACAATTCAGGATGTAGTTTTGTATATAAAGATATTTTCGTGGGTTTGCATTTTTGTTCGGTCTTGTCGTTATCCTTTTAACCGATAATTGAAAGTCATTTTAAAGGAATTCATTTTTTAGAGGGAGAATTGCTTCTAGAAAATTTCATACGGTGTCTGATCGTTCAACGCGTGTCACGACACTTTTTGAAAGTATATAGTGGACAGTGTGTAGAGAACGAGGTTCAGATTTTAATATAAGTAACTAGATTAATTGCAATGGAAATTTGTATGGACTAAGACGATATTGTATTTATTTAAGCTTTTGTGTTTTAAGTGTACGGATCATCTTTCAGTGAAATCAGTATACAGTCGTTGATCATGTCAAATTTCAAGAGACCAATTTTTAAAAATCCTGCACTTTGTTGATTTCTATTTTTAAACTTACCTTATTTTTTTACTGCTCGTCGGTATCTTATCCACGTGACATGTATTTGTCGTCGTTCTATCTTAAGAGCAATGACAGCTGTATCTAAAGTAGCAGCTGGTAATTAGACTTTTAATGCCACACCAATAAATAGAAGTTTGCTTAGCAAAACAGTTGAAGTACTAAAAGTCAGTAAGAGTAAATTATGTTCATATACAGTGATTTTAATACGGGTATCAATTCGCTGCAGTCTTTTTTAAAGTCTACTCACTGCTGGATTTATCGTAGTAAACATGGTTCTTACGGGACTCCGGCCTGACAGCTACTGAGCCACCACTGGACACGTGAAAGATGCTGAAACGACCGTAGACGTTTAAAACGTACTGACAATCCACTATAAGCTTTATTTCAGACTCGGAATACTAGAGGGCTAAACCTCTTTACCATCAATATCCTCGTCGGAAAGTGTATCGTGCGGTAAACAAAATGTTTCAGGCAACACTGTGATTTTTGTAACGTCATTTCGCACGGGAAAAGCTGCAGCTCGGAAGGTGCTGCGCCCCGTCGATCTTTGCGGCGAGATTAGGAAACAATTTCACAAGAGTGAAAAGGAGAAGAATCCGAGAGGAGCGAGAAGGAGACACCGAAAGCAAGTGAGGTTACGCAATTACCGACAGCGGCGACGACGACGACGACGCCACCACGGAGCCAATAGCGCATTTTATGTTACACGTACGGTATCGCGCAAGATGGCCGCATGGGCTCAGCTGTGGTGAATTCAACCGTGAGGCATTCGCGCTCTTACCCAAGGAAAAAGCAGATCTACGAGGCAGATTTGTTGGAGAAGCTTCAGCTAAGATTTACGAGAAATCGAAGGAAACAAATGGTGAGTGAAGACGACATATATTTCTCATTTATTTATACGTTAGATTTAGGAATAAATGTGCAAAGGGTTTTCGTTTGGCGCGCTGTTTTTCAAATGCTAGCAGAAGACTACGGCCTATAACGGTAGCTTGGTGATCTTGAGGCCGGCTCGCAACGGCAATCGTTTTTATATCTATAGCGTAAGCTGTACGTTAAATTAAAGTGAAAAGCTGGTCAGACTTTTTTCCGTGATATCGAGTATGGCATTTTCAAATGCTTTTTTCTATTTGTTCATTCATTGTGCTGTTTTGTTTGTTCAAAATCTCGATAATTTATCCATGACGGTCGTCTGAAAACTATCGATGACGAATGGTCGCTACTAAAGGATAACATGACAAGTACCTGGCTTATCTTATCTGTCCGAAGATATTGCTACTGCTTGTACAAACGACAGACAATACTGAAGTGTATCACCTGGCTATTCATATTCTATATTATACTTATAGATATATATATCTATACGTCTTAAGCTTCGTACCTTGATTTCCAATGCTTTGTAATATTCGAGCGTCTTTTCTTGACTGTTTTGCGAGAACTCGGCTTAAGGGGAATTTCTTAAAAATACTTTTGCATGGAATCCCAAAAGTGGCTAAATGCTCTCGCGTTACTTTTAACACGTTTACCGGTCTTACGTACTTATGGAAAACTATCGAGTATGTATTGTATTTTTGGGGCGAATCGATCATAGAGAAATATTTAAATATTTATGTCTCATCGGCATTTAGTAATCGAGTGTTATTGATCTTTTTCATGCGTGTACATATGTACATACATCACATATACACGTGGTATGCTACCACTAGAAACGTATCACGTTTCATGCATTCGGAAAGAGCGGATCTTGTTTGCGACTGCACTTAGGCTTACCCAGGGGTAGCTGGCTGTCTTTATGGAGGGTTTCATTGGGGTAAGGTGTTACTGTACGTAACCGTAAGGGTGGATAGAGTCGAGTGCACTTATTAGTCTCGGACGAATAATGCAGAGGAAGGGTCTACTTGTAAAACTGTTAAAGCCGAACTGACGTAACGAAGGTTTTACTCGGTGATTTAACGTTGTCGTTTGTCTGGTTCAAATTACGCGCCTTTAAGAATAGTCGGGAAATAATGCCACGGTAGCTATTGAATTTGACGATGGTTTTAAATGTGGAAATAAAAATGCCTAATGATGACTATTAACCTTCTTTTTTTTTATTCTTTGATTTTTGTAAAAAAATGTATTTTTTTGCAAGAAAATATATTTTTTCCTGTCTCACAATACGTAATATAGAAGTTATCGATCGTTACATTGAAAAAGTATAAAAAAGAGAGCAAATAATATTGTATGTGTAATTTTTCGACTTTACGCTACTTGAAAATCAGATTTTTAAATGCTTTTGCGTATCGTACGTAATACTCGATAGGAGCTAAGTGTGCATTTTAATTGCAATAGTTTCATTAGGATTGGGTTATTGGCGTAATGTGCAATTTGGATGAATTTTTTTGCTATAGTTCCTCACTGAAAAGTAAGTCGTGTATGCATTGAACATGGGAAAAATTTATTGTTGCAACAAACAACAATTTATCCTGACACTGTGTACTGCCGCTGATTAATTTACTGAGGTTATCAGACACCTCGTCTTTTAATCATTACAAACATATATGTCGTGCCACGGGATTCTTAGCACTGTACTTTACAATATTTTTTCTGCAGAGCGTAAAAATTCATTTGGACATTTATAATTGCGGTATTTTCAGCTACGGGCACGTGTATCGCGAATTAGCAGATACGAGTCAAGGTATTATTGCGAAGTTGCATAAGTGCTTTTTATCACGATATCAGCTGACTAATTAACCACAATTAGGCGGGGTAAAAATCGTCGTGACGTTTGTTATTAAAAAATAAATAAATTTCTTACGCGTTGAATTAGCATCTAGAACTTAAAAAAATACTTACAATATATCCAGCATTATTTTACGTTTGGATTAGCATGTTAAGAACCTTGATAGTGTATTTAAGAGTATCTGGTTCATTGATCCAGTAGATACAGTAGATAGTCGGAACCAGCCTGTGACGTGATAACAGTTTATGCTAGTATCCAAGTCATGCCCAAAAATAAGATATTCGATGAAATTATATAATATTCGATGTAATAACGATTTGTAAATAAATATTATTTCAAAAATTAGAATACAGAGAAATGACAGACACAGAAGCGAATTACGAAGAAAAATGACGTTACTGGAAAAACCATATGGAAAAAAGACATTTGAATTTTTTCCACGACCATCGTTAATGTTTGACACTCTTTGCGCCAACAGGCGAGAGTCATTTGTAAATAATTTTTATGAATATTACCATATTTGTTCATAAAAATAATTGGCACTCGCAAGAGCCAAGAATTTTAATATCAGCTTGATTCAAATAAGAGGCTATGCCAAAGCAACTACTCGGTGAGTCAGTGTAGTTTCTTATTCCAGTGATTTTTGAAGAGACGTGGAAAAGCTTCGTGGCTCGGATAAAAGACCGTGTAAATGAATATGATTTATAGTACGTAACAAGACGTGTTAATTACGTGCATTGACAATTAATTGATAGCCGCGAGTCGTCCGACGATACGTCACTCTAACACCTATTTGAGGTTATGTCTCGAAGCAGAGTATTCGCGAGGGACGCGAGGCGCACAGGCGTCTGTTTATTAATTGTCGTCAGTTGAGTATTAATTGTCACGTAGGCCTCTACGACGTCGAAATAAATGGACGTTCCGGCTGAACGAGCTGCATGTTGTGTTGTGTGGTACGATAATAATATACTTCTTTTAATACCTGTGTAATCCTATGGGAATTAAGTATCTTCGTGGCTTGTGAGACTTGTCAAACGAACGAACGACGCCGCGGACATCGCAGCGTTCACTACACGAGAACTTCACGTTGGACATTTCGATATATCGATTTCGATTAGATCGCAGTTCACACTTCCCTGCCGGCACAAATATCGAAAGGTCTTCTCGAAGCTGACTTCAAAACGTCCTCAGACGTCACGGCGTCCCGTACTTACTCATCTTCAAGACGCCTTTTCAATATTTACACTGACAGGAGTTTCTAACGAGACGACTGGAGGCAGCCATGTTTACAGACGTCGATGCGTCGCGCGGAATTTATGTGAACCTCGGAGAAAAAAGTTTTTCTCTTCTCTTTTACAGACACTCGACTGTATCATGACTCGCAAGCAATTTACCAGACAAAGAAAAAATTTCAAGTGAAAAGTCCAGTCTGTCGCGCGCTCTCGTTACTCGGTCGGTAATTAATAAATAATACATTAATTAGGGTTACGTAAGTTCAGGAGGCTGGGATGCCAATGACCGGAATTACACGCGGATTACACGTGCTATGAATTATCCATCATTTTACGTCTTCATTCAGCCTGTAACCAAGAACGTATTAAGTATGTCGATGATGCGTGTGTTCCACATTAAATAAAATGATATCGACGATATTGTGTTTGTATTCTATGTTTCGTATCAATTTTTTTCTCTCAATCAAAAGTATCCCCCAACTCAAAAGCTTCGGGCACACGTGGACAGGCGTGCTCGAATTTTAATTAGATTTATTTATTTGTGATATATATATTGCAATCGCACGTTATCGACTTTTCGTGAAATAATTTTCATGGAAACGTTTACTGACTCGGAGCCTCTTCGAGCGGGAAATTTGAATTCTGACAGAAGCCACGTTGTCGGAAACCTTCGTAAACTATTGTATGTGTCACTTTTCAGATGTTTTTACATTTTCACATAGAAATCTACGTGATAACCTTTTATCTGTTATCTTTATTTTATCGTTGACAAACAGCTACTAAGGTTCGGAATTATTCTAGTATTTTATCAATTGCATGAATAATACACTGGAACGTTCGCTTTGTTTATTCGGACGCTGACTTGCATTTTTCTTGACTGCCTTTTCTCATGGTTCTCTTCCGTGACGGCTGTGCACGCTATCACGTATTGTGTATTGTTATCGCAAACTGTACAAACTGTATCACCAAGCATCACGTACATTGATTCTTAATCACTGACGACACTGGGAATAATCTGGAACTGATGTCAAAACGAATACCATACATTATTTTATACATCGTTAATCCACATACATATTTTAAGTTCGAAATGAGAATTTTCTATTTTTATCAAGATTTCAAATCGCGTCCAAATAAAAGCTTCTTTGTATTGCCAAATTTTATTAATTTTCATATTATACTAATCTCGGTAATATAATTTTGTTTGTACGCTTATCGGACTTAGGCAATGTATTATCGTCTCGGTTATGCGAATTCACAGCAAAAAAAAACGACCTTTTACCTTCGGCGGTAATACGAATGCATTTTTTTGAATACGTCAATTTTTCCATTGTTACAAATTGATAGTAGCGACGTACACGGGCTGAGTTGGAAGATTAAATTTTTTTTTAAATTATAACGACAAACTGTCATTGAATTTTGATTTATTTCTTTTTTAAGAATAATTTACGGATAGGTCCCTTATCAGAGCTCTATAATGTAATTATCATAGATTTAACCTGCTTTAACGACCATATTGGATTTTTGTATGTCCGTACATGTATTAGTATAGGTGGTAATTTTTCGTGTAACAGTATTTATATATACCGAAAATTAATTCATGTACTGAAAATTATTTGAGTTATCGTACGATTTGATAAGCGCCGTACGCAATGTGTTAAAATCGCTGACTTCGATCACAGTGTGCGTTGCGTCAGGTGGCATAACGTCAATAATAAATTCTGGCCTGTGCGGCGAATAAGATTTTCTTTGTTATCGTCTTTCAGTTATCATGGATTGTACTATGAATGACGATAGAAAAAAAATAACACGGTTATTCCTTACTACGTATGTATGATTATCATTAGCTTCGTTTCGGATGCTGGTCGTTTAACCTTCCTTGCATTAAAAGTCATAGAAATAGTAAACTCAATCTAGAAGTAGCGAGGGTCAATAGGAGAGTAAGGTCAGTAGCTTATTCATTATATAGATTGACAGAGAGAGAGAGAGAGAAAGAAAGAAAGAGAGAGAGGGAGTGTGCGTGTGTTCTGCAAATTTTCTACAAGTAATTTCATCCAGTTTTGACTCAAGTACGGGAATGATAAAACCGAAACTTTGTTTATCGGGAAAAAAAAAGAAAGTTAACTTATCATAACCGAGTCGACCGCCTGCCCAACTGATTATAAGAACGTCACTCGTGGTAATTTGTAACTATCGTGTAATTTTGTTCTTTTTATCTGAAATCGTTAAATAATCTTGTACAATGTCTCAAGTTGCCCTTTAGATAATAATTAGTCTGATAACTTTTTGAAAATTTGTCGATCCATTGTCGACAGTCACGTTCGCTCTGTAAAGTATTGGCTTTATGTATAGTAGTCGATATTTAATCCCTTGAGATTTGACCCTTGACATAGTCAATCGTTTCAAGTCGTAAAGCTCAAAATTGCTAAAATTTCATGAAATAAAATACGTATATTATCGCGCAACTTGAAGTTTTTGTAACTTGACTAACTTTTATTTATATTGAACATTTTTTTTTTTTTTCGAGATCATTCAAGCGTATTGACTGTGTTTAAGAAAAGCTATAAAAAAATCTTTCTTTTTATGTTTATCTCGATGATACGCATTAACGACACTGTGTAATTAATGAGGTTACATTAGTTCATTTTTATAACTACATATATATGTCACTGCGCATCGTTTATATGTATCTTCGACGATTGTTCGTTAATAATCTTTACTGACCGCATCAATGAACGTGCGCGAAAGAATTGAAAAGAAAAAATGATTATTTATTACACGGATCCAATTATATTTATCGATTTGCAAATAACCCTTGTAACCTTGCGTCTATCGTGTAGCCACGAGTCAAAGTGCAATGGCCTCCATATTGCACTTTTTAAATATTGTTCTCCCGCCTGAATACCAATACTATTCAAGTCTCTTGTACGAATCTTAATTTGTTTACGTTCATTCAATATTCCGTTAAGTTGGTGTCTCGTAGAAGAAATTAAGATTTTTTTTTTTCTATAATTAATTACCGACCATAATTGCGAATCCGTATTGAACTCATTGGACGACTTAATGCGCGTAACGAATAATTTTTTAAGTTGCCGTTAAATATCTGTATTTTGTCTTGAATTTATCAGTGAGCTTTAAAGATAAACATATTTTATTTTCACTTAACTCCAGTATTAACGCGCGCTATTTTGTTTTCCATTTGTAAATCACTGAGTTACTGTGTCTCGGACATACCACATATCTACTCCCAGGTTAATTTATGTCTCTATTTGGCTTCATTCAATTAACATATACTCGTTCGAGAAGATATCAGTCAACTTTCATGATTAACAACTTTTTTTTTTCATTTTTCTTCACTTAATTTTATACTCCGATTCGCCTTATTTCAATTAGCACGTTCACTGCCGCTTCCGTTCGCTGCGCGGCGCTGCGGTCGTAATAGCTACCGAAGGAACGGTCCAATAGTTAAAATAAACTTGCTAAAAGAACTCCACTTTCTCATAAAAAAATGCAAAGTAATAACCCAGTACGTGCCAAATTTTCAAAAAATCAATGGCGCTTGTCAATAAAACCGATTTGCAATAACAATTGAATAAATAGACATTTCATATTAGCCGAATAAAAGATTTCGTACATCTGTCTCAAAATCACGGTTCAAAAGTTCATTCTCTAATTTCTGATTTTATGACTATTAAATAGCGTAGACAAAAATAAGCATGTGATTACGATAATACGGAGGAACCCAAATTAATTCAAGATGTAGATCAAAAACAATAATAATAATACACTGATATACCAGTTGAGCCATCTACGTCAAGGAAACGTACAAGATTATGCTGATATTTGTAAAAATAATTTTATCCCAACATTTTAACATTCGTCCCAATAAATTACAAGTATTACTGAATCAAAAGATAAGAGCTTATATACTCGAATATACGCACATCAGAGAGCATGTGATCAATAAGCAAATATCGAGCTATTAATATACACTGAGAAAGACGAATGAGGAATGTCACAAGAAAGCATCATAACGACGCAACAAGATATCTGAAGTTGTTTGAAAATCTTGCGTCAGGTTTCGTCAGACTCTTCTAGAAAGCTACATAGAAATTTCTTCTAAGAAAAATAGGATCTACACCAAACGGCCACATAACGGGCAAAAATCATATATATATCCTATACCTACATGAATAAGCTGCTGCAATGACCACGTGTGTTGATATATAGAAACTGGATAACATGGCGCCTAGCTTTTCATCCGAATGATAACGAAGAGACGTGATAAGAGCGTCGCCAGACCCGGACCAATAAATAGAGGAACTTTGCACTCTTGAGCCACATTCTGTTATATATCCTTAGTAGAGTTTCTTCAAACGTTCCTTTACTGGATTATAGGCAATTTTCAATCCTCCATCGAGCTAATAAGACACTACCATAGATTTCATTTTAATATAATTTGTTAATACGCTCATTTTGTACTTCCGGTATCTGGTGAATCCACTGGGTACGGACCAGTGAACCTTAATGGACAATCGATAATGAAGAATTTTTAAGAAGTTGTTGTGGCAGATGACAGTTATGAAATGGAACATTAATATAGTGGAACGTTGTTACATGTTAAAATTTTATTAACTGTGTGAAACATTTAATCGAACCTTCGATCCAGTGAGAGTTAAAAGTTTTTTTTTTTTTTGGAGAACTTTCGACGATTTCGTTTGTGAACGATATGGTTTGGTTACCTAGGTAAAGAAACGGAAAACATTGAGAGTAGTCATTGCTTTTGCAGTATAAGACTTAAATAAAAATATTACCAAAATAGTATTACCGTGAATCTCAAGAGGAGAATTTAATAAGCAGTATATTTAATTAAGAGCGAGATAATAGCTTGAGTGTTATTTTTTATAATACATCGCACAGTAGAATGTTAGACAGAAACGTAATGCTGGTTTTACGTACCAGGCAAGAACGTACAGAGAGACGACTTAGGCATAAGAAAGAAGCAAATCCAAAACCGATGGAACCACCTCCGCAGCTTCTGAATAATAATCATTTGTATCTTGATCTTAATATGAACTTCAGCGAGAATAAGAAACAGGAGGATATCAGGCGTTTGAAAAAGGTATGAAGACGTTATTTTCACGTATTATTTCCACTGAAATACTTAAAAAATACAAAATATATAAGATATTACTGTGTACCTGCAGGCGCGTCTCTTCTGGTAGATTCAAATGCGGTACCAACTGTGCCACAGGGTGCGACGATTTTTTCTATGGTCGAGAAAAGAATTCTTCGTAAATACTCCAGACTGTTGAGATACAAGATGTCGTACAAGTTCCCTTGAGTGATATTCTATACCTGTGAGTTTACAGCCTGTATTCAACTTCCGCTCCGAATGTCTCAATGTCAGTTAAGATTATATTCTGGGTACAGTTGAATTTACATGGTTCGAATTTCTACCGACTAGCGTAGTCAGTGTCTCTGTCCGCCAATGAGAATGTAGAGCGTGAGAATCAATATCAAAATGGCGCTGGGTCTGTCTCGTGGGCACGATAAATATTGCGCAGCTTTGAACAAACGCCGACGTTATTTAGCACGGTAACTTTTTTTCGCAGTGTCTGTAATCAGGATTAATTATTAAAGTAGCAATTGATCGTGGACAGTGGATACGTGAGAGGTGCAGTGAACGTTTTAGTTTGTGAAATAACATTGATTAAGCTTAGAAATACGTGTGTCGAGGATTGAAAAATTTCGTGGCGGAGTTTCACGTATGATGTCTCATTGGCAGATCTAATTGTTTCTATTATAAATTATGACTTTATGTAACGGATCGTTTTCGGATGGGAACTATGCTTGATGATTCCGTTCCACTCGTGATTGTTATTACGGGTCATTACTTGATGACGTCTTTAACCTACAATTTTACGCTAGCTGATCACGTGTTGCTTCTACGCTACTCACTTGGTATTTGGGGTTAAGAATTCTTTTATTTCTTTATACTGTTCGACTGATTTAAAAATAATTATCTTTATTTATCCTTTGTCGCATGTGGCTTCTACGCTTAAAGAGCCGTATGCTTTTTTATTGACATTCTGGCAAAGTGTGTCGCGTGCGTTTACACAAAACGGCTTCCATGACGGTTCATAGGTTCAGGAAGTTTTGAAGTTCAACGAACAAAGGTGCTTTTGTCATTTGTACTAATGGCGTTGCTGAAACCAATGTTAAAACAGTTTTAAATGATTTAACATACTTGGAATGATCAATAGAAAGGACGAATCTGTAAACTTGACGTAATTACGTTATGGCTCGATAGTTTAATTACTTTGTCCTCGTTTTCCACATGTTTTCGTTATTATGGAACCTGTACGTTACATAAAGTAACGTCTGATGTAAGCTATCGATATTATTTAAATTCCTGTAAGAGGCCATTAAGTATTTGATTAATGATTTTATAAGCAGTTTCATATTTCTTATATGGGTATTGACGATTTGAAAAGGAACGTTAATTCGCTTCAATAAAATTGCAAAAATTTCCATAACGCTGGCACATGAAGTATCTTAATATCATCCCCTTTTATGATATATTAGTTACAGCATTCATATCAAATGTAAAGCGGCCTTTTAACGTACATTTACATAAGTTCCAACAGGGAGTCAAGTCGCCATAATCGACTAGCAAATACCACCGTAGTACGCTTATATAACGCTCGTAGAAATATTTCGCAATATATCCGCAGCGTCCCTAACCTCATTTTTCGAAATTTCCACCTCTGACACGTGCAAGTGCATTCCATTAAGAATCCACTTTATACATTTTTCTCTAAAGACAATTCTGCCGCCGGGTAAAAAATGGTATCTACACATTTTTAAAATCTTTATAAAAATTCTGAAACAGATTTCCATCGAATAAACTGTAATTACAACGTGCTAACAATGACCTCGTACGAGGTCGGATCAATAATAATCGTGCGTCTGTAAATTAGTATCTTAAACAATTATTACCTTTGATCATCCAATAGGAAAGTTCTGATGCAAAATGCAATGTCAAATAGTTTCGCAACGTTTAAAAATTTCGAGTATACATTGCGAAACATGATAAAAGAATAATAATGCACTTATCGTCGGGCACGATCCCTTTTTACAACCGTCAATTAAGATTACACCAAGAGTAACGATTGATATCATCATTAAGTGCAGTCTTACGACGCTCACGACGCTCACGACGCCAATCGTTGGCCTCGTTCGATCTAACATTACGCGTTTCATTCGCCTTGTAAATCCGCAGCTTCTTCGCTCAAACACATTGATGAATTCCTCACACCACGTCATCCTTGCCTGCAGCCTCCTAGTACCTTCATAAATTCTGAGACTGCTGAAAAATCTCAATAGACATTCCGTCCATCGACTGGAGGTTACCTGTGTGGGTAATTAAAAAAAAAGATTATCATTCGATAGCTATAAATTTATTTATTTATCCACATTATCCTACAATCTCTTATAACATTTTCTTTGAGGTCTCCTGAGGTTTATGTAATTCAAGCCGACTTGCACACACGAGCAGAGCCATGTAGGACACAGTGGGAAGGTTGGTGGGTAGGTTGGTACCTCGTGAGAAGGTTCCTGCTTGGCAAGGTAGGGGACGTAACCTATCTATCATAATATGCATAGTGGGGAATCCCCACCCGATTGTTAACCACCTTCTGGTATCAGAAGAACCGGAGGAACCTGTAGGTCATCCGGTCCGCCCCACCCTTGTGCACTGCTACCTAGAAGGTACCCACCCACGTACTCTTATTTTTATATAAACATTTTAGTGCACATCGAGACTTGGTTAAGCCCGCAGTGTCTTTCACATTCGTCCAAGTTTTCTTGCATCCTGGAGCAAGGGAATCCGCGTTGCGTCATCGTTACCGACCGACTGGCTGCGTGCGTGTGTGCGTGTGCGCATAATCAAAGGGTGGGACGAGAAAAGGAAGAGAACGTGTAAAAATTGCGAATTTTTCTTATTGTTAATTAACCAAAATTCATGGTATCCGTAGATTAATTTTTTGTAGTATTTTTGAGATTTTTTTGTTCATAGAAATTTTTACTTTCCTTCTTTTCTTTGTCAATATTTTATGTTCGGCTGACGTTACACGTTCACGTGATATTTTCGCTACGAATATTGTATAAATATTTTTTGAGACGTTTGACAATACGTATGAATCTTTTTATTCCTGATTTCCGGGCGAAGATAAAATATGTAAAACAAATATGAGAAACGGCATCACAGATTAAAGTTTATCTCGAGCGAATCGTTACTACGGTTTGAAGTTGCGACAACCGAATGATCCGTAAAAATGAGGCCATAAGCAAAGATTGAGAATTCAGCGACTTTTTTTTTATTTATTCAACATTTACGTATTTCAAATCTTCGAGTCGAGCGATCGCGTGATGGAAAAAATTATTTAAAAATTCTCATACAGCTTCCGCTCGTATATATTTTCTGTCACAATAATACACTATCCTATGTTTATTGTAAATATGGAAATACGCGTAATATCATTTACAAGCGAATTATTGATTAATGACTCTGCAGCGGCGTCATTAGTCATTATAATTAATTATAGTATCTTTTAGAAATTTGTATCAACACCATTGACACGTATCTTATTCAATGATGCGTGTGGCTGGATAAGATGAACAAAAAGACAGAAATCAAAATATGTCGTCACATTCGACAGGTATGAATAATTCATCGAATGAGATATACAGTATGATTAATAGTCATGATCCACGGTAAGCGTTCCGATGATGACCGTTAAAAACGAGCGAGATGAAATAATTGTCGAGGAAAGGAGAAGGAAAGTGAAAATAAATAACGAGCATAAACTAGATTTTTACATTGAGCGAGAAAAAGGATCCTTGTATAGGTTGGGCTTTGCATCGGGATTATCGTGAGGGTTGCTTGTAAGGTTTCCTCGAGAGAAGCCAGATCGTGGTCACCGACTCATGATTGTCATCAGCGTAGTCAACGTCTAGGATGGATCGTAGCGAGAGTGGAAACGAGGGTGGCAGTTCACCGGACACCGTGATTGGCCGTTCCTCGTCGGAGGAGGACATGAAGAGGAATCCTGGTAACACTTCCGGTGAATATGTTACGGTGGGGGACAGCAATTCCAGCCTGGACACAGTATCCGGTCCAGGAGTTGGCATGGAGGAGAAGAAGAAAGGCCGTTTCGGATCGCTCAAGAGCAGCTTCCGGAAGGAGGGTGGTATCTTCAAGATCAAGAAAAAGACTTCGTCGCTGGGAAAGCTTGAAAATGAAGCATCGCTCGAAGTTGATCCTGAAGGGGGTTCACCTAGCAAAGGTTTTTCAAAGATGAGAAAGAAGGAATCGAGCATCGATCGTTCCTGGATATTATTATTATTGTATTAAAAAAAAAAGAAAAATTTCAAGTCACTCCACTTTTATTAGCCTTGTACGTATCTTTATTTAGCCTGGGGATGATTCGATGATCGAATCGATCGGGATTGTCATGCGACTTAATGATTTTTGGTATTACCTAAAAATGGGAGCTGAATGTGAATTATGTAAACTGACAGAAGCCGTGCGCAAGAAGGAAGTGGATAAGAAGAAGACCAAGAAGAAGTCGAATTCCATAGTGAGGAAGCTCAGTCTGAACAAATTCAAAATGTCCAGCGAGCAGGAACCACGACACACGCCCGAGGGTGGAGACAGTAGTAGGTCCCAGAGCCAATCGTCCCAGGAGTCGCCCTATCATTCAGCGGACAGCCCCCTGAAGCTCTCGAGGAAGGGGCACCAAGCCGTTCAGGGACTTCCACTTCCAGAGTGCGATAAGCCTGAGAAGGAGAGGTCTGACGAAAGGCTCGAGGAAAGATCGGAGAAGATCGAGAAACCCGTGAGCACAGTCACCGTAGTACAACGAAAATCGCCATCGCTGACCATACGCAGTACCATTCCTGCCGGCCTGGAAGATACCAGGAGTCACGGTGAGAGACACAACGTCATCCTCGTCGGCATCTTACCAGTCTCGTCGTCCGCCGTTAAGATCGTTTTAACCATATAGTTTTTATTCACAGTCAATATTTATCAGTTTTTAGAACCCCACGTGGTTAGTTTCACCCTGTCTTTTCGTTATTTAAATTTTCTATGAAAATAAGCCTATTTTTTGTTGACAGTTTAACATTCTCGAAACACGTGATCGCGTAACGGCTTTAAAATATTTAAATACGAGTCCATCGACTCGCAGAATGACGATTGAGATCCATGTAAGACGTGTCCTAAGAGAGTCTATTCGCAGACTCACCGAATCGAGAGAAGCACACCCAGACGTCGGAGAACCAGAGTAAAATCCACTGCAGCGTGTCGACATTGCCATACGCCATTTCAAAATGGCCGGAGCAAGCCGTCCAGGACGCGCGGCTGGATCCCTCGAAGAAGCCTAAACTGTCGGTAAAGTCGGATTCGGAATCTGCTGTACCGCCGAAAACACCACCTGCCGAGTTACGGAGGAAGCTGTCCCTGCTCGAGGAGAAGCGAGCGATTTTTCAACGGCGTCGCTACGACACTTCCCACGATACTTCCGACGAGACCGTGCAAGCTCACACCGTAGACGACGAAACGGCTGCCAGACTTTCCGTCGCCAGCGGAAACGACGACACGAAGCGTCGTGCGCGTCACATAAGCGTACGGAAATTCGACACCTTCTCCACGTTCGAGGGCACCTTCGACGAAGATACCGGCGTCGGTTATCTGGCTGGGATCGAGGAGGACTTCGCCGAGAGCGTCGAGCATCTGAGCGACAGTTTCGCTAGTGCAGACGCCATGCCGACACATACGGTCGGAGAGTCCAGCGAGAAAACTCGTTCCATCAGTCAGGATAGCGGGGTGAGGAACACATGGATATCCGGACTAATGATTCAAATTGAAAGGGGGAAAAAAGACTCTCACGTTTTCTCACGGTTTACGATAAATAACAAGAGATAAAAATACGGCAAGCTTTTTACGTTAATTACCAGCTTTTTCTAATAACCTATTAATATGCAATCTGGGCATCTTACGCAAGATTCCTTTCAGCTATCGCTATAGGATAACGTCCACGCTTGGTATATAGGTGACGCAACCATCGGTTTTCCTTTCTCAAGGATACTCGCTCATTTTTCCCCTTCTTGTAATTTTATTACTTTTACCCGGGACTCTCGAACTTACTGTATCGGATGCTCGGAGACACTGGAGCACGTGCGTGTGTAGTAGGAACTCTTGTCTAGTCGACTTAGTAATTCTAGGATGCGAATCGACAAGATACATATCTCCTGCGGTTATCCCTTTGCGGTCCTTGTCATCTCGACACCTCGAGGATCACTTCAGGTTCTCGTGTTACGTGCTTACCGTTGCGCAACTACTATTAATTTTTTTCTTCTTCTACACTTGGTCGATCCGCGACATGACTTTTCTTGGGTAGTTCGATAGACTCATGTTTTATTACTGGCAGTCTCATTCGATTAGAAGAGACTTACGTTGTTGTCTAATGCGAATTATAATTAATATTTATATCTTTTTTTAATCATGCGAATGCATAGTTACTAATTCGATTTCTCGTTACATCGCTAATCGGGCTTGCGTAATACTACAGAGTGGTCGTAGACTGTTTCGCATGTCGAATCGCCTTGGGAGTCAGAGAATTATTAAGTAGAGACGTTACTTTGCGATCACCCTGTATATTCCTAGTTACCGATACTGACTTTTGGAAATGCTCTTGGGCCCCGTCAGATTTAGAGATTGATCTTTTTTTTTTTCTTTTTTTTTTTATTAACCAAGTATTATCACACGTGGATATCTTGTTACTGGATTATTGCACCACTCACGACTATACGTTATTTATACTTTGACGTAATTGGATCACGTGGAAGGTTTATGGGGGTTTTTATAATTCGCAATTATTTTATACATACACAGATTTTTATACAGATGTTTGTAACATTGATTTGCGATTCGTTTTGTTTATTTACCAACGTCTTTTATTTCTATTTAACTTGATAGTTGTTAACTTGCTTTATTCGCGTGTTGAGTAATTTTTGACACCCGTTACATTTACGTAAGGGACAAGTTACGGTCGTTAGCCAATGAGACAGTCATTTTCATACTTTTACATAGTAATTATCGGACTCTTATTTATGACAGTTTGTAAAGTGACTTACAATTAGTCACGTTCAAGTCTTACGTACAAGAAGTAAGATAATTGCAGACTGCGAGTGTCATGGAAATGGAGCTTAAGCTGTGGCAAAGTTTGGCGGCCTATGATTTTAGCAGGTGGAGATCGCGTCTACCAGGGTCATCGAAACGTCATTCTTCAGTGCGTGTCACATTTGCAACAATGATTCATATACTTATATATATACATGTACCATGATGCATTGCAGTCTGTGGTGGGCGAGGGGAACGGGGGAGGTAATGCAAATAAGTTGGCAAATCTGTGTGAAAAAAACAAATTGTATTTTTATTGTGGTGCATATATACATTACCACGCTGACTGGTGGCTTTAAGATAAGACGATAAGAGCCGCGAGAAATTCGTTGAATTTGTAGTGAAATTCTAAGACACCTGGTTAATTTCTTTCTTGATTCTAAATACGTTGAAGTTCATTCAGTCGTCAGATAAGCGAATACCTGGCGACACATGCTTCGACGTGGTGTATTTGATAAATGATTTATTGCTGTTGACTGATAAGATTGATATTTATGTCGTCACGGTTTGCTACACCGACTGTGATAGTAAACGTTTAGTCATCGTAACGTGTGTCTTATGATTAGTTAGTCAGGAGTCTAAGCAGGTGACTTTGTAATTACTTGAGGGGACTTTAAGTGGCTGAAGTAGTAACGCGTTTTATTGATTTGCACTTTGTTTTTGTTACAGTCGTCGCAGAACAATGCCCCGAGTGCGGGTCTGGGCGAGAAACGCGAACATCTCTACAAGATCTTGGTGATCGGTGAATTGGGAGCTGGCAAAACGTCGATCATCAAGAGATACGTTCATCAATTTTTTTCGCAACATTATAGAGCGACCATAGGCGTTGATTTTGCACTGAAAGTCCTCAATTGGGATCCACATACGATAATAAGATTGCAACTGTGGGATATTGCTGGTAGGAATTAATGAAAGATTTTTAAATACGTTTATAAGGTTCAATGGCGATTGTTGATTTTAATTATTGTGAAACTTTGTCTCGTAGGTCAGGAGCGGTTTGGAAATATGACCAGGGTGTATTACAAGGAAGCAGTGGGAGCATTCATTGTTTTTGACGTAACGAGAAGCGCCACTTTGGATGCTGTTGTAAAGTGGAAACAGGATTTGGATTCAAAGGTACAACTTCCGGACGGTTCACCTATTCCATGCGTTCTTCTGGCCAACAAATGCGATCAGCAGAAAGAAGGTTTGGTCAATTCACCAGGTAAAATGGATGATTACTGCAAGGAGAAGAATTTTGCCGGCTGGTTCGAGACGTCGGCCAAGGAGAATATTAATATTGAGGAGGCAGCCAGGTTCCTTGTCAACAAAGTAAGTCATAGAAGATTTCTTATAAATTTGTATTTCCGGTCAAGGTGGTTGCTCGATTATTATAATTTTTGTTCCTTCGTTTGCTTGCAGATACTCCAGAACGATCAAATAATAAAGGGAAATGGCACTCAGGAGCAAAGCGACGGTGAAAGATTCGCACTCAATCAATCGCCCACGAGCACTAAGAAATCATGTTCCTGCTGACGAAGTGGCTCGCCCGATCATCCACAGAAGTCATCGCATTCCGTTACCTGGACAGTTCTCATCGTCGATCCTCGATTGAAACATTAAAAGACTGTTTCGCTAGCTCTAATCGCGCCAAGAGTATCTTACGAAACGTTATTAATATTAATTATAACATTGATAATCATCGACGATACTTAATTACATCCGCGTACGGTAATATTCATGCCGATACCTATACGGATATAAAAATCGTTGGCCTATTCAAGTTATCATTTTTACAATCTTAAGATCATTGCCTTCAGCATCCGTTTTTCTAGAATCTTCCAACCTTACCAGTAAGAATTCCTTTGGCGAATGCTTCTTAAATATTGTAAATCATCATTTCATCATATAGGTCGTACATGGTTAACTTCCTTATACGTATAGATGCGCCGCCGTTCAATATGCTTATTTTTGGTATCCCATGCGGTAATTCCCACGCATTGATAGACGATCACATTTATGAATAAGATTGTAGAAGAATAGGTTGATTGGATTGATATCGCGTGTACACGCGATTTAGACTATAATCATGTTTGTTGAGAAAACAAAAGACAAAAATCATATGCATTCACTGACCAAGGCAATTCAATCCCAATGGAGATTTATTCGATAATCATGTCGTGCGCCATTAACGAGTGCCATTTTTTTTCTTTTCTCTTTTAGAAATTTGCCGAAAATTTTAATTATTTACATGCCGAGTATCACGCAGATCATTATTAATACGTATTGGTTACGTAAATTGTATCTAACAAAAATATTTTCTTTTCTTTCATTTCTTCTGTCTCTGCCGATACATTCCACTCGGGTCTCTCGTTTCACACTCGCAAACTGTCACGAGCTTGGAAACAGGAAGACCCGTGGTAGCCATTTTAAATTGAAGACTTCGAAACGCATTTGAAGATTTTAAAATATTTCTTCGCAAGCGACGTTGTTACTTTCTCTTTCGAGATCTGCAACGTTGCTCGAGATAATTTAAACGAAATTGTTGTTGTTGACGACGGAGTAATATATATACACAAGAAAGATTTATATATAATATACACGTATAAATTGAACTAAAGTTTGATAGTGACGAGGGAGAGAAAAAGTTATTATAAATAATAATATATTTAAGTACAGGCGACAATGAATATTGCTGTAAATAATCAAATCCCTTTTACGTAACGATATTTTCTGTCTTCTTTTTCCTCACACGCTGATCAATGTCGACCCTTTTATGGCAACTTTGCAATTTTATATCTATGTACGTAGAGGTTACGCGACAAGGATATATGCAATAACTATTATAATAAAATGTCACGCGCGAATATATTTATATCGGCGCAGGCGTACCTGCGCCCGCCATTACTAAACAGTATGTCTGTCTACCATTATTTCCTTTTTCTATGTAATAGACGCAGCATTATTAAATTATATTCAATTGTTAAGTGCCTCTTTGTATATTAATATTTAAGGCTCGCTCGTTTCTCATATTTTGGTCTCTTGAACCAGTGTCAGTCACTGGGGTTATCGTTTACCCCAGGATTTTTGTATTTCTGTCACTCAAGTATTGACACATTATTTCCCTTGATTTCCCACATTATATCCCTTGTCTAGGGAGCATCACATTGGCAATAATAAATTGAAAGACATGATAAATGAGTAGCATAGATCTCACTCTAGCTATAATAAAAATACTAGAAATATATCTGGGTTTCTTACGAACTGGGGCATAAAAATTAGATCTGGGGTATTTAATTACATATGACCACGGTTGTTCAGCCGACTAGCGCTGGATTGATCGTACCGAGTGGAATAAACTTGCGAAATTATAATATTAGCTATTCTAGAAAAAACTAAGAGAGAGCAAGAGAAGATACCGGCGTCTAATCTCTTTTTGAGAAAATGTCATGACTAGGGCCAGGAATTTTGCTTCGCTAAAAGTAGTAGGGGAAACTCATGAGGCATTTAAATAAATGAAACGTGGAGTTTAGATAACCGAACAAATAACGTTATCGTCATTAAACAGTGAAAAGTCTGACATTGTGTTCATACGGGCATACAGTACACGAGCTCTTAAAATACGGTGCAGTTGGAAAAGCGTCGTGCACCCTGAATCACCGTCAAAGTATAATGGAATCGTGTAACATAACGGCAGAGGAAAGTTTTTGTAGAATGTCTTTGGAAAGTCACGCGGATAGCCCGCCCGATTGTCAAAATAACAATATTCATATCGTGTGGGACGATATGATGGTGCGTGTCGAAAAGCAGAAGAAAGTTAATTTATCAAAGCAAATTTATCGAAAGCTACTTGGAAAATCACTGGACGCTGATAACGGATCGGTTGATATCCTGCACGGGGGTAAATTATCTAAATTTTATTAAACAAACCAACTCTGTAGGGTTTTGGCTTAATCAGGGAAACTTGTGGGAATTTTCAATAAACATATAAGAGCCGGGACAGTGATAAGAAACTTACTTGTTTCTTTCAATGGACCAGTAATTGTTGGATATTTGAATTTTCTTATAGGTTTACTAAGTTTCTTGCAAAATATGGACATTTTTATTTTAGTATATAACAGACCATTGTTATTTTAGTGTCAGGTTATGCCAAGGATGGCGATATGATAGCTGTAATGGGACCAAGGTATTTGTAATTAGTGTTTATCCATATTTTGTGTCATTTAATTTACTTATTGGTTTTCTTAGTGGAGCAGGAAAAACAACCTTTATCGCTGCTCTTGCCAAAAAGGTTAGACTGATCTCTGGCTCCATCAAAGTCAATGGTATTTCAGTAACCAAGAATGTCATGTCTAATATATCAGGATTCGTTCCGCAAGTCGATATTTTACCACCGACCGTCACTGTCATGGAGTATATGCAATTTGTGGTATACTAATGATTTGATATACGCGGTGGCCGTGAAAAATGTAATACTATTGTCAATATTATTTTCAGTGCGCTATGAAACTCGATCAAAGTATGACTCGGTCGGAAAAGGAAGTGTTAATGTTGAAAATAATCTCGGAATTGGGTCTTTACGAATGCAGAGACACGTTAACGTCAAGTTTGTCTGGTGGCGAGAGGAAAAGATTGTGCTTGGCGTCGGAAATGGTGACGAATCCAAAAATACTTTTTCTAGACGAACCGACGACTGGTAACTGGGAAAATTAATTATTGCACTTATATTATGAATTTGTATTTCTTAAAAATTCTTTGTGTTTCAATAGGATTAGATATGTCAACGGCAATGAGAGTCATCGAATACATTAAACGTCTGGTTAGAAACGATACAATTGTATTTTGTACTATACATCAACCAGCAACGTGCATTTACAAGATTTTCAACAATGTCATTTTTTTGGTTAACGGCACCACTGCCTACGCAGGAACTTTGAGCAACGCGACGGCATTTTTCGAAAGGTATTACTAAATCAGTTACGATTAGAAAATTGTTTTACGAGCTTGCACAAAATTTACAGACTTTTCTTCTTTCATTGACCAGCGAGGGTTTCGTATGTCCGTCGAATTTTGATGAGGCTGAATATTACGTGAGAGTATTATCGAACCAATTAAGTGATGGTTATGAAATTTGTCGACTAGGAGCTAGCAATGGCGCCACTCGTCTCTGCACTGCTTTCTCAAAATCGCCATTGTCACGAGTACCGGAAACCGCGCGAAGACAGATTCTATTTGAAATTCGAACTCATCAAAGACCCAATTGGCTAACACAATTCTATTGGCTAATGTGGAGATTTTATTTGGAAGCAAAAAGATCCATTGACCATAACATTTTCTATTATCACACCTACATCGTGAGTTCTGTATTATTCAATGAAATTTGTACTTCGTGCAGAAATTCTGATTGCATAGAAAAATTCTTATCTATTTATAACCTTTCTCTGTTTAGTTTAGCGTTATTATGATTGGCCTTATCTACCACGAAATCAATTCTCGTGAACAGATTGGTATCCAGAATACGAGGGGTGCCTTATATATAACATCCGCACAAATTATCTTCAGTAGCTCCTATGCTGTCATATACGAAATACCCAAAAGGACACCTCTGTATCTTCGAGAAAGCTCTATGTACGGCTCTGCAGTATATTACGTGACGTTTATTCTTGGAATGGTAAGATCAATGTCTCCCATGCTTATCAGCATCCAATCTTGCTGGTTATGAAATAATTATGCGTGGCAAGATCTTTTATTTATCTTATTATTATTTCAGATACCAAGCAACGTTATAAAGGTTCTCATTTTTACGTCGATGCTATTACTGACACTGGAGATTAATAATTTAACATGGACGTTTCTCTCGCTCTCCATTTCCCTAAGCTCTACAGTCATTTGCTCGATCGCGTTTGGAATCATGATTTCCAGCTGGCTTACAAATCCTTCCATGGGTCCGATAATAATGGCACCCATTGATTTCATTGCCATGTCTATGTCTGGCCTGTTTTACAATCTTGGGTAAAATCATGTTTAACCCCCAACTATAGCTTTGTCCTTTTACTTAAATCACAGTAAATTTTTTTATTTAAACTCGACGTTATATGTTTCAGGAGCTTACCATGGTATATCGGCTTTCTTAAATACTTATCCATTTTCTATTATACTCTCGATGCCCTTTCTATTATCCATTGGTCGCATATTGATTATATCGGTAAGCCATATGATAGAGTTATCATTATCGACATCTGTTCAGCATAAAAGCATTAATATCATTTCAGCTTGCTATCCTGATAAGAATTTGCCATGCTTAAACAATGGAACTGCAGTCCTAATTGAATATGGACAAGGAGGGAAAAGTTTGTATTCAGATATTTTAGGAATGTATCTTCTTGGATTATTTATGTTTGTCATAGGATATTTTGGAGTTAGATACCAGAAAGCAAACAAGTCTATCTATTAGGAAGATTTTTATCGAAGTTAAAACTTTAGTCATAAAGTAAAAAAGAATAAGTGGGACTTAACGAAACGTTGTACAAAATTGTAAGACTTGTAGAAGCATATTAGATTATGTAATCCAAATAGCTAAGTGGAGGTTTAGTTAGTATTTTTAGTACAACTTTATGCCGTTCAGGGCGCAATGCTCGTGGGACGGCCATGTACAATGCTCGCTGGACATTCAAGGGACGTTTGAAGGATGTTCCGTCCTGTTGGGGATTCGAATGGACTTATAGAATTTTCCACTGATCCTATACACATTCAAAGCAGGATATATGCTTTGAAAAATATGTGTAGTATATAGGAATATGTATGTATGTTCCTTCTCTTATATAGGAAGTATAGAATCACTGATAATTTATCAAAAATCTTTTCAATAAGCCTTTTCCTCTTTCCTGTACGTGCTACGTTTAAACGTAAGTGCAATGTCATATTCTCGTGAATTTTTTAATAGAAGTTTTTACGTTCTTTTTTTGATTAATCGATTGACTATGAAATTGGTCAGGGAAACTATACCCCGTGTTATGGATATAACGTACGGTGAACACTTTCGATTGAGGCTAATATACTGGCTCCTTACGACTTCTAGAACGAATTGCGAGAAATCCTGCAAAATGGCCGAGTGCAAAAATTGCTAAAAGTCCTAGGATATCCACTTCGTAATTGTCTGGCTCGTATCCGTATTTTTCCAAAACTCCCAAACCTGTCGACACGCAAGGTTCCTCCAGATCCGGTGGACAATCTTTAGAGAAAACAAAATATTTCGGTTTTGGCTTAGCAGGACTGAAAAGTTGAATATAATTTTATATACCTATGTGATCGATCTGACGCCACTGTAACAAAGACACGGCTTCTGTTCCGTAATAAAATTGAGAGAGATACTTCAGCCAGGCTATGTGTGCTGGCAGGTTCCTAAAGTGAAAAAATGTAAAGCATAAAAAATAAAAATAAAAACTTTCATAATGTATTACCCGAGATGAAGAAAAAGTCCGCTGAACATTAGCGTTATGAAGTCAAGGGGCACCGAAAATAAAGATGCTGTAGCAACGGATTGAAAAGCAGCTGACATTAAGCAACCTGTAGGAAATGATAATTGTAATAAAAAAAAAAAAATAAACTTTTAAGTCTACACAAATTTTTACCTAGAGCCGAAGCAGACGCAGCGGATAACACAAGAGGTATAACGAATAATATGAATCCTAAAAATCCACCTTTGAGGCCAACAATATTGAAGACCAATATGGAATACAATAAGGGTTGAAAAATGGCACCTGGCATCTGCAAGATTGACGATTGAGTTAAATTTATTATATTATAATTTAATTTCAAGTTATAATTTAAATTTCTTACCAAAATGGCAATTTTACTTATATAATATGGTGCTGGATGATACAGATCACTAGCTATATCGCGCAAAAGAAACGGCAATTCACGCGGAAAGGTATAAAAGACTCCATAATTGAAAGTGAATGCTGTTTCTGCGACCACCAGGTATATAAGACCTTGCACGTTCTGTATACCACGTTGATCGATGTTCACCATGACTGACGCATAAGGGGTGGAAACAAATACGGCAATGTTCTAAAAAAAAATAGCGTATCGAAGTGACGAAGATCATTCAAAGCAGTCGCACTTACATATACCGGGTATCCATTAAGTAAATGATAATCGATCTCCACTCACCATATATAAAATGAACCTTAAAAATAGGTGAGTAAAGTTTCTCTTGTAATCCACGTACGCCCGCCATGTTAACCATTCGAATTGAGTTATCGCACGAACTTTTTTAAAATCCCCAGTAGGTACAGGCCGCTCGATAAAAACGGGATGTAAAGTTTCATCGATATTGGACTTTTTACACGAATCCTCAATAGCAGTTGCGACGGATTGACCAAATCTTGACTTGTTAAATTCATCGCATATCCAACGTGCCTGACAAGTAAAATTTTCGAAATTTATAAAATGATATATTAATTTTGACATTTCTTACCTTTCTGTAACTCTCTATTTCCTTGCCGCGAATTACCGACAGCTGAGAAACGTAGTATTCGGCGCTGTTGAATGTGGTTGGACAGTGTAAACCCAGACTACAAACAGAGTGACAGAAAAGATGAGGCAAACAATCACTGATAACCTTGTGCGAAAATTGTTCAACGTCAAAGCTCGTCTTCGAAGATAATCCAAATTCGTATACCCAGGCACTTTAATATTCTCAATAAAATTAAAGGTTTTTTGTAACAGTCGTGATAAATGTCTGAGTGAAAATTCCACTCGGTCTCTTATTCGTCGACTCGCCCACCCGTCACTCGAGACACTTAACCTTTAAGGCGAGTTTTCACGAAACACAAATTACTCAGTCGGAGTTAAAGTGTATTTTACGTTGGATTTTCTTCTTCGATGTCATCAGACAATTTTCTTACGATACTGCCAAGTCATAATGAACATTTGAATTACCCATTGAAAAACTGTGTCGCCTCCTTTGTAGTTCCTTGAAAAGCCACGCGTCCAGCTGTCAGAAGTACGACCTCGTGAAAGAGATCGAGCAGACCAGAAGCTGGTTGATGAAGGGAACAAATAACTATTCTACCACGTGTCGCGACTTCCCTCAAAGTTCTTGTTACCGCCATTGCTGCATAACTGTCCAAACCAGTTGTAGGTTCGTCGCAAAATAGCAGACTGGGTTCCGTAAGTAACTAAAGTGTATCACAGCCCTTAATTGTTTATGCCAATCAATGTAATTGCTCGAGTTTCAATTACCTGCACTGCCAGAGCTACTCGTTTTCGTTCGCCACCCGATAATGCCGACAGCTTGGAATTTCTGCATTTAAACAGCCCCAATTCCGTCAGTATGTTAGCAATTCTTTCCTTTCTCGGAGCCGCGCGGAAGCGCCTGTCCATTTTCATTCGGGCCTAAAAATACAGAAATCACTAATCCCAGTGGCACTACGTGTTCCACACGTTTTATCAATTAGAAAATTTATTTTACCAAACAACATATTATAAATAACGTTTCTCAGGTTACAGATAGAATCATAACAATTATATATAATAATTAGCATCTAATTGGAAAACTCATCAAAGTAATACTTTTCTGTAATTAAAAAAAAAGTGAAAACCAGTTTTCATCGTTCCTGCATATCAAGAACTTGTTGAAGTAAAACTAGTGTTACGAAGGTACATGTTTGTTCGACATAACGTCTGTCGCGAATATCATTAATGTAAATAATGAATATTCTTATACAGGAAATAATTAACGTTTAGAATATACATACCATAAATTCCATATGTTCTTCTACGGTCAAAGATTCCACAGCTAAATCCTCCTGTGGCACAAATCCTGACATCCTGGCCATTTGTTCCTGGTCTACAGGCTGACCATTGAGAAATATATCACCAACGGTATCACCTGGATGTATGAAATCATATATATTTTTTTTTAAATTCTCATTTTTCCTACCTCGTCAATTGGTAAATTTACAAAATTTTGTTTTTTGGACGTCCGAACTTATTCCCAGTGAAAAATCGTTGGTTCTATCTTAAAACGTAAAGTGTCTAAAAAGTACAATGAATATTACTCGAAATTCAAATTGATCATTTATTATCTACGTTATCTCTTCCTTTTTCGCTATATGACAAATGGGCTAGTCATCTCGTATTAATCGTCATTAATAAACATATTAAAAGACCCATTAGCAACCGATACGTGATATTCATTTATCATCCATTGATACTTGCCTCATGATGATTTCTTTATACCTTTTATACGCCGACTTATAGTAGCGAGAAGGGTCGTTTTTCCAGCGCCACTGAAATTACATTAATCTCCAATTCAAGAAGTAAGATAAATTATCTGCGATTTCACTTAATCACGTTAATTAAATATCTCTTGTTATCTCGCGGAGATCTCAACGAGCAGCCACGTTGGTTATCGGATATTAATTAAGAACGTTAAATTCGCACATGCATTCCGTATTAAATAACGTTAAGGAAAAAAAAATTTCAAATAATTCAAGCATACCTATATCCGTTAATTTAGAAAAATTACAAAATATAAGTATCGCATAACCTAAAAAGTATACAAAAAATTGTATATAATTCAAATTTCCATATACCTAGGTCCCATTATCGCCATTAAGGTCCCTGACTTCGCTACGCCATTCACTGTAACAAAAAATTTTGATCAAATAATACATATACAAAAAATACATAAAATTTATAACAAACAAATCAATTACCTCCATTAAGTAGCTCCACGTGCTCTATCCGTTGCTTTCCAAAAAATCCCCTCAAAAAATTATCACTCACTTTCTTCTTGATCGTATATGAAATATTTTTCCATGTCAAAACCAAATCCTTTCTTGGAACCTCGCATGGCACTACTGGTACAGACTCCGATTGCATCTGCAAAAATACATATAATAATTATTTAATATATTACCCACAATGGTCTGTATTACAAATACATTTTTTTAATAAAAAAGGTAATAATGCACTGTCCGTACCTTGAGGAGAAATTTTCAATGTAAAGTCGCTTGATTAACAAGCTTATATATATATCTTATTACTGTTATTATTATCTGTCGCGTTACCATTATTATTATATTTCTAACAGCATTGCGTGTTTTGCACGAAGAAGAAAAAAATTATGAAATTACATATATATTTATATATCTATCTTGTTATTATATTTTCTTGATTATTTTAAAGCTGTAATAATATTAGCCATGGCGTCACAACAGTGTAATTACGTTAGGTATTCAGTACGGGTGTATCTACAATAATTTCCATTATCGAAGCCCTTCACAGTTTTGCGCCTACGTGCAGTAGGTTCTTGACGATTGACAGTAGGTCAGCCGGTGTAATCGCGATTATATAAGTTACAGGTTCGAGATATTAAATCGCAATCGTTCGTTGCAGTAGATTGAATTATGTAAGCACTTGGTAAATAGCAATTTATAACGTTATCGATAATTTATTTCGATCATTAGAACCAAGAAGTATGCACGTTCGATGGTATTGAATATATACTTGTGTTACGTAAGAACTAGTTGTACGAATTGATTTAGTCTTCTATATATATTTTTTAAGCGCGGACAGACAAGATGAAGTAGTGAGAAATATTTTTAAAAAATCCACATGCATCTTTCTAACGATGCCGTATGGCGTCTTGTGTAACCTAGAGAACGCAGCATTACCATGGTGAATGCAAGTCGTGAGTAATCACGTTGGCATGATGAAATAGCAATTAAATTTGTTGTTTTATTATTATTTGAACTTTGAGGTTATATTGGATAACATAAGCCGGATTTTCAACTAGCATAACTGCAGTTTCAAAACTCACCTGAACACTTCCGAAGAAGATCATACCGACCGGACGTCTTGTAGTTCGATAAAATTCCGGTATGGAGTAAGAAGAGGCGGCGTATGAGTTTATGCTTCGGTTGGAGTTTAGTGATTTTTTAAGAGTTTCTTTTCATTCTAATTGGATTTATTATACTTGGATTATGGGTGGTGGATTTTTTGTTCACAGCGATGATTCTACTGGTATGTCAGAATTTAGTTTGTTTTCTGACTACTGCAGTGGTTAGCTTACTGACACGTTGGGGTAACTGAAGGTTGCTTGTTGCGCTACAGAAGTCTGCATCTACGTACGAGAACTTTACGGGGGAATTCTTAGCGACCGGACTCAATGCTCTTACGTAAATAACGTGGGATCTAATGGATCCAAGGTTTTATGATCGTTCGTCATGATTTTTGTAAAGTGATGCAGTTAAACTTTTTTTTTTAAATAGATTTCGAACTGGAATTATGAACAACAAAGGGTAAGTGTTCGTAGCGTGGAAAAAATTCGTATTTGAAATATTTCATTGATTGGATACGTAGTTTGTTAATTTTGTCATTTCCTGAAAGCGACCGACTGTCGGGATTGCATGAGGTGAAATGTTGACTAGCGTAGGACTAGCTGTTAGGATAATGGCTGCTGGACTAGGATGCCAGAAGGTGCGTGAGAATGTGACAATAAAACGATGGAAATATTGGAATCGGCGCAATATGATTCTACGACGGGACGCGAAATGAAACGAAACAATGTTTGCGTTGCGCGGAACGTCGGATTGCTGGAATCGTGGATTTGTTAATATCGAGCGTCTAGCTAGTACCACGTCAAAATGGCCGACGTTTAGTACGACCTTAGTCGGGATTAAAATTGTCTATATTTTATATCGGGTGTCCGTTTATGAAAACTAGTAAAGCCTGACAATTTTTAACGTTAACTATTAATAGTTCTGATTCTCGATATTTTTTACATTTTCAAAGGATTTTTCGATGATAATAATTATACGAGAGGGATGATGCAATTACGCTGTGTGTTTTCGTGAAGCGTATAAAATATGGAGATCCTTTATTCAATTTAGTATCACGTACCTGAAGAAACTATAGAAACTATAGAAGTTTACAATGATATAGTGCGTGACTAGAGCAACTGTGTATGCAAATAAGTCTTCCGACGTAATATGACATTTTTAAAATACGATATCAAATAATTACATTGAAACGTATGACGTTAGGACGTACGATATATGAAAAATGAATGTCTGAAAAAATTAATATAACAATAAATGATTGAAAACGGCTTTAAAAATTTGGAAATAAAATATTTCATTTGGAAATTCGAAATCTGTGAGTTAGGATAGATTTTTAATGGCAATTTACATATACTGTCACACCCGGTAGAAATCGATTAAGGTGAGACGCCGATAAACAATTGACTGTCCTAAAACTGCGGTTAAACAAGGAAACGGTAAAACAGCACCTAATCGGCACGAGTCAGCGTGCTGCAAGGAGTTTAAAGGTTTTTTTCAAAGTTTTTTGAGAAGGTAATAGGCGGTTAGAAATTTAAAAAAAAATGTCAAGCAGTGCTTCCTCGGCAACGGTGGTCGTGAAGAAGCGTGAAAGAACCCAAAACTGGGTACCAGAGGAGAAGAGCGCTCTGTTCTCGTTGATAAAGGTTCACGTGAATGCGATTGAGAATAAGAAGATCGACGCGGCAGCATCCGCCATGAAGACTCTTGCCTGGCAGCAGATTTATTGTGCCTTTAGGGGACGATTCTCGACGGAACGTGACATTACGAGAATGCGCGAGCAATGGCGAAGGATGAAGGCTCAGGCTAGGATCGAAATGTACACATTTGCAGAGAAGGTCAGTTCGATTTTTCTTGTAATAAAATCAATGCGTTTATTAAAATAATAGTTAATGTCAGTTATGTTTTGTTTTCTTAGTTTTTAGGGTTAAATACAACTTTGTGTACCATAAGAATGTTACATCGGTAACGATGATCGATATATTACGTTTTACAATTTTTGATAATTACAATCGAGGTTAGAGTATGCATTATGTATTCCAAAGATTCCTTTCTCGCTTCTTACAAAAATCTGTAGGTTAGAACTTTGGGACCTGAGGAAGCTGCTAAAAGTCGACCTTCTAACCTCTCGATCGAGGTCTGGCGACTTATGGAAAGTACAAAAAAAAATGATTGCGATGCCGAACGTTCCGATGAAAGTAGTCAAGACGCGGATGGCTCTACGAATTTTCAAGCAATTTTGGACAAGTTGGCAGCATCGTCGCCCCCGGAGATTTCTGTTCACGAAATTAAATTGGAGACGAATAGTGATGACTATAATGACGAAGATACGAGTCAACCTAATTTACTTGACAAACAACCTGACGTTTTTCGTAAAAGAAAAAGAATCTCACACAGTGACGAACCCATGGATCTTGTCGATCAGAAACGTTTAAAGACTGGAGATACAGTTAGACAACTTCACGAGACGAATGGTAGGTCCTGTTGATTAAAATTAAAGAAAAAAATAATTAATACTCTTTTTAACTACTTTTAAAGAGGACGATGACAGCGGTCAGAGTGCTACATCTCCTCAGTTAACCTGTCAGGATGAACAAATTCAAAGAGCCGTCTGGATATTCGAAGCCGCACAAAAGGAGCACAATCTCAAATTACAAATGTTAAATATCGAATTGGAACGAGCTGAATTGCAGAAACAGACAGCTATAAATGAGTTGAAAGCTTCAGAAATTAAAAAAAGGCTGATTGAGAATCAAGCGGCCGATTATTACAGGTGGGCGGCGTTACGTTTGATCGAGAACAAGAAATAAAGTGTTTCTATTAAGCATGAATTGATATATTGATTTTTAAACAATTTTCTATATTCATTTTTACATTATAATTCGATATCACAAGCCTATACTAAAACTTGTGTCACTAGTTAGACTGTACTGATTATACCTATACTACGTGAATGCTTATGATAGCCAATGGTTTACTTGCTGCGACATCAGAGCCTCTAGCGGCTGGCTTGAGAATCATTGAAACTGGTGAAAAACGTCTCACAGTCTCTACTCAGTTTAACGTACAGTCAGTGTTTAAAGTTCGTCATTTTGTAAAGAAATCAGCTCGTTCAGAACAGAGTGAATTACTTGAAATTAACGATGCAGCGTGTACCCGCAATTCTCACGAGAAATATGGCCTTCATGAGGTAAATCATTTGATATCATTGGTCGCTTTAGTTGTAATTGGTGGATTTGAACTTCACACGTACGTCTTTTGTCGAACTCATAATTGCGCCGGCTTTTTCAACGACGACGTGACTGGCTCGTTGCCCTTTATAAAATTTTTCAGCACTACAGTCCTACAGTTTTCTTCTCTTACGTACTTTGTTTACTGTATTTCTCATTTGTGTTTTATTTAAAGAAAGCTCAAGTACTAATATTCTAATCAGTGCGATGATCGATCTTAGGTTCTATGGCTGTCTACGTATCGACTGAATTCGTGAAATTACATAATAAATTGTGCTCTTAAATTTTGAGTTAGTATCCAGAGATTTGTCTGTACGTCTGGATACAATATTGATTTCGTGTTCTGAAAAATGTCTGGTGCAACCTCTAATTACTATATGACTTTATTGATTCTAGTCAATTTGTACAAGTTAGTGGGACTGCGAGAATTCTTTCTCTTCGTCGTAATTCTTACTTTTATACCTGTTAATTGTTTCAAGTGTTATAAATTTGAATTGCATTGTTATAAAAATTCTATAAAATGGCAACGCTCCGAAATACATTCTTTTAACGAAAGCAGCCAGTAGAATGATCGCCATTATCTAAAGTTAAAAGCTAGCACCTTAGCAGAATCTTATTTTTTTCCTGTGCCTTTTTTTATGTCACCTAAAGTTCACGTACATCTTTCTACAAGGAATGTTTTTATTTTTTCTCTCCCAATTCTTTGAAATTTTTGATGTGTAGTTATGATTAAATTATATTTCCAGACAAATTCTCCTTTTTGCTGAATCTTTATAAGCTTGACGACAATAATTCCCCAAAAAGAATAACTACAATACGAACCTTTAAATCCTAATTGTTCAACAGTTGGTAACAATACGACCCTCACTAAGCAGCACATGAGATAGTCACCGTGCGGTATGAATTCTTCATTGCCGACGGGAGATTAATCGAACAAAACAAGCGAATAAAATAATTTTTAACAAGTAAAAGACAATCTTAACACAGTATGAAATTACAGAAAAATTAAAGGTATCATTGACACTATTGAAATTGATTATTCACTCATGTTATTTCATCAACAAAGTTTGTTAACAACAACTATTTATCTGGCAATAATACGACACCGGTAACAATCAGAGACACCGAAGCGACACCGTTTCTATTCAGAGATTCTATAGTAATGAAAATTACCTGACTGTTACCTTAGGGCTTCTTCCCGCATCAGGCTATCCCCACATTCACACTCCTATCATCTTTCTAGCTGCAACTTGTATATATTCTAGTATACCGCAAAGAAAGCGATCGAAATATAGTGGCAATTCCCAGCAGACCTCATTTTTCTAATAAAAATAACACGACTACACTGTAACACTATAGCCATATATATTGCAAAGTATATTCTAGATACGTATATACAGTATAAATAGATGTACAGTTTGCTATACGTCGTATAAAGTATACATGCGCAGTTCTTTATTGCGTTCATATTTGTCACTGTCATCGAACCAAGCACATTTATTTTTATTTCGCAAGCAAATTCAGACTCGGTATAAAGCTAACTGTAGTAAATGCGATTTTAAGCAATTTGAAAATTAATTTTGGCATGTCTTTATAATTTTATAGTCAAGTCAGGATGATCGGTGAACGTGGCAGTGGAGCTGGTAAAGGAGGTGGTGGTGGTGGCACCATCAGGGACGCAGGAGGTTCTTTTGGAAAGATGGAAGCTGCCCACGAAGATCAGTACTTCTACAATCAGGTAACCAATTTATTCGAAAGACGTTAAAAGTTGTTTTTGATTTTAAAATTGTTTTTTTTTTTACCTAGCAAAAAGAACAGCTGCAGAAACTCCGGGAAGGTCTTCACGACGAGATCAGTTTCCACGAGGAACAGATCAAACGTCATCAGGAAGCTATCAATCGCCATAAGAAGAGAATCGACGATATGCATGACAAGTAAAATGTCGCTGATTGCACGAAATTCTTCATCGTCTCTCGTCGACGACGTGTAAACGTTACTTCAAACTCTATCGGAGGAATCATGCAGCGATAGCGATGCGTCATACTGTAATTTTTTCAAATAAGTAATGTTAACCTACGTAGAAATAAAATATTTTGCTTTTACTAGTTATCACGAACTCTGATTTAAATAATCAAACTTGCGTTTATATTTAGAAAATTAAACTTCCACCTCATGCGTTCTGTTTTTCGCTTCTTTCAGTTTAAATGATAAACAGGACCGCTGTTTTTTATTTATTTAACAGATATAGATATTTCCCATATCCTGTTATTAAAAAGCACTGTGGTATTTCTTGAAAAACGTCGTTTCGTGACATTCCGTCTTCCTTTGTTTTGTCAATGAGTTGTAAATAATTTTTGTTCTAAATTACTGTAAAGCACTAATGGTATCTCTTGAAATAATTGTAAAATTCGTCGCCAACGAAGAGTCCTTTTGTGGTGTATCCATTTTTGAGTAACGATGTTTCGGCATATTTTTAAAGGAATTTATGGCACTGGGAACAGGTAAAATATATTAACACAAAGTCTCGTATGGTTTACACAAATGTTACTTTTATTTTTGGTTATATTTTCTCGTTTAGAATTACATTAAGTACACGCGATAGTAACTTACCAAGCGTGGTAGGTTCGATGCATTTCACTGTTTTACAGCGGTTTCAGGTATTTCGTGAGAAAAGGAAGTGACTCGAGCAAAGATAAATTTTTTGAAAGGGACGTCGCGTACGAGAGCGAATACTATTATAAGCAGGTACCATTATAATGCAAAATCTTTATCAATATAAAGTATGCAACGACATTAAAAGTTTTACTCGTGCAACAGTTGTGTAAAAAGTACAAGAAAAATCTTATATGGTAACCTTAAATTACAAAAGTTTAAACCAATGGAGCAATGCGTTAGTACAATATTGTGACTCGTGATCTTTGTTAAGTATTATGCAAAACAACGTTCCCACATCGCAATCAACTGTAATGTTTATTTTATTGCATCGTTATTTGCATTGCCAAATCATTTTGTTAAAACCACGAGAAATCTTACGGTTTACTTGTATCGATGAATACTTTATTCGCAGGACAGAGAATTGTTGGAGATTTTGAAGCAAAAAACTCAAGACGAGGTAAAAAGTATGCAGAATGAAGTTCGCACGATGCGTGATAAGATTGAGGAATATACTCGTGATATAAATGAGGATCTTCGATTTTTAAAAGGACTCGAAAAAGATTTACCAGCAACCGATACCAAAGAGTCTTGAATGAGAAAGAGTACAAATTTTTTGAAAAATTCTATATCAGCATCCAAATTCTCTATAATCTCAGTGCAATGGAGCGCATCAAGAAAGAGCGTTACGTTTTATAGAATTTCTTGAAATTGCCCAAATCGTGACAAAAAAATTCTACAGAATTAGCAAGAGACGTTCGCCTTACAACACCAAAAACGATATTTTACTTAACAATAGTTACTCAACTTTCGTCAGACAGCCTGGCAATAATGTGCAAAATACTTTTAACAATTTCTCAATCCATTTCTCCACCAGATAAAAGAATAAGCGCAACATTTTTTCCTGCAATTTCGAAAAGGAACAGAACCATATAGATATTCAAAGAACAATTTTTTCTATACTAAGTTATACATTTTTATATTGCTATTAACAAGTCCCTTTATTGGAAATTGTAAATTATAAATTCAATCCACATTGAATTCGCAGTCAATTCATTTGCGAAATTCGAAAAGGAGGACTCGTCTTACAAGATAAACCGTAGGTCAGGTCTTCGACGCTAGATGGCAGCACGGTCGCTAACAAAACATGGCGGCCACTCAGCAAAGGAAGGTAGACGATCGTTGCGCCCTCAGTGTCGCACGAATCATTGATCAGTGTGGTGTGTTCGCGTTGTTGCTCCGTGGTTAGTGTTACTCCAAGAACGTTTCGTTGGTTTTTACGTTAAAAGTGTTGGCAGCCGGGCTCCCACGGGCCCCAAGAAACGGCGCGCGACATGCAGCCGAGGATATACGTGACTCTTGCGATCGGCGCAGCGATTTTCATTGGATGCAACGCCGCCGCAGCCGAGGTAAGCTTCATATAAGGCAACAAGAAAATCAGTCAGTGCATTTCGATGAGTCTACTGTCATTTCTATCCGCGCTACTGTCTCTCCTTTTCAACCCGATGCTCACCTAGTCCCATTAAAAATCAAACGATAAATTTCCGGCCGTGCTGAATCATCAGAACAACACAATTCTACCGTAAAACTCCAAAAGTTTGAAAATGCGTTTACTCCTATTCTTTTTTGTATTTTAATATTACTGAATATCGCACGCAGACGTTCATTCAAAGAGTAGCTTTATTTAATTAACGTTATAGTATCTTCTTTTGTCAGCTTCGCTATACTCTACCCTTAAAGGCATATGCTTCCATCCGTCGCTCTTTTCCTAGTCTCTTCCACTGGATGCGTCGCCTCCGGCGAAGTTGCATTCACTAATCGCGTCGGAATTGTATTTCGGGCGATCCCAAGCACTTGGCTATTGGGATACCTGTGAATTGATTCGTAGAACTAAGCTCTATTCCTTAGTTCACGATTTCATGATGTATGTTATTAAGAATTTCGAGTATCGCCGACGATAACTCTAATGGTTTTCGTGCAGGCGGGATTATCAACAGGATATGCATTAAGATTTATTTTCATTCAAGACATTCGCAGTGATATCATCGTTCTTATGAAATCCTTACATTCATACGATGAATTATGTCTTTGTGCGGTCAGGCTTAGTAGCTTTGCGAACGCCTCATATATTCTAATTTCTAATGTAATAACGCGCCGTCTCCTCTGGGAAATATGAACGCATATGTAAAAATAATGTCTGGCTGAGTCCTTCGATTCTTTCTGAGAAAATCGAGCAGCTCTAAGTTCACGTGCGAATGGAAGTCGTAAGCAAAAACAAATTAGTTTCTTTGGCTGTCCGAATGTAGCAGCGATTCACGAAAAAAATATTATCCAAGTTCACGACTACGTCAGGCAATTTATAAATATCTGACAAAGGCTCTATTGTTTTTCTACGAAGGCACAGAGTATTGCCCGAGACATAATTCGTACAGAGACATCATTTTTCATATAGAGGCAGACTGTCTCGATTTAATTTGTGCAAGTGTGGTGGGGGGCAGATTCAGAGAGAATCGGTTCCGGTGATTTCGCAGGGCTGAATCGTGACTCACGTTTTTGGCTCTTTCAGAGGCGCGAAAGAAAAAAGAGGGCGTCAAAACAACCCCCATGGGGGTTGGATACGTTACTCGACCCCCGATGTTAAATTGCTACGAGGCCACATGCCTTCTCATTCAAATCCGAAAACTTCACCCCGCAATAAATAGAAAATCGCCCTGTGTCTTTCCTCAATTTAATCGCACGTACTGCGCTCACGTAATATTTTTATTTTCTTTTTTTTGGACCTTTCGATCCATACGTGTACTTGCTCGGTATCGTATTTCTCGACAATTTTTTCCTAATCGATCTTCATTAAATGACTCCTACTCACGACATTCTTAATTATATCTCGACTAATTGCACGGCGAACCTCGAATTCAGGGTGTATTAGAAATATAATTCGCGCTACGTATCGCTAATTGGACGCTAATTTTCTTTCCCGTGACGCGCCCTAATACTCGTACCAATCTAATTTGCATCATCAATATTAATTATATATACTCACGCGCATAACGCGAATTGGATTGTTCCGTATTGTTAAACAATTATTAACGTGCGTCGCTAATGAAATATTGAAGAAGAAAAGAAAAGGACTGCTGAAAATCCACGGCAAACAGTAACAATAAAAATTCATAAATTTTGCAATGGCGTCTGCATCCGTTCATTGTTTAGAACCTCGTGACGTAATGAAATTTCGGGAATTAACATTAAAACCATACGGCGTCCCGTCTACGTCCCTTTGACATGCGTTCGCTATCCTTTGTAAACACAAGAATACGAATACTTCTTTTCATCTCCGCTTTCGAGAATACTTTTTTTTTTTTATATTCGGAATTTTCAAAGCAACGCCCATATAAGAACAAGGCAAATTTAAGGGTTGTAAAAGGGCTTCGTGTTATTGCCGGAATACACCCTTTAAAGTTGAAACGATGCGTGAATTGCCACGTCGTGCAAGGTTTCTCGCTGGATTAAATGCTAGATAGGGAGTTTACTCGGTTGAGGTTGTGTGGGGTTGGCATTCCGAATGCCGAAAACGCAAAACCAGCTCGTTGGCGCGAGAGATACGTCCTGGGTACACAAGGCGACCCTCTAAACGGCATTGGCGTAAACCCGCCAGCATAATACACAGCCCCTACATAGGTAGGGTTATTGTTGTTACAAAAATATCATATCCCGTAACTCGATGCACGAGTAGGGAACCGTGCATTTTATTTCCTTGTTTAAATACGTCCCTCGGTCCACCGTTACTCGCGTGAAATAGTTGTGGGTCGTCGGTCTCTTTTTTTTTTTTTTTTTTCACGAGGCGGGAAAATTCAAATATTGAAAAATCCCAGCACTCGAACGTACAAGATGCACGAGGTCCATTCACACGAGGTTCACCATGGACAATCGTTGCTCCCTCTTGGCGAGTAAATAAATCCGCTCTGTAAAACAACCAGTTACTCCTGGTGTCTCGTAAAATCGTGGCTGCTTACAATTTCTTGGACATTTCCGGCAGAATTATGTACCTCTCTACGTACACGAGGAGAAACGGAATGGACTTTAATGGCTGTCGCCTCGGTCACTAAAGTCGAACAATCCCGTTGAGTTGGCACTGACTGCTATGTGATCTCTTTTGCAACAATATCAGCCATGTTTTATACCCTTACGTTACTCACAAGTCACCCGGTATATTTACCGCGTCGCTTGGTACTCTTTCTTCCTTTTTTTTTTTTCTTAGAAGTTTTTCACTACCTCCGTGTTATTTTTCAGCAACGCCAAGCTAACTGTATTAGGTCGATTAGTACATGGGCGTACACTGGTTACGTATACCTGGTGAAGCCTTCGATATCGATTGGACCTTCCATCAAGGAAATATGATCGAATCGATGAAATTCCTAGGTGTGTATAGAAAATGGCGTTGCGCTAGGGGTGCCAACGTTAGATGTAACTCCTAACGGTGTATTCAGTGATTTTGGGTTTCCCAATTTTTCAAACTCAAATCCTTCAGCAGATTACGCTGAATCGAAATTTCTCGATGGATTCGCTAAATACGTTTGAGAGCAAGAGACAATTGTTATTGGGTTTAATGTCGTGAAGTCTTTGTGTATGGTGACGTTCGGGGAATCGATAAACGTTCGTTAACGATGATTGATTTTCGTGAACTAGGCCCCCGCATTGTTTTTACCAGAATTTAACTATAACAAGACGTTTGTACTACTTCCATTGACGTTTGTTCTCGAGTTATATTCATTTGTACCAAACGGAATAGAGAATAGAGCTTTTTTTAAATGCGGGGGCCTAGTTCACGACAATCGAGGATTGTGGTTTTTTTTTTTTAAAGGCGCGAAATTCAAATATACTTACACGACGCAGGCTGATGGTAGTGGGCTTGAGCACTGATAAAGTCAGTATTAATGGGCTTGATGATTTTCAGCGATTATGCTTTTCAATGCTAGCTCGATTTCTCACTTGCGCGCTTCGCGCTTAATAATTGTTTCAGCAGGATCGCGTGACGGCGATGCGTTTGTCGCTCGCGCGTCCTTCTTTATTGGCCACGAGGTGACTTTTGTCTTTGGTAGATGCTAATCGGACGGGACGAAGGCGGCTTTTGTACGTGACAGATATACGTTATTTGAGCGACAGTTAGAGCCAGTAGTTTGTTAAGTAAACGTTACTTGGTGCGTAGTTTGCAGGGCGCTGCGTTGTCGGTTCACCGAAGCGAACGACAGAGGCGCCACTGTCGTTATTCGAATCGCCGATAACGTCCGCAAGTAACGATACGTCTGTTTTGGAAACGAGAGAGGAACATTCTGACGGTTGAAACGTCGCGGGTATGACGCTAATATATCTCGATCGGTTTTCGAGGAATTCTGCGTCGTTCGATTGTTATGTCTGTTGTTTTCTTGTTTTTTTTCTTTCTTCTCGTTATATTTGCAGTCCTCTCCGGCGTTAGAATTAAATCTTCGTTGTCACTTATTTTCTGCACCCTGACTTTCTCACGCTCGTTCGCATTTGGCTTTTGCGTTTTCTGCGGCTTTGTGTCTGGTTGAAATTGGCCAATTTTAACGTACTTTTTTTTGTAGTCGGGACAGACAGGGATCAAACGATTTATAAGTGGTACACGGGGAAGCTGTGGTCCGTTGGTATTATATTTCCATCAGTGAGACAACCAAGGGTTACCGTTTCAGTGGTACAGATCGCGGGGGAATGACAGTCGAACTGAAAAGAAAAGTAAATAAGAGTGCGACACGGGGCTCTATACGAATGGAGGAAGAAAAAAAGAAGGAAAGTCGAACAAAGCGAATTTACGAGAATCTACAATGTGGGAATTGCCTGGTTATTTTCGTGTTGTCGCTCGAGGAGTTCCTTCGAGACCTTCCGTATACTGTTCTCTCTCCGACAGTCGAGTTCCTGGAAACACGGCGGAGAGAGACGTCTGCTAGAAAAAAAAAAAAAGGAAACTCGAAGGACAAAAAAAAAGTAGCAAGATTTCATCCGTCTCCAGATTTACC